CCTTGCCAGCCCGCTCTCCCTCCACCCCAGGGCCCAGGCGGAGAATCCGGGGCTCGCGGCCAATTCGCCGGCAGGTTGCCGATGCAGACCCTGCCTTCGGAAGCGCTGCCGGGACGACGGACGACGGCTACGGCGACGACGACGACGACGACGGTAGGCGATGGACCGGTTTGCTGACATGGTATCCAATATCTCGCTTCCTCTTTCGACCTTGACGGCCACAGGGCTACTTCAACGAGCTCCAGGCGCTCTTTGACACCTACAGGCCGCTCGTTGTGCCGCTGTTGCAGGCGACGCAGCCGACGCTCAACAAGCTCGGCGAGGAGGCCAGCCTGCAGGGCTTTTCCAGCTTCTACACGTACGGCCTCGATGTCTTGGGCTGGCTCGATGGCAGCGTGGCGCGTCCTCCGGTCAGCTACCTGGCCAGCGTGCCGCTCAGCCTGCCGCTGATCGGCCTCACCCAGATCGTCCAGTTCCTGGTCAGCGTCAGGTCGACTGGCCTCTCGTTCGCCGAGTTCCGCGACCAGGTCAAGAGCACCACCGGCCACTCGCAGGGCATCATCTCGGCCGTCGTCTTGTCGGCCTCGGACAGCCTCGACAGCTTCACCGCCAACGTCGTCAAGGCCGTCCAGCTGCTGTTCAACATTGGCAAGCGCGGCCAGGAGTCGTTCCCGCTCCTGTCGATCGACCCGGCGCTCGTCAGCGACACGGTCGGTGGTGGCGAGGGCGAGCCGACCTCGATGCTCTCGGTCTCTGGCCTCGCCCAGGACGTGCTCGACAAGCACATCGCCAAGACCAACGGCCACCTCCCCGAGACGCAGCGTGTGTCGATCTCGCTCTTCAACGGCCCGCGCGACTTCGTCGTCACCGGCTACCCCAAGGCGCTTGTCGGCCTCGTCTCGAGCCTGCGCGAGATCCGCGCCGAGTCCGGCGCCGACCAGAGCAAGGTGCCCTTCTCGAAGCGCAAGGCCGTCTTCCGCATGAGCTTCGTCCCCGTCGGCGTCCCCTACCACTCGAGCTACCTCGAGGGCGCCACCGACCGGATGCTCGCCGAGGACTACCGCGGCGTCGCCGACGTCTGGAGCGTGTCTGAGCTCAAGGTGCCCGTCAAGAACACCGAGGACGGCTCCGACATGAGCACCTACGCCGAGGGCTCGCTCCTCCGCAGCATCGCCGACCAGATCTTCACCAAGCCCGTCTTCTGGGCCAAGGCCGTCGACCTGCCCAAGTCGGCCACCCACGTCGTCGACTTTGGAACCGGCGGCATGTCCGGCGTCGGCCGCCTCGTCGCCCGCATCCTCGAGGGCCGCGGTGTCCGCGTCGTCGTCCCCAGCGGCACCCACCAGCTCAGCACCGAGCTCTACAGCGCCTCGAGCGTCAGGTTCGAGGAGCGCTGGGAGGACGTGTGGGCGCCCCGCCTGGTCCGCACCAAGGCCGGCCTCAAGGTCGACACGCCCTTCTCAAGGACCACCGGCCGCGGCATCCTGATGGTCGGCGGCATGACGCCCACCACTGTCAGTGCCGACATCAACGCCGCCGTCCTCAATGCCGGCTACATCTGCGAGCTCGCCGGCGGCGGCCTGCACAACGAGGTCGGCCTGCGGAAGCGCGTCGACGAGATCCTCGCCAAGCTCGAGCCCGGCAACGGCCTCGAGCTCAACGGCCTCTTCATCGACCAGCGCCGCTTCGGCTGGCAGTACCCGCTCTGGGGCCAGATGAGGCGCGAGGGCATCCCCTGCAAGGGCTTCACCGTGGCCGCCGGCATCCCCAGCACCGAAAAGGCCAAAGACATCATCGACGGCCTCAAGGCCGCCGGCATCGAGTACGTCGGCTTCAAGCCCGGCAACGCCGACGGCCTGCGCGCCGTCGCCGCCATCGCCGCCGCCAACCCCGATTTCAAGATCATCTGCCAGTGGACCGGAGGACGCGCCGGCGGCCACCACTCGACCGAGGACTTCCACCAGCCCATCCTGCAGACCTACTCGATCCTGCGCAAGCAGAAGAACCTGGTCCTCGTCGGCGGCTCCGGCTTCGGCGACGCCGAGGGCGTCTGGCCCTACCTCACGGGAGACTGGTCGGTCAAGCTGGGCTACGCGCCCATGCCCTTCTCGGCGTTCCTGTTCGCCTCGTGGATGCTGATCGCCAAGGAGGCCGCCACCGCCGATGCCGTCAAGCAGCTGCTCGTCGACACGCCCGGCTGCGACGAGGACCAGTGGGAGGCGACGTACGGCAAGGGCGCCGGCGGCACCATCACCTGCAACTCGGAGCTCGGCGAGAGCATCAGCTACGTCCAGAACCGCGCCGCCACCCTCTGGCGCCAGCTCGACGACCAGCTCTTCTCGCTGACCAAGGAAAAGCAGCGCGCCTGGATGTCGCAGAAGAAGTCGTGGCTGATTGAGCGCCTCAACAAGGACTTCCAGAAGCCCTGGTTCGCCGCCAAGCTCGACGGCACCGCGCTCATGGACGTCGCCGAGATGACGTACGAGGAGGTCACCCGCCGCATGCTGCAGCTGCTCTTTGTCGCCCACCAGGGCCGCTGGATCGACCCGTCGCTCAAGAAGCTCTTTGGCGACTGGTGCCGCCGCGTCGAGGAGCGCTTCGCCGGCATCGAGACCGCCGGCAAGAAGGAGTCGCTGCTGCAGAGCTACTCGGTGCTCGACAAGCAGCCCGGCGCCTTCCTCGACGGCTTCCTCGACACGTACGCCGACTCCAAGGTGATCCGCCTCGCCGCCGAGGACGTCGGCTACTTCCTCGCCATCTGCCAGCGCCGCGGCCAGAAGCCGGTCCCCTTCATCCCCGAGCTCGGCGACAACTTCCAGACACTCTTTAAGAAGGACTCGCTGTGGCAGTCCGAGGACCTCGACGCCGTCATGGGCCAGGACCCGCAGCGCGTCATCATCCTCCAGGGCGCCGTCGCCGTCAAGCACTGCACCAAGGCCAACGTCCCCGCCGGCGAGATGCTGGGCGAGATCGAGCGCTCGCTGGTCGCCAAGCTGCTGGAGCGCTACTACGACAACGACGAGAGCAAGGTGCCCTACGCCGACTACGTCTCGAGCGACGTCCCCGCCGTCGACCAGGACGCCGTCGTCGCCAAGCACGGCCTCGCCGTCGACGTCCAGACGGCGGCCAACGGCGACGTCGTCCGCACCTTCAAGGTCGGCGTCGAGGTGCCCGAGGCCACGGCCTGGCTCGAGCTCCTCGCCGGTAGCCGCACCAGCTGGCTCCGCGCGCTGCTCCGCAACGTCAGCGTCGTCCGTGGCCGCAGCTACGTCGACAACCCAATGGTGCGCATGCTGGCGCCACGCCCGCACCAGACTGCCAAGGTCGTCTGCGACGCCTCGGGCGAGCCGCTGAGCGTCGCCTTCTACGGCTCCGCCCGCTCGTTTGGCCGCCACGACGACGCCTTCAAGGCGGTCGAGATCACCAAGGCCCCCGCCTCGTCGACCATCGACGTCGTCCTCTTCGAGGAGCGCCTCGGCGAGTCGGTGCCGCTGCCCTTCCAGTTCACCTATCGACCCGACCAGCCTTTCGCCTCGATTCACGAGGTCGTCGAGGGCCGCAACGACCGCATCAAGCAGTTCTACTGGCAGCTGTGGTTCCACACCGACATGCCCGCCGCCGCCGAGCTGGCCGCCAAGCGCGAGTTCACCAGCCCCACCAAGGCGCTCGACGAGGCCGCCATCAAGCGCTTCTGCCAGATTGTCGAGAACCGCGGCGAGGCCTTCACCAAGGGCCAGGCCCCGATGGACTTTGCCATCGTCGCCGGCTGGGAGGCCATCATGCAGGCGCTCATGGCCAGCTGCGACGCCGACCTGCTTAGCCTGGTGCACCTGTCCAACTCGTTCAAGACGGTCGAGGGCGCCCGCCCGCTCCGCGCCGGCGACGTCTGCACCGCCCGCGCCAGCGTCAGCAGCATCAAGATTTCGGACACGGGCAAGTCGGTCAGTGTCGGCGGCACCGTCTACCGCCAGAACGCCGCCGGCGAGTTTGAGCCCGCCATCACCGTCGTCTCGAGCTTCTTCTTCCGCGGCCGCTTCGGCGACTTTGCCACCTGCTTCGAGACCTCGCACAGCGACTACACGCTCGAGATCAAGGGCAAGGCCGAGGCCACCGTGCTGCTGGCCAAGGAGTGGTTCGAGTGGACCGCGCCCCAGCCCATCGTCCCCGGCACCAAGCTCCACCTCAGCTTCGACAGCCACCTCCGCTTCCGCGACAGCACCTCGTACTCCGAGGTCGAGGTCAAGGGCGGCGCCTTTATCAAGGACTACAAGGACGACCTCATCCAGGTCGGCGAGATCAACTACGCCGCCGACTCGGTCAGCTACGGCAACCCGGTCGTCGAGTTCGTCAAGCGGTCCGGCGGCGCCGCCGTCGGCGGCGCATCGCCGCTCGAGAGCGGCTACACGGTCGTCAGCGGCGACGTGGCCACCTCGTTCATCGCGCCCGCCACCAACGAGCCCTACTCGAAGGCCTCGGGCGACTTCAACCCCATCCACATCGTGAGTATCGGCGTGCCGGGCGTGCCGGGCGTGGCTCATGGATCGAACGTCCCGCGTAACCCCTTCCCGACTAACGCCTGACCGCCTTCTTCCCCTCCGCGATCTGCCGCCCCGTGCAGAACCCCTACTTCTCTTCGTTTGCCTCGCTGCCCGGCACCATCACCCACGGCCTCTTCTCGAGCGCCGCGTCGCGCCGCTTTGTCGAGATGGTGGCCGCCGAGGGCTACCCGGACCGCTGCCTCAGCTTCGAGGCCAACTTCACGGGCATGGTCCTGCCCGGCGACGAGCTCCAGGTCAAGCTGCGCCACGTCGCGATGCACGACGGCAACAAAGTGATCAAGGTGGAGACGTACAACCAGCACGGCGACAAGGTGCTCGACGGCCAGGCCGAGGTCAAGCAGCCGGCCACCGTCTACGTCTTCACCGGCCAGGGCTCCCAAGAGCAGGGCATGGGCATGGACCTGTACAACTCGAGCCCGACGGCCAAGGCGCTGTGGGACGAGGCCGACGGCCACCTCCGGTCCACGATGGGCTTCAGCATCCTCGAGATTGTCAACCAGAACCCCATCTCCAAGACGGTCCACTTTGGCGGCGTCCGCGGCCACACGATCCGCGACCGCTACATGTCGATGTCGTACGACTCGACCGACGACAACGGCAACACTGTCACGCTGCCCCTCTTCCCCGAGATCACGTCGGCCAGCCAGAGCTACACGTTCCAGTCGCCCAAGGGACTGCTGTTCGCCACCCAGTTCGCCCAGATCGCCCTGGTCCTCGTCGAGCTGAGCGCCTTCCAGGACATGAAGCAGCGCGGCCTCATCAACCCGGACGCTGCCTTTGCCGGCCACAGTCTCGGAGAGTACGCGTCGCTGGCGGCCGTCGCCGGCGTGCTCCAGGTCAAGGACTTGGTCGAGGTCGTCATGTACCGCGGCCTCTCGATGCAGAACTGCGTCACCCGCGACCCCGTCACCGGCGCCTCGTCGTACGGCATGATGGCGTGCAACCCGATCCGCGTCCTCGGCGACGTGACGCCCGCCTTTGCCGGGCAGGCCCTCGCCGAGATCGTCGACTCGGTCACCAAGGAGTCCGGCCTGCTCTGCCAGATTGTCAACTACAACGTCGCTGGCCAGCAGTACGTCGTGGCCGGAGACAATGTGGCGCTCCTCACCCTCGGCAACGTCCTCAACTTTATCAAGATCCAGAAGATCGACCTCAAGAAGCTGCAGGAGATCATGCCGATCGAGGAGGTGCGCGAGAAGCTCGACGAGATCGTCCGCGAGGTGCTCGCCGCCGCCCGCGAGGAGGAGAAGAAGGGCCCGCTCGAGCTCAAGCGCGGCTTTGCCTCGATCCCGCTGCCGGGCATCGACGTCCCCTTCCACTCGCGCTACCTGACCGGCGGTGTCGCCCCCTTCCGCGCCTACCTCTCGAAGCGCATCAACATCGAGGCCATCAGCCCGCAGTCGCTCGTCGGCCGCTACATCCCCAACCTGGTCGCCGCGCCCTTTGAGCTGTCCAAGGCCTATGCCGAGCTCATCTTTGCCCAGACCGACTCGCCGCGCCTCGACAAGGTGCTCAAGAACTGGGAGAAGGACGGCTGGGAGGCGCCCGAGCGCGTCCAGCGCCTCACCGCCACGCTCGTCGTCGAGCTGCTCGCCTACCAGTTCGCCTCGCCCGTCCGCTGGATCGAGACGCAGGACATCATGTTCACCGACTACGCGTTCGAGCGCTTCATCGAGTTTGGACCCAGCCCCACGCTCGTCGGCATGGCCAAGCGCACCCAGTCGCTCAAGTACGCCGCCATCGACCAGGCCCAGGGCCGCCGCCGTGTCATGCTCTGCTCGAGCAAGGACAAGGAGGCGCTCTACTACTCGTTCGAGGACAGCGAGGCCGAGGTTGACGCCGACGCTGCGCCCGCCGCCGAGTCCGCTCCCGCTGCCGCCGCCGCACCCGTCGCTGCCGCTCCCGCGCCCTCCGCGCCCGCCCCTGCTAGCGGCGGTGGTGCGGCTGCCGACGTGCCCGACGAGCCCCTCAAGGCCGTCGACACGGTCCGTGCCATCCTCGCCCAGAAGCTCAAGAAGTCGATCGCCGACGTCCCGCTGTCCAAGTCGATCAAGGACTCGGTCGGCGGCAAGTCGGTGCTCAGCAACGAGCTCGTCTCTGACCTGCTCGCCGAGTTCGGCAACCTGCCCGAGCGCGGCGAGGAGCTGCCGCTCGAGGAGCTCGGCGGCGCGCTCCAGGCCGGCTACAGCGGCGCGCTCGGCAAGCACACGTCCGGCCTCGTCACCCGCGTCGTCGGCGGCAAGCTGCCCGGAGGCTTCAACATGTCGTCGGTCAAGGCCCACCTGCAGAAGACGTGGGGCCTGGGACCGGGACGCACCGACGGCGTCCTGCTCGTCGCCACCACCATGGAGCCGGCCAAGCGTCTCGGCTCCGAGCCCGAGGCCAAGGCGTGGCTCGACTCGGTGGTCCAGGCCTACGCCGCCCAGGCCGGCATCGCCCTCAGCCAGGGCGGCGGCGGCGGAGGAGGGGGAGCTTCGGGCGGCGTCGCCATCAGCAGCGAGGAGCTCGACAAGCTCCAGGCGCGCCAGGACGAGCACATCCGACGACAGATCCAGATCCTCGAGCGCTACCTCGGCCTCGACGGCCGCTCCGGCGTCCGCCTCGCCGAGTCGACCAAGGCCGAGCTCGAGGCGGCCCAGAGCCAGCTCGACAGCATCGCCGCCGAGCACGGGTGAGTCCACAGCGCGGTGCGGTTCCTCAGCGCATCGAGACAACACCGCTAACCCATTCCCGCCGCCCTCTCTCCCCTCTCCCCTTCCGCTCTGCCCCCCCTCCTCGCAGCGACACGTACACCAATGGCATCATGCCCAAGTTCTCGGAGAAGAAGGTCCGCAACTTCAGCTCGTACTGGAACTGGGCGCGCCAGGACGCCATGACGCTGTTCTACGACATCATCTACGGCCGCCTGACGGCCGTCGACCGCGAGATTACGGCGCGCTGCATCACGCTCATGAACCGCGCCGACCCGGGCTTGCTGCGCTACATGCAGTACCACATCGACGCCGTCGACCCCAAGCTCGGCCCGACCTACGAGCTTGCCAAGGAGTTTGGACAGCAGCTGATCGACAACTGCCGCGAGGCGCTGGCCGAGGACGCCGTGTACAAGGAGGTGCACGCGCCGACGGCCCCGCACACCGAGATCGACGCGCGCGGCAACGTCGTCTACAGCGAAGTCAAGCGCGTCGGCGTGCGCAAGCTCGAGGCCTACGTCAAGGAGATGGCGGCCGGCAGCCGGCTGCTTGGCTCGGGCAATCAGGTCAACGTCGACAAGGCGCAGGAGAACGTGGCCAAGCTCTGGACGCTGATCCGCAACGAGCCCTCGGTCAGCAAGCTGGGCAAGGCGACGATCAAGAGCCTGTACACCGAGGTGGTCCGCTCGCTCGGCACGCCGCGCCAGCAGCAGCGCGGACCGGCGCGCCAGCTGCCGCGCGGCCGCCGCTCGAGCTCGACGACGCAGCGTCCGTCGATGTCCGAGGTGGCGGGCGCCACGCCCGAGGACCGCGTGCCCTACCTCCACGTCCGCAGGAAGGTCGGCGGCCAGTGGCAGATGAGCCGCAAGCTCACGTCGGTCTACCTCGATATCCTGGCCGAGATGGCGTCGCAGGGCGTGTCGTTCAAGGGCCGCAACGCGCTGCTGACCGGCGTCGGCAAGGCGTCGATCGGCGTCGAGGTGGTTAAGGGCCTGCTGGCCGGCGGCGCGCGCGTCGTCATCACCACGTCGAGCTACTCGCGCAGCGTCGTCGAGTACTACCAGCGCATCTACCAAGAGGTCGGAGCGCGCGGCTCGACGCTCACCGTGATGCCGTTCAACCAGGCGTCGAAGCAGGACGTCGACAACCTGGTCAAGTACATCTACGAGACGCTCGACATGGACCTCGACTTTGTCGTGCCGTTCGCCGCCATCTCGGAAAACGGCCGCGAGATCGACGGCATCGACGACAAGAGCGAGCTGGCGCACCGCCTGATGCTGACCAACCTCATCCGCCTGCTGGGCGCCATCAAGACGCACAAGGCCTCGCGCGGCTTCGACACCCGCCCCACGCAGGTGCTGCTGCCGCTGTCGCCCAACCACGGCACCTTTGGCGGCGACGGCCTCTACGGCGAGAGCAAGCTCGGCCTCGAGACGCTGCTCAATCGCTGGGAGAGCGAGAGCTGGGGCCAGTACCTCTGCATCACGGGCGCCATCATCGGCTGGTGCCGCGGCACGGGCCTCATGTCGAGCTCCAACACGGTCGCCGAGGAGATCGAGAAGCTCGGCTGCAGGACCTTTAGCACCGTTGAGATGGGCTTCAACCTGCTCGGCCTGCTCGCGCCGACCGTGTCGGCCGTCAGCCAGGTCGAGGCGCTCCTCGTCGACCTCAATGGCGGCATGGACAAGATCATCGACCTCGCCGAGCAGACGGGCAAGTTCCGCGCCAAGATCCAGGAGGCGTCGGCCACCAAGCGCGCGCTCATCGCCGACAGCTCGGCCGACTTCAAGGTGATCAAGGGCGCCGCCGCCGAGGCGCTGCACCAGAAGGTGCACATCAACCCGAGGAGCAACTTCACCTTCAAGTTCCCCGAGCTCGGCACGCTCGAGTTCAACCAGGACCTAGCCAAGAGCCACTCGCAGCTCGACCTGGAGAAGGTGGTCGTCATCACCGGCTTCGCCGAGGTCGGCCCGTGGGGCTCGGCGCGCACGCGCTGGGAGATGGAGGCCTTTGGCCACCTGACCAACGAGGGCGTCATCGAGATGGCCTGGATCATGGGCATGATCAAGCACCACGACGGCAAGCTCAAGAGCGGCGCCACGTACGTCGGCTGGGTCGACGCCAAGTCGGGCGAGCCCGTCGACGACAAGGACATCCGCGCCAACTACGAGGACGAGATCATCAAGCACTCGGGCATCCGCCTCATCGAGCCCGAGCTCTTCCGCAACTACGACCCCAACCGCAAGGGCTTCCAGCAGGAGATTGAGCTCAACCACGATCTCGAGCCGCTCGAGGTGTCGTCCGAGGAGGCGGCCAAGTACAAGCTCGAGCACGGCGACAAGGTCGACACGTGGGAGGACGCCGCCAGCGGCAACTGGTTCGTCCACCTCAAGAAGGGCGCCCGCATCTTTGTGCCCAAGGCCGTCGCCTTTGACCGCCTCGTCGCCGGCCAGCTGCCCACCGGCTGGAGCGGCCAGCGCTACGGCATCCCCGACGACATTGTCGCCCAGGTCGACCGCACCACGCTCTGGGCCCTCGTCTGCGCGTCCGAGGCGCTCGTCAACTCGGGCATCACCGACCCCTACGAGCTCTACAAGCACATCCACCCGAGCAAGGTCGGCAGCTGCATCGGCTCCGGCATGGGAGGCATGACGTCGCTCAGCAAGATGTTCCGCGACCGCCGCAACGACATCGACACGCAGAAGGACATCCTCCAGGAGACGTTTATCAACTCGGTCGCCGGCTGGGTCAACCTGCTCGTCATGTCGGCCGCCGGCCCGATCAAGACGGTCGTCGGCGCCTGCGCCACCGCCCTCCAGTCGATCGACGTCGCCGTCGAGACGATCCTGTCGGGCAAGGCCGAGCTCATGCTCGCCGGCGGCTTCGACGACCTGTCCGAAGAGGGCTCTTTCGAGTTTGCCAACATGAAGGCCACCTCCAACGCCAAGGACGAGCTGGCCGCCGGCCGCGAGCCCTCGGAGCACTCGAGGCCGTTTACCACGTCGCGCGGCGGCTTCATGGAGTCGCAGGGCTGCGGCGTCCAGGTCATCACCACGGCCGCCAACGCCATCAAGCTCGGCATGCCCATCCAGGGCATCGTGGCCTACTCGAACACGCACACCGACGGCGCCGGACGCAGCCTGCCCGCCCCCGGCCACGGCGTCATTGCCAGCGCCGACGGCCTCCAGCGCGCCCTGGCGAGCTTCAACCTGACCGCCGACGACATCGGCGTCATCTCGGCCCACATGACGGCCACCAAGGCCAACGACAAGAACGAGTCGCACGTCTACCAGGAGCTCTTTACCCGCATGGGCAGGACCCCCGGCCACGCCGTGCCCGTCATGGCGCAGAAGTGGCTCTGCGGACACGCAAAGGGCGGCGCCGCCGCCTGGGCCCTCAATGGCGTGCTGCAGAGCATCAACACGTCGATCGTCGCCGGCAACCGCAACGCCGACGACATCTCGCCCGAGCTGCAGAAGTTTGACATGCTCCTCTACAACTCGACGACGCTCCACCGCACCCCGCGTCACGTCAACGCCGCCTGCGTGTCGAGCTTCGGCTTCGGCCAGGTCGGCGGCATCTGCCTCGTCCTCCACGGCGCCCACGTCCTCGGCCGCCTCTCGCCCCAGGCGTTTGCCGAGTACGCCGCCCGCCGCAAGGAGCGCCAGTACAGGACCTACACCCGCATGCACTCGTCCATCACCAAGGACGACCTGGTCCGCATCAAGGACGACCGCCCCTGGCCCGCCGAGCTCGAGGACGCCGTGCTCATGAACCTAAACGCGCGCGCCACCGAGTCCGGCGACAGCTACGCCTTCAAGGCGCCCCTGCCGCCCATGCCCGCCCTCGCCGCCGTCGACTCGGTCACCGTCCCGCCCAAGCCCGCCGACGTCGCCGCCCAGCAGGAGTCGCTCCAGGCCATGATGGGCCACGTCGCCGGCGTCGGCATCGACTGCGAAAAGATCTCGACGTTCCCCTCGGACAACGAAAACTTTATCGCCAGGAACTTTACCGACGTCGAGGTCCAGTACTGCCAGTCGCAGCCAGACCCGCGCGCATCCTTCTGCGGCCGCTTCTGCGCCGCCGAGGCCGTCGTCAAGAGCCTCGGCATCAGGACAAAGGGGGCCGGAGCCTCGCTCAAGGACATCGAGATCGTGCCGACGCCCGAGGGACCCCAAGTCAAGCTCTACGGAGAGGCCCTCGACGCCGCGCGCGGTTCCCGCTTCCTCGTCTCGATCACCCACGGCGACGACACCGCCATGGCCGTCGTCCACCGCCTGCCCCCGGCGTGAGCGGCACGGCGTCGTTGTCGCACTCGCCTTCTGGGCCCTCGCTTTTCCATCGCCCGCCCGCCCCTTGGCCGCCGTCGCCATCGACCCCGCCTCGCGTAGCTGATCCCCCGGCCCTCGTCAAGCAGGGGCTTCCGCATCGCTGGCGGGCCGTCGAAGATGCCGGCCGCTTCCCTTTCCGTTCCGTCTCGCAGCGTCAGGTAGCTTCCGGTCCGCTTTCACCGTCAGGACGTTTTGATATCCTCTGCTTTCGTGTTTCCCCCTCGCCGTCGTCGCGCTGGATGCCGGCCGGTCAGACGTGCGCCCCCTCTTGCCCTCTGCAGCGTCTCGTCAGCGTCTGCAGATGGCAGCTGTGCGCTCGCCTTTCCGGGTCGGTCCCGCGCATACAGGCGTGCTCCGTCTTCCCCTTCCCTCTTTCTCCCTCGTCGTCACGCTAGCCTCGGTTCACGCACATCCATAGAGCCTGCTGCTGTGGCCCTCCTGGGGTCGCAGCCAAGGCACCCTTACGTCTCACGAATGCAGATGAAGTTCAGAGCGCTAAGGATCGGCCCGCGGGTGCAGAGTAGCGGTGCGGTGGTGCTTGGCATCGGGCCAGGATGTGGCCGAGGGCCGACGCTGTCAGCCTCGCAGGCCTTGCTTCGGCTTTACCGCATGGCCGCCGCTCGGCGTCGGGCTCGCCGTCGACGACGGTTGCAGTACGGTATTGGGTGTTGTCCGTTTGACGTCAACGCCCGCCCGCGTCGGATACGTAGGCTGGAGCCCAGCCTGCCTAGCGTGGTCAATCAGGCAGGCAGGCCTGGCATGTCTGGGCATCGTGGTCGAGCAGTGCATCGTTCATGCTGGCAGGCCACGCTGCGGCTGGTCTGACGCTGCGCTGTAACCTTGTCGCATCAAAGTCGAGGGACCGTGCTCAGCACCCGTGATTGACCGGTGATGGCATCGCGGGACGTGCCGTATCGGTACGGTATCGTATCGGGACCGAATGAAGCAGGGGCGGTGGCGTGAGGCGTGAGCGTGGGGCGTGGGGGGGATGCGGCGGGTCTCGGATGATACGGTACGGTAGGACAGACGGCGGATCTAGCCGCCCCTCGCTTAGACGCCAAGACCTCGGCTGGGTCAACCGGTGCAATTGCCGAGGCCGGTCAACCCAAAGGCCACCGCTGCTCCGCCTGTCCGCCTGCGCGCCTGTACCCCCAAGCCCCAAACTTTTTTCTCTCTCTCGCAGCTCCCCCTTCGGCCGCCTGTCTGTGCGACCCAACCAACGAAGAACGACAAAAATTGCCCGTTGCCCGCGTCCGCAGCGGGTGTGCGCTTGGTGGAACATGTGATGGCCGCCGCCGCCGCCGCAAGCGCAGGAGAAGAAAGGAAAGCCTGTCCGTACTCCTCGTTCTCGTTCTGATTGTCACTCTCGTCGGCGCCGTCATCAACTGCCTGTACCGTCGCCGACGTTGAGGTTTTTGGCAAGTTCCTGGAGCACTGGCGTCTCGTTTGAAGCTACGACCTGCGACTGCTGCGATTTTGCGAAAGGGAGAGATCCGCAGCCGCCCAGGTCGCGGTGGATCGAAGAACGAGAACCAGGTCCAGGTCGAGGGCGATGCTCGGTCAGCGGACCACGACGACGCCGCCGCCACTCGAATTCGGCGAAAGGAGCGAGGGGAAAAAGGAAATTTTCTTTCATGGGCCGGGCGGAGACGCAAAAACAGAGGCAAGCAAGCACGGCTCGCTCGCAGTCGGACCAAGCCTCGCCCCGAAAGCTCGGCCTCAGTTCCTGCTGGCCTGGCCTCAAATGAGGGCACGGATGGATCCGTGCTCTGCGAGGTATGGGAGCACGGCCAGCTCGACCAATTTGATGAACGACCAGGTCGAGACTGCGAGGGAATGCAGACGGGGATGCGGAGGAGGAGCAGCGTCGGCCCAGGACAGCGGACATGGCCGCAGTTGGATCGACGCCCAATCAGGATTGTCGTGTCGTCGTTGGGAGGGCCGCCGTTCACCGTTGCGCCCTGCCAGCGCCTGTCTTACATCCTGGCCTTTCTGACATTTGAAAAGGGGGATCGTCTACGGCGTTGGACGGCAGTGTGGACATCGCGCGAGGGCCCACAAGGACGGGTCTTGGCGGCGGCGGTCACCAGAGCTCGACGGATCTCGACGCCGAGAGAGAGAATTTGGGCCTTCACCCCCACTGCGGAAAAAAAACTCCTATTCGGCGGCGGGTTCCCAACGAGGGCGCCGCTCCGCCGTCGGCTTCGGGCCACAGGGCAAAGCCGAAGCTCGGAGAGGTCCACCGGGCCAGCGGCGCTCAGCATGTTTTTCCACGGCTCGAGCCTCGACGACCCCCCGGGATCACCTCATCGCCCGCCCGCGTCGCGCAGTCAATGGCGAAACTTTGCTATCGCCCAAAGCGGGGTCAGCCAACCGCGAAGCGTCCGTTGCCCTTTCTGTAGCATCGCATCGCATAGCAGCACGACGACGGCAACCCAGGCACCTTGGCGCGCGCCCGTCGACGGGTCGTCTGGCCAGGCCACGCTCGTGGATGCCATGCGCGCCAGGGGTCGTGGTGCCTGTCCCAGGTCCACCGTGGCACACACGGATCAAGCGCCGGAGAGCCCCACTTGCTGCGCCCCGTCCTCTGACTGCGAGGCGAGTGTCGTTGCATGATTGTCACGGCTGCCGTGCCCCATGTACCCCGCCTTTGGCAAGCCCTGGTCTGCTGCCCTCGACTCGTCTCGTCTCGTCTCGCTCGAGCGCCCGCAGAATGATAACGCCGCCCTCGGGCCAAGCACAAGCGGCCACCCCAACCGCGCGCCGCCCTTATAAGAGCGAGCGAATGGCCGTATCACCGGGTGGCAACGATTCACGTCCATTCCGCTCCCCCTTTCCCCTTTCTCCCCGACCCTCCCCTCGTCGTTCCCCGCCCCCTTTCGCCGCCTTGCAATCGAATCAACCGTTGCCCGCCATGGCGAGCCCCGTCCGCCACGACAGCAGCCCGTCGCAGGCCTTTCCCGACGAGAAATCGGCCGTCGGAAGCGACAACAAGGACTCCGGCTTCGACAATCAGCATGCCGCCACCCAGTACCAAGGCCAGGTGGCCGAACAGAACGGTCTCAAGCGCGATTTGAAGGGAAGACAGATCTCTATGATCGCGATCGGTGGCGCGTTGGGAACGGGCCTCGTCATCGGCACCGGCGCCGGCCTGAAGAATGCTGGTCCCGGATCCCTCTTCATCGGTTTCTGCGTCATGGGCGCCATGTGCGCCGCGGTCATGTCCGCTCTTGGAGAGGTGAGCACTTCAGCGTCCTCTCGCCGCCCCGTTCCGCACCCGAGACCGTTCCTAACATGGCACGTTCGCTACCGCCCGCGTATACCAGATGTCTACGTTTATGCCCCATCCTCGTGGCTTCGCCGGACACGCCACGCGCTTCGTGTCCCCCGAGTTCGGCTTCGCCACAGGAGTCAACTATCTTCTAAAGTATTGGGTGATCACCGCGAACCAGGTCAACGCCTTCGCCCTTATCGTCTCGTACTGGCGCCCAGACCTGTCCGGCGGAATCTTCATTGCGATTCTATGGGTTTTCATCGTCGTGCTCAACACGACCGGAGTCAAGTACTTCGGCGAGTTTGAATTCTGGCTCTCCCTCTTCAAGATCATCGTGATGGTCGGTCTTCTGCTCCTCCTGCTCATCATCGACCTCGGAGGCAGTCCCACGGGCGACCGGATCGGCTTCCGCAATTGGCAGGACGGCAAGGCTTTCTCCCCGTACCCCGGATTCGGCGATACTTCGCTCGCGCGCTTCCTCGGCTTCTGGAGCGTCATGGTCACTGCTCTCTTTGCCTACACCGGAAGCGAATTAGTGGCCGTTACTGTAGGAGGTGCTTACCTTGAACAGCCTCCTGAACATGGTCCGGAAGAGCAGGAGCTGACCGCGTGTCTTTTTCCCCATAAACAGAGGCGTCGAACCCCCGCAAAACGGTACCTGCCGCAATCAAGAAGACCTTCCTTCGTATCATTGTGTTCTACATCGGTGAGTGAAGAGATCGGCTGTGTACTTGAGAGAAGCGTCGTACTAGCTCCGGCATCGGGGCAGCGGCGGCGGTGCCAACCGACCGCCGCGTCGACGCGTCGATGGTTTCTCGATCCGCTGGCGCGTTTTGCTGACGGCGAGCATTCCTTCTGCCGATCCCGTAACCTCGCAACGTACAGGCGGTGTTCTCCTGATCGGCATGGTCGTTGACAGCAAGACGCCGCTGCTGCTGACGGCGACGAAGAAGTCGACCTCTGCCGCGGCCTCGCCTTTCGTCGTCGCGATCAACATTGCCCAGATCAAGGTCCTCCCCGACATTATCAATGCAGCCCTTCTGCTCTTCACCGTCTCTGCGGCCAACTCTGATCTGTACATCGCCGCACGAACGCTCTATGGTCTCGCGCTCGACGGCCAAGCGCCGCGCATCTTCCGACGCGTCGACAAACGCGGTATTCCGTACATGGCACTCGGACTCAGCTCCCTGTTTCCGGCCCTCGCTTTCATCAACCTATCGAGCGGTGGTCCCAAGACATTCAGCTACCTCGTCAACACCGTCACGATTCTTGGTGGGACCGCATGGCTGACGATTTTAACAACGCACATCTTCTTCATGAGGGCGATGAAGGCGCAGGGAAGGTCGCGCGACTCGCTCCCGTGGCAAGCGCCTCTCCAGCCGTACTCAACCTACGTTGCCACCTTCTTCGTTTCCCTCGTCCTGATCACCAAGGGCTGGGCATCGTTCACCCACGGCTTCAAAGTCAACGACTTTATTACAAACTACATCGGTATCCCGGTATTCTTCATCTTGATCGTCGGCTGGAAGCTCTGGCACAAGACCAAGGTTTGGAAGCCCGAGGAGGTCGACCTCGTCTCGGGCGCCAAGGAGTTCGACGAGGCCGACGAGCAGTTCTGGAAGCAGGACGAGGAGAAGCGCGCCGCCATGTTCAAGGAGGCGTCGTTCAAGCAAAAGGTTGGCATGTACCTGAAGGAGTGGTAACCGACGCGCGCTCGCGCAGATATCGTGTCTCTGCACTCAGGGATTCAGACGCTTCGGTGTGCAGTGCAATCAGATTCCTTTCCATCCACTCGTACCTGCGATCCTAGCCGTACTGGGCGTCCAGCAATGCTGCAGTCGGCCGTCGCGGTGCCGTCGCGGGGCTGTTCTTCGCTCTCTGCCGTCGTCTCTCTCGGCTGCCGCTAGTTCCGCGTCGGACCGGAGTCCACCTTTGTACTCTACATTACACGATGCGATCTAAGAGGTGGGCGCGGCCAATGGAGGGGAACGGGGTCCATGGAGGGCAGCGACGGCCAAGCAAATGAGGTCGAGGCGCGGAACAAGCACGAAGGCGCCGAGTGAGAGAGCGAGCGAGCAGGCGAGTAAGTCCAGCAGGCGGCAGTCGCGATCGGGCGAAGCCGCAGACTGCCGAGCATACCTGCGACACCGGACAACAGCGAAGATGAGCGGAAGTCGACCGACGCCTCGGCAACAGAGGACCGATGGCAACGGCGGCGTTGGAGAAAGGGCATTCGGCAGGTCGATGTTGGCGGTAGTATTGGCGCGCGGGTCAAGGGATAGGTAGGATCAGGTTCAGGAGCGCGCCGTTCAGTGCTACCGTCACCACTGGCACCGACGCCAACCGTCCCCTGCCCTCGTCACCATGCCTGTCGTCCAAACCACCCGCCCGTCAGCATGCCGTCGCCTGTGTGTACCATCACGAGAGCACCGTTGACACCCTCTGAGGGCCGTGGCATCGTTTCTGCCCAGCGAGCCCTGCCGATCCTGGACCTGCCTCTTTGCTTATCCTCCCGCCCTCCCGCCCCGTCTTGTCACTGACGTCGCAGCACCAGCAGCGCCTCGACGTCGGGCTCAGGACTCTCTATTGTGGTCGCCTGGGAGGCTCCTTCCCGCTTGTGTGCCCGCCGCCGCCTTCGTTTCGAGCTGTGCGGACGCCCGCTTCAATTCTCGCCTTCCGTCCTATCCGTCGGCTCGTACTGCCATCGCCCCTACCGTCGCCTACCAACCTTGCCCTTTGGCTTTGCCTGCCCGCTCACCTGATGCCGCTCTCTGAAGGCCCGACCCCTTGCCATACCAGCAATGCTTGCGCCTGTTCCTTATTTGCTGCTGCCGCCGCCTCTGCTGGCTAGCTTCAACGCCCTGCTTCGCTATTTGAGTCGAGAGCGCGATCGGTTCTTGCGGGACCCCACGGTAGCGGGCGTCGCGTGAGGCCTGCCTGCGCCTGATGCAAAATGTCTGGAGAAGCATCGGGCAGTTGCAGCGGCAGTTGCAGGGGCCTGCCATGCAGAGGGTCTGATGTCAGGTATGAGTGAAGGTTTAAAAGGACTGCTGCAACTTGGTCTTGGTCACACAAGCATGATGCAGACAAGATGCCAGTCCAGGATTCTTGAAGAGGTTGTGCTGGTGCACTCACCCTGCTGCATGATCAGAGAGGTGTGTTCTGTTTGTCAGGCATGAATCTCCACTTGAGAATTGTCGGCAGGGAGGCTTGAGGTGTTGTAGGAGCTGCCCAATTTGCCCTTTCCCAGTGTTGTGCGGGGTGTCAGGCTCCTGCCAGGGCAAGATGGACATGAGCCTCCGTGCGACCTCCACAGATTGTATCTTGCGTTGCAGCTGTATCTTGCTGGAGATCGACGAGTGAGTCTCCAGCATTGTAGCATGCTGCCCCTTCCAGATGTGCAGGTGGTCAGGCGTTGATTGGTCTCAAGAAGCCTGCCGCCTGACATTGGTGTGTCGCACAGCGGGGCTCCTGACATGCCTTGATGGCTGTTGCTGGACACGCTGCGCAACAAGGGTGATGGTGCCTGGTGCATCGGAACTTGCCTTGCTTCCCAAGATGAGCTTGTTTGAGGGAGAGGTGTTGTTGTCATTGTTGCCACACAAAATTGCATTCTTGTTGCAGAGCACAAGGTGCCTTCATTGACCTCAAGCCAGCCTCACCTGTGTTCCTTGCCAGTGCCACAGTCAGTGCACTTAAACACAAACCTGCCTGTGCCAGCTCCCCTTGCAGTTCAAACATGCAAGGCTTTGCCTGGTGTTTCAGCCAAGCTTGCTGCCCTTTCTGGTCTTGCTGCAGCCCCTCTTGGGTGGCTGCATGCAGGTAGCCTTCTCAAGCTGCTTTGCCACGTATCTGCTGTCAGTAATGCTGCCATGGCCCTACCAGACCCACATTTGCATAATTGTGCACAGCTGATCATGTAAATTTGGCTGTATCTGTGAATTGGCATGCTGAACCAGCAGCAAAGAAAGAATGGTGGAGATTAGGTAGAGGGGAGAGTTGTTGAGGATGAGGGAGGATGGCATCCAGATGCAGATGATGGAGGAACACCTGCATCAAGCCAGAAAAAAAAGATAGGCTCTGCTGCACCAAGTTTGGGCCTTGGCCACTGACAGATGCAAGCTCCATCTTTGCTACAGACTCATCACCTAGGCAGATGTGATAGCACAATTTTTGTGTTGACAAGTGAGCAGTGACAAAAAGAGTCCTTCAACAAGCCAGAGTTGGCATGTTGTCTGCTTGATTGCATCTGTAGAAAGGCTGCTGCAGTCATTTAAAACTTCAGTGTCTATGTCTGCAAGAGCATGGCCTGATCCAGCTCATACTTGTGCTGCTCTTATTACAATTGACGCACTTGAAGCCAAGCTAAGTTATGAGTTTTGTGGGCGTTACAGTCGACACATTTAAACCCAAACCCGCTGGCGGCTGGCGGAGTGCAGGGGCTTCCCCTGCAGTTGGAGCATGCCAGGGGTTGCCCTGTTACTCGGCTGAGCCAGACGTCACAGATGTTGGACCAGGCAGCCTTGTGGCACTGTGTGCGTTGTCAGGCCGCGCCTCGGCTGACATCCGCGGGGGCGGCCCGAGTCCCGAGGCCGGGGCTGCGCCCTCGGGGCCGAGCGGCAATTGCCGCAGTCGGCCCCGCGGCAGGAGGAAAAGATCCGAGGCTGTCAGTACAAATACTGCGGGACGGCGAGGAGGCCCTCGGAAGGCTCCTCGTCGAATGTACTATATCCTCTGCTCACTAGAGACTGGTACAGCATCGATATCCTTACTCCTCTCCATCCCTGACCTCTCCGCGCAAGCCCTACACCGTCCTCGGCCGCCCGCGGTATCCCAAGACCCCGAGGGCTTAACATGCGTGCGGGCACCCGGTCTCGATGTGCCGTGTTGGTGGAGTTGCAGTTCCGCGTCATGGGATTTGATGACTGAGGTGGATGGACGGGTGATGGTGGCAACAACAAAGGAATGCAGGCCAGGCCAGCTCAGAAGTTGGAAGCAAGGCACAGCAAGCAATCAAAATTCAATCAAAACAGGGGGTATTCCATGCACACATGGCTTCAGCCCTTTGCCACATGTTGGTCACACAAAAATGTCTGGCACTACCAAGTCTTGCAGCAACAGTGTCTTTGCTGGGCTGCTGTCCAAGGATGAGCTCCTTGGCCACCTTCCTGTCCAGGTGGGTCTATCCCATCTTCATCCTGCTCTTTGAGAAGACATCATTCAACCAAGTCAGCATTGCCAAGTTTCTGCTCAACAAGACCCCCTCCTGGTAGCATGCTGCAAGGTGTTCTTTGGCTGCCTCAATTGATGCCACAGCTCAGGTCTCTGGCTGTTGCAAGGAGAGCCATCACCCAACAGGCTTGTCCCTTGCCCACACATACATGTCATCTGCATGTCACATGGCTTCAAGACCTTAAGCCATGCTCACTTGAGGACTTAAACAGTGATGCACAGAACGTGATATTTGAGTCGAGGTGCTGGTTGCTTTGAAGCAAGCCTCACTTGATTGCCCACCTGCCTGCCAGTCAGCCAGCAATTGAGAAGCCAGAGGGCTGATGCATGTGTCTTCTTTGGCCCTCTACACCCCCTGTCTCCTGCAGGCTGCAGCAGTCCCTTGAAGTCATCAATCAGTCTTTTATTCAAAGAGCCAGTTGGCCGCGACGCGCAGCAGTGGTTGCAGCACGGTCTGCTTGAGCTGCACGAAGCCCTCAGCTGGCCGAGACCAACACCGACCGCCAGGCCAAACGAAATTGGGGGCGCCGCCGCGTCTCATGTTGCAACTCCACACCACCACCATCCTCTCCGGTAACCATCTCTTGTCGGTCTGACCTCCCTGCCGCCTTCTACAACGCTCGCCGCGGAACGCATCCTCGGCCGCTCACGCTGCGCCATGTCCAGCCATCCGTCCCGGCGATCTGATAACGCCGCCTACCAGCAGCAGCACGACGCCGACCCACGCAGCCAGCCCTCGTCGTCGCGATACCCCATGCAGCCCACGGCCGCCCCGCCGCCACCGGCCAGCGAGTCGGAGATGGTGCGCGAGATGTACAGGATGCTGGGCAACCTGACCCGCTCCCTCGTCCCGGCCACGCGCAAGCGGCGCGACGAGACGGCCGAGGAGCGCCAGGCGCGCAAGGAGCTCAAGGACCGCCTCGACGACGAGGGCTACGACATTGTCGAGATGAAGGAGCACTCGTCGCGGCCCACCGAGCCCCAGATCACCGACATGGTCCAGCGCAAGCTGTCCCGGTGGGCCGTCGATGGCGGCCACGGCTCGACGGTCCGGTACGCCAACCTGGTGGCGCGGCTCAAGAGCCACCCGCAGCGGCCCCGCCACGTCACCGCCATCCTCGATCTGCTCGAGCAGCTTGCCTTCACAGCCGGCCCCTCATCGACGCTCCACGAGCCGGGCGCCGCGCCGCGCAGAGCAGCCGATCCACGCCCGACGTCGTCGAGATCCGCTCACGAGGCCGTGTCCAACAAGGCCGAGGCCGCCCCCGCCGACGACGCATTTCAAAGATCCCCACCGTCACCGCCCGCCTCACGTCCCGACCGGGCCGAGTTGTCCAACACCAAAGCAGCGCCGCCGCCAAAAGGCCACGCCACGACACCAGCAGGGGACTCACATCCTGAGCGCGAAGCCAGCACATCTGCGCCGACCGCACAGAGCCTGCAGCAGGACGGCAGGCTACCGCGCAAGGAGCTCCTCGAACGATGGAGGGCCAGGCAGAACGCGCCCGACATCCCGGAAGAGGAGCTGCTGCGGGACGTCGTCTACATCCTTCAGGGCATCAGCGGACGCTACGTGCGGTGGGAGGAGCACCATCAGCTGCCCACCGTCGAGCCGGGCGAGCAACCGGGCGAGCCCGAAAAGGTGCTGCGGGTCGTCATCGAAGAGCAGGGCCGTGGACGCATCGATGCGCCGACGCGGCACTTGATCCACCGCCTGGCCGAGCTCGGCCGGCTCTACCGCCGCGTGTCCGAGTTTCTCCAGGAGCGGACCGGTGCTCCGGGGTCGGGCCTGATCATGCAGAGCCTCTGCCACTTTATCTCCAACGAGCTGACGGGCTACTACCGCCTGGTCGCAAGCCTCGAGGCCCAGCTAAACCGCGCCGGCACTCCTGGCGTCGAAGGCGGCTCGAAAACGACGGAGGCCTCGACCTACGTCACCCTCAAGCGGATGGGCGTGTGGACCGAGGAGACGGCGCTGCGGATGCGGATGACGAGCACCATCATCGAGAGCTGCCGCCACGCACACGGCGGCGCCATCGTCTCGCTGATCCACTCGTACACCTTCAACGGCGACCCCTTTATCCGCAAGTTCACGTCACAGCTGCTTGACGAGGTCTCGAGGCCGTTCTTCCACTCGCTCTCGCTGTGGATCTACGAGGGGGAGCTCGAGGATCCCTTTGACGAGTTCTTTGTCGAGCTCAATTCGGACCCGCGGAGGCCTGCCGGCGGTGGCGGCGGCGGCGGCGACAGCGGCGACCTCTCGGGCTTCCAGGGCTTGGAGGCCGACGCGGCGTCGCTGTGGCAGAACAAGTTTGTCTTCCGCAAGCCGATGCTGCCCAGCTTCCTCGACGAGTCGTTTGGGCGCAAGATCTTTTCGACGGGCAAGAGCCTCAACTTTATCCGCCATAGCTGCGGCGACTCGGACTGGGTGGCCACCAGGAGCAACCTCGACGCCTCGGCCAAGGACCTCCGCTACACGGACCTCTCCGGCCTCGAGCGGACCATCGACACCGCCTTCACCATTGCCAGCAAGCGCCTGCTCGACATCTTTCTCGACGACTTTAAGCTGCTCGACCACCTGCGGGCGCTCAAAGACTACCTGATGCTCTTCCGCGGCGATTTCGTCGACCTGCTGATGCAGTCGCTGGGGTGAGGCGAGGCGTGGCGCCGCCATGATAGAGTGTGATCCGGGCGATGGCATGCTGACAACCTCTGCCCTCCGTCATCCACGGCCGCCCGACCGACACACAGATCGAGCCTGAGCCGACCGGCCGCGTCCCTCTTCCGACACAACCTGACCGCCTCGCTCGAGACGGCGGTGCGCGGCTCGAATGCCCAGTTTGACGACCCAGACATCCTCAAGCGGCTCGACGCCCGCATCCTGGAGTTCAGCGAGGGCGACACTGGCTGGGACACGTTCACGCTCGAGTACAAGGTCGACTCGCCCGTCAACACGGTGCTCGACACGCCGGCCATGATCGAGTACCAGACCATCTTTTCGCACCTGTGGAAGATCAAGCGGGTCGAGCTGGCGGTCAACGCGAGCTGGATGCGGCTCCTCTCGTCGTCGGGCACGCTGCGGCGCATCAGGAAGAAGGAGGCTGTGGGCAGAGGTGAGTCGCACGCGGCGACCGCACCGCTGAGCCGCCGAGCTGCCGCTCGACCGACATTCTGCTGACACTCAGCTTGGCCGACATCGCCCTCACCGAACGCCACTCTCGCAGACCTCGACCGGGAAGCCCATATCGCGCTGGTCATGCTCGGCGAGATGATCCAGTTCGTGCGCCAGATGCAGGGCTTCTGCCAGCTCGAGGTGATCGAGTACTCGTGGGACGATCTGGTCAAAAACATGGCGCGCAAGGAGGGCGACCTCGACGAGCTGATCGAGTCGCATCGGCGGTACCTCAACGCGCTGGTCAACAAGGTGCTGCTCAAGGGCGGCAAGCGTGGGGCGCACAACTACCTCTCCGAGGAGCTGCGGGCTCAGTTCAACACCATTCTTGCCTTCACCTTGGCCGTCGACGATCTGTCGCACGTCATTACGGGAGAGCTGGCGCGCCATGACCTGGAGAATGTGAGTCGATGCCGACGTGCACGAAGCGTCTTCAGACGGCGGCGCCGGCGCACCTGCCAACGGTACACGCACTGACCGACTGGCGCTCGTCGTGGACCACCTCCCTCCCTGACAGCCGTCGACCAGGCCGCCGCAGCATGCAAGCCTGCGGGGTCCGCGCTCTTCGCGGCCCTCGAGCGCCGCTGGCCTGAGCCTGCCCCCCGCCGACCCGACGGCGATTTCCAAGATCTCCCAGCGGCTTCGGGAGCAGTCGGCGACGTTCCAGGATCGAATGCAGACGATCGTCAATGCGCTCGAACGGCACTCGAACCTGACTGTCCGCGATCTAGGCGTGAGTTGGCCACGCTGTCCTCGCTCGAACTACCGTCGTCTCCCCTCATCGACTGACCTTCGCCACGCTGCGGATCCGCGATGGTCGATTTGACTGCAGAGCCGCCTCAACTTCAACGTCCACTACGAGACGTCGCGCAGGGAGTCGTCGTCGCGCCGCGCCGCCGAGGTCAGGAGCACGGGGCCAGGCGGTGCCAGCAGCGTTGCAGCGTCGTCGCCGCCGCCGGGTCGGCCATCCGCCCAGCAAGTCGGTGGAGCCGCTTCTGAACCGACGGCGGCCTGAGGAAGTCGAGAGTTCTTGGCCTGACCTTTCGATTGACGATACAATTAGTGGCTTGCCGTCTGAGCATGTCTCTTCTCGACGCGAGAGAGAGAGAGGGAGAGAAGAGGCAGGTGTGGCGACCAAGTCTATGGGCGAGGGCGTGGGCCGGCCCGCCTCGGTCGTTTGGTCGGTCATTCGGCTGCGTTCATGTTTGTTTTCCCAGCGCCCAAAAGCGAGGGCCAGGACGGCAGAGGGCAGAGATCGAGAAGGAGCGGCGATACCTGAATGTGCAGTTGGCTGAGGAGCGTGGGTGACTCTCGGGGTGTCCCTCTGCCCCCGCCCCGCCCTGCCCCGCCGCGCCCCAGCCCGCCACTCCCCGGGGTCCAACGCCGGCGGTAGCGAAGCGCGGTTGCTGGCGAGCGAGCTCGTTCTGGCCGAAGCGAGGGCCAGCCAAGCAAGCAGCCAGGCTCGGCCAGCAGCGGATCTAGCTAGTCTGGCCACCCGGTCTCTTCTTGCTTGACTTGCTTGCTTTGCTTGTGTACCGCGATCCGCGTGCATGGATCGACAGGGCGTGCGTGGCTGGCAGGCCCACGCGCTGGCTCTGGGCCCTGTCCCCGGTCCAGCTGCGCTCTTCACCATCAGCTGCTCGCCGTACATATCGCCTTGGCTTGGGCAGGCCGGGTTCGGGCGGTGGCCTGGCTGGCTGGCTGGCGTGGCGTGGGCGGGCTCCCCGCACCTGGGAGCCCGTCGGGCGCGAGGGGTTCGTGTGCCAGGTTGGATTTTCCAGCCGGCCAGCGGGGCTTCGGTTTTTTCCACCGTGCGCGCGCGCTTGCCTGGGCTAGTTTGGGCTGGCTTGACCTGGCCAGGCCAGGGCGCGCCGCTTGCTTGCTGCTTGCTTGCTTCTTTGCCTTGTCTCAGCCCCCGTGCAGCTGGCCGGGGGTCAGGCCAGACCAGGCCATGCAAGCCAGGGCAGGGCAGGGCAGGGCAGCGGCGGGCGCCTGCGCGACGATGCTTCTTTTCCCCCCGCCCCGCCCAATCATGTCAAGGGCAGGCGGCCGGGCGTGCGTGCGTGCGGTGCAGCCAGGCAGGCACAGCCAGGCAGGCGGGCGGGCAGGCAAGCAAGCAAGGCTCCCGCTCCGTCTCCTGGTGCTCTCTCTCTCTCTCTATCGTCTCGCCGCTGCCGCCTCTTCCCTATCTCCCTCGTCGTTGTCCGCGCACTTACCCTTCATCCCTACAGCAGCCCGCCTGCCCCCCTTCTGCCCTTGCCCAGACGACCAGGCTCCTTGCGTCGCCTGCCCTCTGTCGTCGCCGCCACCGACCCTAGCCTCACACTCTTTCGACACCACCACCACCGCCACCGCCACCGCCGCCGCCCCGACGCAGCCCTCTCAGCCGCCCTTGGACGCTGCACAGCGTCACCGGCTCTCTTGTCCTCGTTGCGACCTCCTCTGCTTGCTTTGTGCTTGCTATACGCTTGCCCTCGCACCACCTTGCATCGATCACCGGCCTGCGTCTCCTCCATCGTCTCTCTCTGACCCACCCGGCGGCAGCTACGTCTCGCAAGCACTCGTTGCGACCACATACTATCGCGCCTCAACAGGCGATTGAGCAGACGACGCAGCCAGCAAGCTCGTTCCCAAGCTCGAGCGCGTTTTAATCGCCGCTTGCTCGTCCGTCTGGCTGCCGTAGCTCCTGACACCCATCCCCCGGCACCGATCAGCGCTGCCCTTGCTCGCTCTCGTCTGGCTGCTTGCTCCCTTTCTCGGAACGAGCCGACGCACGCGCTCGAGAGCAAAGAGCGACGGCATCAGTCTCGTGTCTCGAGCGATTCCGACCGCTCCCGAACCAGCACCCCGCCTTTGCCGCCGCCCAGCCGTCGTCCCCCGGCACCGCATTCGCCTGCCATGACGACGCTCCAGCAGACATCCAACGGCGCCTATGGCCCTTCCTCGCCCTCGGCCGGCAGCTTTGTCGAGGGCAGCGGCAGCCAGCGCGACAGGAGCGGCATGATGAGCAAGCGCCTGACGGCCGCCAGCCTTAGCAACCGCAACACGAACCGATACTCGGTCACCGCCCTCTACAGCATGGCCGCAGAGCAGGACATTGAAGTCGAGGACGACCTCGCGCGAGCGCAGAAGCGGCTCCGCGAGCTCAAAGGCAGGATCTCGGCCCAGTCAAAGAAGAACTTTGTCCTGGAGAGGGACGTGCGGTACCTCGACAGCCGCATCGCCCTGCTTATTGCAAATAGGATGGCGTTGGACGAGGTGAGTACATGGCTGCAGCGGGAAGTCCAGACGTGTGGCTCTGCGCTCTCGCCTGGCGTCGTGTACAGTGTCTGATCCCACCTCTCTTCCGCTCACCCCCTCCTCTTGCCCCTGCAGCAATCGGAGGTGGCGAGCACGCTGGAAGACGCGGACCCCTCGGCGGGGACGACGCTCGACGACCGCAAGATGCAGCAGTACGGCAACCTCTTTTTCCTGCTGCAGTCGGAGCCACGCCACATCGCCGCGCTCTGTCGGCTTGTGAGCCTGGCCGAGATCGACACGCTGCTGCAGACGGTCATGTTCACGCTCTACGGAAACCAGTACGAGAGCCGGGAAGAGCACCTGCTGCTCACCATGTTCCAGTCGGTGCTCTCGGCGCAGTTTGAGACGGCGACCGAGTTCGGCTCGCTGCTCCGAGCAAACACGCCAGTGTCGCGGATGATGACGACCTACACGCGCCGAGGGCCGGGCCAGTCGTACCTCAAGAGCGTCCTGGCCGAGCGGATCAACAGCCTGATTGAGCACAAGGACCTCAACCTCGAGGTCAATCCGCTCAAGGTCTACGAGCAGATGATCAACCAGATCGAGGAGGACACGGGCAGCCTGCCGCCCAACCTGCCGCGTGGCGTGCCCGCCGAGGTGGCGCAGGAGAATGCCGACGTCCAGGCCATCATTGCGCCCCGCCTCACCATGCTCATGGAAATCGCCAACAGCTTCCTGCTGACGATCATCAACTCGATCGAGGAGGTGCCCTACGGCATCCGCTGGATCTGCAAGCAGATCCGCAGCCTGACGAAGCGCAAATACCCGGACGCCACCGAGTTTGCCATCTGCTCGCTCATCGGAGGCTTCTTTTTCCTGCGCTTCATCAACCCGGCCATCGTCACGCCGCAGGCCTACATGCTCGTCGACGGCCCGCCGGCCAAGCACCCGCGCCGGACGCTGACCCTCATCGCCAAGATGCTGCAGAACCTGGCCAACAAGCCCTCGTACGCCAAGGAGCAGTACATGATGTCGCTCAACCCGTTTGTCGAAAACAACAAGACGCGGATGAACGCCTTCCTCAACGCCCTCTGCGACGTCGGCGACTTTTACGATACCCTCGAAATGGACCAGTACATGGCGCTCTCGAAAAAGGACCTGCAAATCTCGATCACGCTCAACGAGCTCTACGCCACCCACTCGCTCGTGGCGCAGCATCTCGACGTGCTGGCGCCCAACGACAAGCACCACCTCCGCATCCTCATCGACGAGCTTGCCGGCTCGCCGGGCCAGGTGCCCCGCAAGGAGAACCGCACCGTCGACCTGCAGCTCTTCAGCCGGTGGGAGACGCCCATCCAGGACCTCACCACGGCCTTCATGTCCGAGAACAACGTGACCCAGAACGACATCCTCTACATGGAGACCAAGTCGATCTTTGTCCAGCTGATCCGGTCGATCCCCTCGCTGGCCGACCGCCGCCCCATCAACCTGCCCCAGATTGCCGAGCGGGCGGCGACGACCAAGGACGCGACGCTGGTCCGCAAGGGCATCAAGGTCAAGGAGATGCTGCGCGAGCTCGAGGAGCTCAAGGTCGTCGACCGCCGCGACGGCTACAGCCTCATGACGGACGAGGTCGCCACCGAGCTCGCCCACCTCGGCAACATGCGCGAAAAGGTGATGCAGGAGATGCGCAGCCTCGAGGCGGTGCTCAAGACGATTGGCGAGCACAACAACTACCTCCGCAGCCAGCTCGACACCTACAAGAGCTACCTGCAGAACGTCCGCATGACGAGCGGCGCCGCCAAGGACAAGGCCACCGGCGGCGTCGGCGTCGTCTCGGTGGGCGGCAAGGAGAAGAAGGCGACCAAGGTGCAGGTGCTCGGCCCGTACCGCTTCACCCACGCCCAGATGGAGAAGGACGGCATCATCGTCGAGAGCAACGTGCCCGAGAACCGCCGCGCCAACATCTTCTTCAACATCACGTCGCCCTCGCCCGGCACCTTTATCATTGCGCTGCACTACAAGGGCCGCGAGAAGGCCATCCTCGAGATGGACCTCAAGCTCGACGACCTCCTCGAGAAGCAGAAGGACGACGTCCAGCTCCTCGACCTCGAGTACGTCCAGCTCAACGTCAGCAAGATCCTCCAGCTCCTCAACAAGACGTTTGCCAAGCGCAAGTTCTGAGGCGCGGGCCCGACGCTTTCGCCGCGGTCGGTCCCTCCACACTTGCCCACCAAGGCCTCGCCAGGTCGCCGCAATATACCCAGCATCGAGGCTGCCTGCTCCTCGGCGCCGACGCGGCGGCCGGAGCCTCGCCAGACGCGGGCGTTGCCCTGTCTCGCCGTCGACTGCGCGGGGCCTCTGCTCCCGCCAGTTCCGCCCGCGTGTTGCGCAGCAGTCGCGCATGTTGTCCTTGTGCACATTTGTCGTTGTCCAGTGGCGGTACCACGTCAGGTCTGTCGGATCGTTGTCTCGCCCTCGCTCTCTCGCCTTGCCTCTCTCGGCCCCTCTCTATTTGCGTTCGCCCCTGTTGTTTTGTTTTAATATCCTCGCCGGTCACAACCTTTTGCCCAACCGCCTCTTCCTCGACGGACGCGGCTCTGCGTCGCTCGCACTCGCTTCTTTGGGCCTGCCGTCTCTCTGGCAGCATCGTGTACTCTTGTCGGGTCGGGCAGAATCAGGCTATTCGATCAACGGACGGGCGAGGGCCGCACGAGGCGTCGATTAACATGCAGGTCGTCGCGGGATGGCCGATCGGGCAGCGACGACGACAAGGGATGCGGCCGACGTTGCAAGCAGTCGGTCGCAGGAGGCCAACACGGAGACCCTGCCCAGCCAGCCATGCCTACCGAAGCCGCCTCTTGACTACAGAGCAGCCGGTATCGGCGCTTGAGCCTCGTCCTCCTTCTTGGCCTCGTCTTTACCACCGGCCACCCCACCGGCCGACGAGGAGGCAGCAAGGCTCCTCTGGGCCTCGAACAGTCTCTGCTTGGCGATACGGACCTCGCTCTCGACGCGGTCGAGCTGGCGCTTCATCTCGAGTCCACTCGTCACGGCGCCCATGAGGCCCTCCCACTTCTCCGCATTCCGCGCCGTAGCAAAGACGAGCTTGGGCCCGATGGGCGGTCGTAGCTCCGTCAGCGTCTGCGCAGCGCGCAGGCTCAGGTTGGGCCGCGCGGCGAGGAGGCGCGAGGAACGGAGGTACACGCCGTGCGATGACGTCGGATTCGCCGGTGACGGTGCCACGGGCGGCGAGGTCGACGGTACCCCGATCAGGTGCGGGTACGGCGGTTTCGAGGGCGCCACCGCCTCTGGATCGAAGCGCGTGATGCAGTGCTGCTCGTCAAACTGCGCCTGCTTGAGCTCGGCGCGCTGCTTGCTCGTCAGGCTGCTGCTCGACCGGCTCGCGCCGCTGCTGCTCGGAGCGGCGGCGGCGCCCGCCGGCGCGCTCGACGGCTCGTTGGCCTCGTCGTCGAGCTTGCGCTTCTTCTGCGACCGCTTGCTGTCGCCGCTCGACCCGGACTGGCTGCTGCCCAGCTCGTCGGCGACGGTCAGCAGGCCCATGACGCCCGAACCGGCGGCGGCGACGCTGTGCGGCGCCGCGTTGGGCAGCGACTCCCACCCGCCCAGCAGGCGCAGCAGCTCCTCGCGCTCGCTGGCGAAGCGCGCCTCGTTCTGCTCGATCCGGCGCACCTCGACGTAGAGGGCCTCTTCCTCGGCCAGCTGGGCGGGCGTGCGGGTATAGAGGCGGGCGAGGGCCTTTTTGCGCTCGACCTCGCGCTGCTTGTCGAACGAGTAGGTGGCGAGGAGCGCCTGGCGCGTCTCGATGTCGTCGGTCGAGATGCGCGAGCGGATGAGGCGGCGGCAGATGGCATAGTAGCGCGCCTTGAGGTCCTCCATGGAGCGCGGCTTGCCCGGCCAGTCGTAGCGGTCGTGGATGATGACGAAGCGCAGGTCGTAGGCCTGGCACAGGTCGATGAGGTGGTCCGTCTCCTCCTTTGTCCAGTCGTCGTCGCGCAGGTGCTGGATGTACTCGTCGTTCGAGTAGCTGTACACGCCCGACGACGTGTTGAACTGCGAGAAGCGGTAGTCCGTCTCGACCTCGGGCGGGCCGGATGCCGACGCCGACGCCGACGTGCCCGGGTCCGCCGGCGCGCTGCGAGATTTTGCGGGTGCCCAGTGGTACAGCACCAGGCCGCTGCCGTCGTCGTCGGTGTCGTCGCGTGCCGGGTTGCGAAAGGGCGTCCACTCCCACTTCTTGGCCCTGCCGGGACGCTTCCTGAACTTTGGGCGGAAGCCAGCCTTGCCATCGGCTCCGGCGATGCCACCGGCGAGGCCCTGGGCCATGGCGAGGCTGGGCGCATTGTCGCCAAGCAGGGCAAAGAGCTCGCGGGTCATGCCGTCGAGCTTGGGGCGGGTGGCCTTTGGGGTGCTTCCCGGTGGACCATGGTGCGCGTGCTTTGCCCTGGACGAGGAGCGGTGGCGGGAGCGCGCGGAAGAGAGAGAAGAGGGGCCTGCGATGGCGCTCGCACCGGTATTGGCACCGCTGCCGACGCTCGCTGCGCCGGCGACGTTGTTGGATGAGGCGGGAAGCGAGAGGATGTCGCGGACGTCGTTCGACGTCATTGCGGGGCGCTCCGCACGGGACGGCAGATGAGACGTGGAGCAAAGCAGGTGCAAGGAAGCAAGTCCGGGCGAGAAACAGGCGAAGCAGGCAGTGATGGAGGCGGCGGTGAAAGCGGTGGTGGTGGTGGTGGTGGAAGTGATGATGGGTTGGAGGAGCAAGGGAATCTCCGAGTGCCGAGAGCGCTGCTCGGATCCGATCCGCTCCAGAGGCCTGGCCTGGCCTGGCCTGGCCGGCCCCGAGGCGGGCGCAAGGCTGACGCGCCGCACTTCCGGCGGGGGCGGGCCGGCTCAGCAGAGAGGCAGCCAGGCAGGCAGGCACGCGGGCCAGATGGAGTGAGGTGGAGCTGCCCACCTGCGGGTCCAGAAAAATCTGAATCCGCACAGACAGAGAGGCACGCACGCACACGGGACAGAGCGGCAGGCCAGGCCAGCTCAGGCAGGCACGGCAACTGGCAGCCCACCCAAACTACACCCACCCACACACAGCCACCCGCTGCCCAGCAAGCTTGACCTGCTCTCGCTCATCCTCGCCCTCACCCGCCAACGGCTCTTATTTCCACCATCCACCAGCCACACTCTTCCCTACGCTACCCTCGCAACCCCGTTACTCCTCTCGCAGCAAACATCGCAACACCAGGCAGCATCCTCATCCGCCACCTCTTGCCTTGGCCCTCGTCCGCCGCAACGTCCTCTTCAGTACCATCACCTCGCTGAACCCGCCTCGCATCGCCTCTACGCCTGCACCCGCACCTTGGCCTGCCATGGACAGCAGCGTCCCCAACCACGCCCGCCATGATCCTCCGGACACGGCATATCTGCCCAGCTACACCCCTCGTACCCGTGAGGCACCCCCCTCGGGTCCGCCTCCAGCCTACGCCGCCGTCCTAGGCAAGGTCTACCCGTACACCCTCCGACCCGTCATCCTCTTCACCACCTTTGTCACCTTCCTCTACCTCCTCCTCATCTCCATCTCGCAGTTCAAGGACGCCGCCGGCTTCGAGGTATCCGGCAAGCTCATGCTCTTCTACATCATCCAGGGATCCCTGCTCCTGCTCGTTGCCTTGGTCGAGGTGCTCGGCTTTGTGGCCGCGTTCCGGTCCAACCTCAAGCTCGCCACCGTCTACTCGCGCATCGCCCTGCCCTCGTACATTCTCGTCGTCGCCGCCCAGATCCTCGCCGTCGTGTCCCACTACACCTGCAAGAGGGACTTTATCAACGCCTGCACGGCCCAGAACACGGGCAAGCGCGTCAGCTCGGGCGACAGCTTCTGGTGGAACAGCTCGACGACCAGCTACACGCTCTCGGGGCCCGAGGCCGAGTCGTACTGCCAGGACCAGTGGAACTCGGAGTCGACCTGGACCATTGTCTGGCTCGTCGTCGTCCTGATTGTGGGTGTGCCGTTTGTCATGTTCAGCTTCGCCTTTGCCAGGCAGTTGCGCGACCCGGCCTCGGTGCGCGTGCGGGTGCAGCCCGTATGGAACTGGGGACGCAACAACCACCAGCAGGCTCCCAGCTCGCAGTACGCCCAGGGTCCCTACGACCCGCAGGCCCAGTCGTACGCCATGGGAGCTTACCCGCCGCCGCCGGCCGGACCGTACGCGCGGCCTCCAGGACCGCCTCCGCCGGACGGCAACGACCTGCCCGACTACCAGCGAGGGCCGCACGTGGGTGAGGACGACTTCAACGACCGCAAGAGCTCGATCGGTGGCCGGCAGAGCGACGGGTACGGCTACTCGGTCGGCTACGGCGAGCGGCCCGGATCGAGTCGGGGGGGCGACGCGCGCGAAAACGACGCCGCCAAGGACTCGCAGGTGACGGTCACGCTCGACGACGACGACAAGAAGGGTGGTACGCGGACCAAGACGCGCGACCACGGCGACGACGACGACGACGACGATGGTCCCAGGGTCTAGGAGGCTCCCCCGAGGACGCGCCAGCCTGATGAATGCACGCAGACAGTGGCGGGATTGCCTTTTTCCCCCCGCCCTGCTTTATTGGACGCTCTCTATTGTGATGGACACCTCTTGTACGGCCGCTCGGTTTGTCTGACTGGTACGATGACCTGCTGTGTTGCCCCTGCCTCTGTGTGTGATCTTGAAGCATGTCGAGAGCGGGCCGTGGTCGCTGCTGCGGAGCGGGCCAGCCAGACGCTGAGCCTATTGGGCACGGTACCATGCCATGTGCTGCCTGCCACGCCCAATCACGCCAGATGGGGTCACGCGCCATGTGGAGGCAGACAGGGCAAAGGGCCCGATCTGACTTGGCCCCCGATGGGGAAGTGCGTGGCGGGGCCTGCATCGTTAGCCGTGGCAGAGGCAGATGGGTAGAGGGGAGGGAGGCGGTGGGCCCTGGCCGGCTGGCCAAGCTGTCCCTGGTCAGGCTGCTGCCCGCCTTAGCTTTGAGCCAAGTCAGCCAGCCAAAAAGACTGAGGGTCGTAGAGTCGAAGAAGCGGAGCGGCTGGCCGGTCCTCATCGCCCATTCATCCTCATTCCACCCACCAGAGGGCCTTCTTGCCATCCCCTCGCTCCCGCCTCCCGCCTGACGCCTCCCGCCTTCCACCGGCCTCGACCGCGTCGATTGTCGTCAATCACTCCGGCGTGTCCTCACCTCTCGGCGCCAACGTAACGCAACGCCTCGCTTCCTGCCACCTCGACCTTCCGCACCGACGTCTGCACCCCGAGCTGCCGCCACCCATACCTCGCTCACCTGCCATCGCCCTCTCCACGCCTCCTAGCGCGCCTTGCTTGCTCTCGTCACCGATGCCATCCACCGCGCCCTCTTCAGTACTCGCTGCACTCTTGCCTGCCTCCCGCTGAACACGCACCGCCAGCCTCATCTGTTCAGGCTCTTTTCTCTCCCCTCTCTCTCTTTCTCTCTCCATCGCATCGCACCGACTCCTACGGGTCCCTCGAATCTCTTTCCCTTCAGCCTGGCTCTCGGCAGCGACGCGCCACTCCCACCTTGATCGATGCGCTAACAGTGACCCCAGAGAAGCAAGCGCTTTCACGGACTCATCGTCGTCCTCCGGCGCGCCTTTGCACCTTCCACGCCGCCGCTCCTCGATAGCGCCGGCGCCCTTCACCAGGCCGTCGTCTACCAAGGCTGCCTGGGTCACATCTCGGCGGGCCGACCTCGCCCGCGTAGCGCCCCGCACCTAGCCACGTCCTCATGGCGGGAGCTGCGCAGTCATCCCAGGCCGGGGCCACGGACCCCTTCGCGGACTTTTCGGTGAGCACTCACACCACCACATCTTCTGACCTGACCCCTCGCGCCGCTTTCCGTCCCAGTCTCTCTGCTGAAACTCGCCAGCGCAATATTTTCTGTGTGCTCGCTTCCCGGTTCGATGCCCCAGCTTGTCGAGAATGCCATTCGCGGCTTCACCATCAAGGCCCTCAAGGCCGTCATCACCGACATCAACAAGTCCATCGCGCTCAAGGAGAGGGCCTATCTCCGTCTCAGCGGAAACAAGGCCGAACTCGCCAACCGCGTCCTGAACTCGCTGCAGGACGTCAAGAAGAGCAACAGCGTTCAGCACTTCCAAAAGTTCAAGCAGATTGTCGTCGAGAATGGCGGCTGGATCCCAAACACTGCCCAACAGAACAACCCGATACGGTACGTCTCCCACAGCGCCGGCAACGTCGAGCGGAAGCGGATCTGGCATGGAAGCTGAACCTTGTCCGTGCTCTCCGTCCTCTCAGCCCGTCGAATGCCTACGCGGGTGCCAGCGGCGCGGCCTACCAAAAGGTCAACGGCGCCAGTCCCTACAGCGGCTTCCCGCCGGCAGCGGGCAGCGCATCGCCTGCGGCCACGACAGCGGCGGCCAGGACGGCTGCTGGCAATTCCGCCCAGACCCGGGTCAACTTCAAGCCCTCGCCGTTCTGGGAGATCAAAAGCTTTGTCTCCAACCTGGTCATCTGTCCGGAAGCGCCCAGCACCGAGAGGAAGACGTCGGCAGTCTACGTCACCTTCACCGAGGAGTACATCGCCCGACTCCGACAGGCGAACTCGGCCTTCCAGGCCCGCCTCTTTTGCACCACACACGAGGCTTACGCCGTCGGCCTGTCGGGGCGCTTCCAGGCGCCCGTCGAGTTCCCCTTGACGTGCGAAGTGAGGGTCAATGGCACGCAGCTCTCGACCAATCTGCGCGGCAGCAAAAAGAACGTCGGCCGAGTGCCACCACCCAATCTCAACAAGGACAACCAGCTTCTCTTGCAGTCGCAACGGCAGAACCGCATCGAGCTCACCTACACCAACTGCCCAAAGCGGCACGTCCTGATCGTCGCCGTCTGTGAGGTGACGAGCGCAGAGATGCTCGTCGAGAGGCTGCGCAAAAAGGCCCATCGCACCAAAGAGGACGTGCTCAGGTCAATGAAGAAGGCTGCAGAGGACGACGACATCCAGACCGGCTCCGCGACTATGAGCCTCAAATGTCCGCTCAGCTACACCCGGATGACGACGCCAAGCCGTTCGACGCATTGCCCCCACGTCGCCTGCTTCGACGCGTATAGCTTCTACTCGATCAACGAGCAGACGCCGTCGTGGTCGTGCCCTCACTGCAACCAGACGATCAGGCCCGACGACCTGATCGTAGACGACTACGTCGGCGACATCATCAAAAAGGTGCCGGATGACTACGAAACCGTCATCGTCGAGCCGGACGGCTCTTGGAGGACGCCGGACGGCAAGGTGGCCTCGGAAGGCTACGTGGCTGCAGCGGCGACAGGATCAGCGGCACCGACGCCGGGTCCATCGCGACCGACGGCGTCGGCAGAGCCGCGCAGCGACAACGGCCACAGCCGCGAAAGCCGCGCTGCGCCGAGCTCGGACGACATTGTCATTCTGGATAGCCCGAGCCCACCACCGGTAGGGCCGTCGCTCGCCAAGCTAGCATCAGCAACGCCGGCACCACCACCACCGCTGCCCTCGCTGCATCCTCCGGCTCCGACCAGCGTAGACAGCAGCCGCCAGTCGTCGGCCCGCCCTGCCCCAGAGCCTGCCGTCATCGATCTGACCTTGAGCGACAGCGACGACGAGCCCTTGCGCCTGCTACCACGGCCTCGACCGCCGCTGGCGTCGTCTACGGCGGCTTCGGCGCCGATGTCCGCTTCCGCGTCAGCATCATCCTCTTCGGCCATGCGTCCGCCCCATCTCAACGGGTCTGCCGCATCCCAGAACGGCGCGTATCCACGCCGGCCTTCGAGCAGCCACGCTCCTCCTGGTCAGCCTCAACCTGCGGCCGGTGGGAGCTTGGCGGCAGCAGCACGGCGGCCCAGCACTGACGGCGCGCGCAGCGCCTCCTCTTCAACTAGGCACGCCAACGACGATACCCCCTCTGACGACGAAGTGGTGCGCCGGCCGGGGAAGAAGGCGAGGCTGGAAGCCTCGCAGGGCGCACAGCCTGGACCTGGGCCCGGCCGGCCACTTGGCAATGGCGGTCTCCCCGCCGGGGACTCGCCCAGACCCGGCTCAGACGGCAGTGCAGGTGGGCCCTTTGCCGGTCCCTCGAGGTCGAACACCAACCCACTGCATCCTTCCAGCACCGCCGTGGGCTCGCGGTACGCGTATCCTCCGGGAGCCCCTCGTCGACTGTCGGATCGAGGCGGGGTCGCGGGCGGTGGCGCCGGCACTTCCTCGTCCTCGTCCTCGCGACCGTCCTATCCGGTGCCGTACCTCGATACAGACATAGGCGTCACCGGCAACGGCAACGGCACGGGCGACGGGTACAGCAGCAACGGCATCAGCAATGGCAACGGCGCCAGGGCGGGTGGAGGCGGAGGCGGAGGCGGAGGCGGAGGGGATGGATCCTCGCCTCTTGGCGACTCTCCAGGCGCCAATGGCCGCCGCACACGGAGGGGGGAGGGATACGACGGGGCAGAGTGGGGCGACGACGTCGATGGCTCCTCGGAGCGCGGCTACACGGGCGTGGGGAGGGACACGTACTTTGCCGACGACGACTGGTGGTGACCCGCCCGCTCGCTCTGACGAGACCGAGGCGACGAGTTGGGGAGCGGCGCAGGGCCCCGCGCCTCTTCGACATGATCTCTCCATTGCAGCCGCCGAGTGGGGCCAGGCGGCTGAATTAGCCCGACTCGACGATGCACGACACGACACCTGTTGTACTACTACCAACCACCAACCACCATCATCATCTACCGGCTCGACCTTGGGCCATTCTCGCATCCAAACGGGCCTAGGGAGCTCCGCACCCGAGCGCGGGCAGGTTGCTGGCCTGTTTTTCGGGAGGCGGCCCTCGGCCCCGGTTCGCCGTTGCATGCTCGACACTCGTTCCCTGGGCCCACAGACGTACGAGCCAGGTCGTAGGATGGTATGGACGATGCCATTGCAGAAGAGGCCCTCGTGCGGCCGGATTGGGGGGGGGGGGGTATATGGTGAGAAGGAGACCAGCCCGGGTACGACCGGGCTGTCCATTGCGCAGCGCAGCGTACTGCCGCTACCGCTGCGGCTGCGGCTGCATCTGGTGCCGATGCGATCAAGCGCCAACCAACACAGGGGCGGCTGAGCAAAACCTTGCTGGGCATGTCCCGCGCAGGCTGGTTTGCCGCTTCGTCGTGGGCAGGGCGGAGTGGGTCTGGATTCCGCTGCTGTTTGACCCCCTCTCCGCCCTCGCCTTCGCCTTTGTTTTCGTTTTCGTTTCCGCTCTCGAGCAGGACCAGTCGCAAGCATGAATGTGGGCTGGGCTGCCAGCCGGTCTCTTGATTCCTTGAATAAAGGGAACGCCCATGGCGACATCACTGTTGGCGGGAACGGACAAGTCACAATGGCGGCGGGTCAGCTTCAAGTCTACCACGCCCAACACCCATCGAGCCCGGTCTGCACTCCTACTCACCACCAGGAGCGACAGGGGAGCGGTGAGGAGCACGACGAGCGCGAAGCTCGCCCATCTTGCAGGGCCGCCGGTGCCTATCCGCGAAGCCGACGATGTGGCTCTCGCTGCGTTGCTCGTATCTTTGCCGTTGCGGCTGCAAACACCGTAGGGCACCGGCGTCGTGCCCGAGCAGTGCGCCTCGGTGACAAACTGGTAGCAGGAAAACACTGTACAGCAGCAGGAAGAAGAGGATCGCGGCGATTCGTCAGCCCATCAGGCGTTCTGGCTCCGGCGTGGCCTGTAGAGTCGGTAGGAGAGACTCGAGACCGGACACCACTCACTGTCCGCGTAGTTTGAGGTCCGGCAGATGGGGTGGTCGAGCGCCGCTGCCATTTCGGCTGAGGCGTTGGGCACGCTGAAGCTCGCATCGTAGATGCCTCCAACGGCTGCGCAGCAGTAGTCTGTGACGTCGGCGAAGCTGAGAAAGGGGCAAGAAGCAGCCGGAAGATGAGGTGCGACGATTGCCTGGTCAGAGACACGCCTCTGGAGACACGTTGAGGCTGCCCTGCCCTTCTCAGCGCCGCGACCAATTCTGGCCAACTCACTATGAGGCGCAGGAGCCCATCGGCGTCTCTGGAGATATGGTGCTGGCCTGTGATGCGGTGCAAGAGCCATTGAAGTCGCCTCTCGCGTCCATCGCAATCGACATGCGCGGCCGCTCGTTGGCAGCGTCTGCGCGGGCGGACAAGGCCATCAGGGCAAAGGGCGAGGCGGCAGCGCTGCCACCACTACTGGCCCCCGCTAGAGCAACCGGAGCTGGGACCATGGCGGAATGGTTATCGCGGCGAAGTTCGGTGTGGGCTGTCGGCGAGTGCTGCTTCTTTCTGGCTCGGTCTTGGTACAATCTCAATTTGACATCGACAGATGATGGAGATGGAGCAGGCGTGGGCGGTATGGCTCCCGGGCTGGACGCGACGGTTAGAGGTCTGGTTGTGGGTCCGTGGTGTGGCCGCCAACGACTGCGAGCTTGTCCCGTGTAGCTGAGGTAGGCGAGGTAGAGCGGCGGTCCTAGGAGAGCATCGAGCCCGACACTGCTATGGCGAAGCGGTGCGCGGCAGTGTCGCTAGCCTGGGCGGTGAGGCGAGCAGGCGGGATAGGCTCGTCGTAGTGCTGGACTGCGAGGCTAGCGGCAGGAGAGACCCGAGAGTGGTCTTCGAGAGCGACGAGGTGATCAGGGCGACGCCACAAGGAGACAAGGTCGGTAGTGCTCGTCGGTGGTCGAAGCAGGCGGGGTATCCATGGGACGATGGGTGGGGCGTTGCGAGGCGTACTTAAGAAGGGATTGGCGCGAGCATGAAAGGCAGCCGACTGGCGTCGTCGCAGGAGGGCTGGTGGTGGTGGTGCTGGTGGTGGATGGTGTCCAGACGATTGGTGAGCTCGCTGTGAAAGGGCACATAGAGGCTGCCAGGAACGAGGCCGACGGCGACAGATGCCTGCCAAGGTCGGCGGATCGAGCAGACAGGCAGACAGGCAGGCAGGCAGGAGCCGGGCGTGCGGGCGGCGAGGTGGACGGGGGAGCGGGATTGGACCGAAGCCGGGCCCTGCTGGGCTTGCTGGGCTCAGAAAAGTCTTGGCAGAGCCAGACCTGCAGGAGGGTAGGCAGCCAAGGCAGCCTACCTGCAAGCAAGCAAGCAAGCGCAGGACCACCACCGACCAAAGCAGCGCTTCGGGCCTTGGCTTTTTCGCTCGGCCTGCCCCTCGACCCGCCTCGTGTTTCTTTTTTTTTCTGGTTCGGTCGGCGCGTGGTGGGCCTGGCGAACTCACCACCCCGCTCTTCTCTGCCCGACTCGCCTGGCCAGGCCGTGTGGGCGAGCAGCGACGACGAGGGACTGCGGACCAGAAGGCTCGCGCTTAGCGCTTTCAGAAACCAGAGGAATCCGTGTGCGAACAGACAAGAGGGCAGCTGGACTCGTCGCCTTGGCGCGATCGCGCCAAGCGCAAGCCGGTTCAGAGACAGCCAGAGAGCAGAAAGTCTCCGCGAGAGCCCAAGAGGAGGGCGGGGGTTAGGGAGGTTGGCCAAGAGCGCAGCTAGACCTCACGGACCAGCGGAACGGCCTTGCGGCCTTTGGCGAGCGGGGCCTCCTCTGCCTGCCTGCTTCTTGGATTTGAAATCCGCCCCTGGCCGCCTGCCTTTGCTTGGCCCCGCCTCTGGGCTCGATGCGCCAATTTGCTTGGCATGCAGCGCCAGGCCAGGCTGGGCCATCATGCCACCTCGACCGTCCGGCTGAGATCAGCACGAGCACGCCGCCAGGCCAGGCCAGCCAGCAGCCTTCGGCATCGGCCCGTTCGCGCGACACGCCAGCCGAGCCTGCGTGCTTGGCCTGCCGGCCGGCCGATCAACCATCCACGCGTCGCTTCCACCCACTCTCTAAGTACTGCCCCGCCGGCCCGGGCCAAGCTGGCCAAGCTTCTCGGCCTGCCAGATTCACGCCGCTTCCCGCAGCCCGACCGTCTTGGCTCGCCGCAGTCACGGCTCGAACGTCCTCGCAGCATCAAGAGCGAAGCAAGGCGCGCTGCGAGGGCCATGCATGGTTGTGGGTGGCGGCATTGGACGGACGGGAACAAACCTGACGAAGTAGAGTGAGGGTGTTGCTGGCCAACAGAGAAAGATATTGATACAGTTACGTGGTAACCGCCGCCTGCAAACAGCAGGCAGCGCCAGCACAAAGGGGGCCGACGACCATGCCGCAGCGGCAGCCGCGATGAATAGATGGTGCTGGACACGGCGGTAGGCGCGAGCAAATACCACTGCGCCTTGGAACGAGTGCTGAAAGGAGTCGGGCGTCGAGGAGCGGAGCTACCATTACCTAGCTAGTCGCTGCGTGGCGTTCCCGACAGCCAACCTCGAGGACCGGTCCAGCCTCCCTGCCCGGCGAGGAAGCGGTGCTCGCAGATCTGGGCCGCCGTGGGCCGCAGCGCAGGATCCACCTCGAGACACCGCGAAATGAGGTCCACCACGTCGTCCAGCCGACCTCCTCCATCGAGCTCAGCGTGCGGCGGCTTCTTGCGCGCAACGTTCCAGGTCGCTGGGTCGAGCGAAGTCTCGCTCGAGTTGGCCGCCTCATCGTCGACGTCGCCGCTGGCTGCACCAAGGCCGCCAGATCCGTCGGCGTCCGCCAGCACGTTGCGCTCGCGCAGCGTCTCCTTGGCCCTCGATCCTTCCACCAGGCCCTCGATGGCCTCCTCGCCGTTCCAAAAGGGGCACTCGCCGCACAGCAGCACAAAGCCCACGACGCCCAGCGCCCACACGTCCTGCGCCTGCCCGGCGTACTTTTCGCCGCGCAGGATCTCGGCAGCGGCATAGTCGAGCGTGCCACTGAAGGTGTCGAACAGCCGTCCCGGCCGAATGTGCGCCGCGCTGCCAAAGTCGATCAGCTGGACGTTGCCGTGGCCGTCGAGGATGACATTCTCGTCCTTGATGTCGCGGTGCACAATGTTGTTGGCATGCAGGAAGCGCAGCGCGTCGGCCACCTGGCCAAAGATGCTGCGGATCTCGAAAGTGTCAAGACCGTCGGGTGCGCTCTCGACGTAGTCGAACAGGTCTTGCCCCGTCCCGAAGCGTGGCATCACCATGTAGTAAAACTCGCCGTCCTCGAAAAAGTCGAGCATCTGGCAGAGGTTCGGGTGCGACATCGGCTTCGGTGGCGACTGCTCGTCGGGCCCTTGAGCCGTTTCGAAGGCCGGCGCCAGATCGCGGCGCCCGGTGCTCGGGCTTCGAGGGAGGCGTGCGGTTCGAGGGTCTCCGCCGCTCCGTCCGAGCTCCTGCCTGTGACGGTACTCCTCCGCAGATCGAGGGCGGGAGGGCGACCATGGCAACGGCTCTGGAGGCGGATGGTAGGGCAGCCGGCGCAGCTGATCCATGACGTGGATCTCGATGGGGATGGGACCGAGAGTGCGGTGCCGGCGCCAGCAGTCCGCCAGGATCCGGCTCTTGATGATGTACTTGATGATCACCTCGTCGCCCGTCGCTTGGCCATCCCGACCCTTGGCCCGGGCCCTCTTGACCAAGCCGTAGGCGCCTCGACCGACCTCGGACAGAATCACGTAGTCGCTGATCGTCTTCTGCGCCTGTTCGCCGTGGCTGTACGAGGCGGTCGCTTGCGAAGACTTCAAAGCCTCTTTGCTGTTCCGCTTCCGGCAGGTGGGCGACCGCAGGCTGGCGAGCCGGTCGCGCGACGGCTGCGGGGTCGCCTCATACGTAGGGCTGCCGTAGGGCGATCTCTCGAGACCCGGCGAAGGGAGCGGCGACTCGCGGCGCGACCCGGGCGTCGACATGAAGAGGGCCAGGGGGTCGCTGGTCGAAGTCGACAGGTGGTCCGGCGACGAGAGATCCTCTTCCTCGGCCTCGTGGAGGCTGGCGAGATCCTCGCCCATAACCGAGCCAGCCCGGCTAGCGGCACGACTCAGGCCAATCTGCCGAAGCTTCTCCAGGACGCCAGCTGTCAGGTCATCGTCGGACTCGTCGCTGCTTGGGTCCTCGTCGCTGTTGGGGTCGCCCCTGGAGCTCGAGCCCAACGAGGCGCCTGGGGCTCCCGGTCGGGCTGAGAGCTGCTGCGACGAGACGGCGCTGAAGTTGGTCGCGGTCCTGCTGTGCCGCCCCGAAGGCAGCGTAACGCCCTGGCTCTCGAGAAAGCGCGACCACTCCTCCATTGTCGGTGTGCGAAACACGTTGGTGCCCTGTATCGACGTCGTCCGGGAGAGACTCGGCCGAGCGCCCGAAACGGATGAGGCTGAGAGGGGCGCCGCTCCGCCCGATAGCGCACCGCTGACGTGGAGTGAGCCGAGTGAGGAACCCAGAGAGCGATCCGGCGATGACCGACTGAGGCCGCTCGGGCGGACGAGACCGCCATTGAGGCCGTCGTCGCTATCCGCATGCCCGCCCTCGTCACCGCTACCGCCGAGGGGGCCATCCGAAAGATCCGGCCGAGCGAGGGGCGTCAGGCCGGCCAATCGAGTGGAGGAAGAGGCGCCGGCTTTGCGCTTCGACCAATCGGCGGTGGCGCTCAATCTTGGCGACGACGGCATCGGGACCGGATCGCCGGCATGGGCATGTCTCCTCGCCTCGAGCACGCTGAAGGGGGCATTGTCGTAGTCCGACGGATGCCGTGAGCGATCGCGAGCGGCTGCCCGCCCCTGTCCTCCGTTGGCAAAGGACATCTGAAGGCCTGCGTGGGATGCGAGCTGCGACCTAGATCGCAGCATGAAGCGGCCAGAATGGCGTCGCGGCGCCGGAGGGCGGAGAGCCATCTCCGCCGTGGCGGGCGGTCCCTCGGACGGTGTGGCAAACGCGTCTGCGCTCGAGGATCGCGGTTGTGCCAGTCCAGCGACCAGTGCCTCGGCCGACGGCATCCGTAGCACCATCGAGGGTCGCGCAACCGGCGTCTGGCCTGCCTCGGTGGGGAGAGAGGCCGAATCGTCCTCTTCACGTGTTCTTTGAGGTCTAGACGAAGCTGCGTCCTTTTCATCTGTGGACGTTGGAGCAGCGTCGTGGTCGTCGCTTCGGGGCAACCCAGCTGTGGCTTGTGCCTGGGCGCTCCGCTCTGCTGATGGCGGCGTAGGAGGGCGGATGTCTTCGGCGACAGCAGCGGAGCCAGGGACTGGCGGCGGCGCCAGGTCGCTGGTCATTGCTTCGGTGGAGTCGCTGACAGAATCACAGTCGGTCCTGAGACCATCGCTGCCGCTGGGTTCGCAGCCGCTTTCGTCGAAATGGTTCGCCGGCGAGACAGTCGACTGGCTCTCCGGCGTCTGTGTCCGTGCGCTGCCGCTGACGTTCATCGAGCCAGTGGAGGATGCGGTGCTGGAGACACTACCTGTCGAGTTGCGGTTGGACAGGCTCCTGAGCGAGAAGGCGGCGGCAGAGGAGGACGAGGTCGACGTCCTGGACGACGAGGAAGGCGCCTCGGAGCTTGTCGATCCTCCAATGCTACCGAGCTTCCTGCGACCTGGATAGTCTGGTCCGGTCTGCCCGGAGCGGCGGGTGTCTTCGTCCTCGCGCTCGACGTCGGTGCCGTCCTCCTCCGAGAGTGGATGTGGTGAGCGGTACAGCTTCGCGCCGCGCCGGCCGGGTGAAACGTCGACGTCTCCGCTGCCCCTGCCAGCGTCGCTGCCTATGGAGCCCCGGTTCCAGCTGCCCGAGCGTGTGACGCCTCCGACGCCGCCGAGCTTGCCCAGGCTCATCTCTTCCGCCTTTCTCACGCTCGAGGCTCTCCGTAGACTGCCCGAGGGCCCCTGAAGCCAGTCGGATCGTCCAAAATCGTCGCCCGGAGAGTGGGCGGGGGAGACGGCATCGTCGTCGTCGACGAGAAGCGAGGAATAGCGTCGAGGCTGTTCTGGATCGAGCCGCAAGGCCGGTCGGATCTGCTCCAGCGGCATTTCTGGAGCGTCGCTGACGAAAGCGATCCGCTGGGTCGGGCGCCTAGCCTCCGGGCGGTAGCGCGGAGTGAGCGCGCGCAAAGGTATTCCGTCGGTACGTCGATGGCCAGTGGCGAAGCCTGTGCGGTCGAGGGTCGGTACAAGACACTGGTCGAGCGGTGTCAGAGTCGTAGAAGCAATGTCGGCATGTGAGAAGGAGGGTGCTGGTTGACGGCTGGGGGGGGGGGGGGGGGGGGCGAGTGATGGGACCAGTTGAGACGAGGTGACAAGGACGCTCTCGGTGCTGGTGGCAGCGTGTGCTTCCACTACTGTCGTGCTGAACGGTTGAAGGACGCGGAGGTTAAAGGGCGAAGTCGTCCGTCGGCGCTGGGTCGATGCGGAGGAGCTGAGGAGAATCGACTGGCTCTGAAAGGGTCAAAGAGAAAGACGAATGGCTGCGCCTTGCCGGATCCAGGGCGACGTTGGAAGAGCGGTGTGCCAGCGAGCAGGTCTACGTACTCTTGTCGGCGCAGGGCCGAGGCGCGGCGGGCCTGCGGTCGAAGTGCGACCGAGCTGGGCACGAGCGCAGCAGCCGGAAGGCGACGTACGCTGGGCCGAAGAGGGGCCGAAGGAGGGCACACGTTGCGCTCGGTGGTGGGTGCGTTGGCGAGTGGGCGGGGCAGGGCGGGGCGGAGCGGAGCGAAGCCGTGGTTTAGGCTGGCGTCGACGGTTATGAGAGGTCGGGGCTGCCCGGTGGGTCGGTTGGCAACGTCGATACGATGAAACGGCTGGCGGGGCGCAAAGGCGACGTAAGGCTACCCGGCGATGCCGATGTGGGACGAGATGGAGCGGAAGACAGGGACGAGGACGAGGACGAGGGCGAGAGGCAGAGATTGCAGGCAGGGCAAGGTGGAGACCAGCAAGGTGCCACCCACCCACCCCACGGACCGACCCGATGGGCCAGCCCGCCAGCCATGCCGCCGGCGGCCACGATGGGGGCGGGCTCGCTGGCTCTGCAGGCCTGCCTGCCTAGCTGCCTGCCTGCCGCCCAACCCTTTTGTCCAGCCTGACCTGCTGGCCTCATTTTTTTTTCTTTCTCTCCGTCTGGTCAGCCTGGCTGGGCCTACATACCAGCCAGCGGGCGTGGACGCGACGTGCCCACTTTTCGTCCGTGGCCCAAGCCAACCCGGCCTGCCTGACTCGTTGGCTGGGCCTAGCCGTCCAAGATTCTTGCTCTCCGCCGCCGCCGCCGCCGTCGCCAATCCTCGACGACGGCGAGCACCTTCGGCGTCGTCCCGGAGGAACGCAGGCTGCTCGCAAACCGTCCGGACCCTTGCCTGCCCTCGATCATCCATCATCTGTTCCTGATCGGACGCTCGCTGTCCCTCTACGCATCGCAAGCGCCGCCCGTTGACAGCAGCGAGCGGCGCGTGGTCCCGTCCATCGATCGGCCCGAGATCTCGGCTCCATGCCCGTCCACCAGGTCGACGACGCGCGCATGGGGTGGACGGTGTACACGAACGTGCATCAGGAACGCACGCAGACACCTTGCTTCCCATTCTTCAACGTCATGGCCGGCCGGCGCTCCTGTCGGAAACGGCCCGTCTCGCTCGAGGAGCCTGTTGATGATCGTTGCACCGCACGACTGTGGGCAGGGCTGTGATTGTGATCTTTCCCGTCACACTTTTATGTACTCTCTCTGGCCATGCTTGCGTTTCATCGGGATGGCCTTGTCGACGCGTGTCCTCAGTGTGATTTCAACACATCGCTTAGCCTGCTGATGCAGATCATACCTACGTTGCCTAGGCCTGCGTTGCGCAGGTCACATGTGGTGAACCATTGGAAAGCTTGGCTGTAAGGTATGGACGCTGCAGCTTCAAGGGCAAGCGGCTTTGGACACGAGGTCTTAGCCAGAAGGAGCCAGCGAACGAGACAGCCGTACGGAAGAGCCTGGCGAGCGACGGGAGACCACTACGAAGTGGCCAGGCCTGAGCGCAGAGCTAGGTACCAATGGCACGCATGCAATGGCGAAGATGCTGTATGGGATGTAGCAGATGCTGGTAGTATTACAGGGGCGGGAAGGTAGGCGGTCCTCGACTCGGCGGCGGCGGGGTTGGGACAGGGGGTATGGAGATGGAGCGAAAGCGGTCCCTGCGCCGAGCGTGCTCCTGCTAGAGCTCGACCTTGCCGCCCGCAGTGGCGCTGGCGGCGGTGTGTGCAGCGGTGGTGACGGCCCCTTTGGCTGCATCGTACACCCCCGCTACGGCGGCGGCGGCGGCTGGCGGCGGACCTTGTGCGAGGGTCGACGAGATGGGCTCGTTGGCGGTGGGCGTGTATCCGTAGATGTAGTAGATGGCCCTGCGCACGACCTTGCGGAAGTGAGTGGGGAAATGGTAGAAGAGCGAGTACCAGAGTAGTGCCGAGACGACCGAGACCACGGTGACTGGACGTCGAACGAGGGCGAGGAGAGAGGAGGGAGAGATAGGTCAGCATGCGATCCCCTCATCACTACGGGGTCGTGAGGCTAGGCTAGGCAAGGCAGAGAGCCAGAAATGAACACGACGACAGACACCCACCGACGAGGACAATCTCCCAAGGCTCGAGCATGCCGAGCGAGTAGGTGGCCCACACATTGCGCTTGAGCTCAAACAGCTTGCGCTCGACGAACTTGACCGGGTTGTACGACGTCGTCCTGGCGCGGCGGCGGTTGGCCGGGTGCCTGGCAGTCGAAGTCGGTGATGGCGCTGCTTGGGTAGACATGGCGGGCGGCGGCTATGAAGGCAAACGGATGAGGAAGCAGAGTTGGGCGAACGGTGGCAACGATCTAGAAGAGGTGCGGAGGTGAAGGCGGACGAGGCGCTGGTGTTGGACGTTCGGAAGCCACAGACAAGAGGGTCCGAGGAGCGGCTCAAACCTGCCGGTGGTGCTGCAGCCTCGAGCCTCCGGGTCCCGCGCCAAAATTGTTACACGCCGCCCGCTGACCCACGGTCCAACGGAAACGCCCAGCCTTGCCAGCAAAGCTCGCGGCGCACGACCTCTCTGTCCGGTAGGCGCAGCCGACCGGCGCTACTCGGACGGACCTGACGACATCATTGTCCAGCGGAAGGCACGGTCTGTATATACAGGCAGGGATGCAGCCACACCACGCCTTCGGGAGACGACGCTGAGCGGGCGCAGAGGATGAAAGCGAGGCAGGTGGGAATACGAGGGCTGGCCGGCTACTTGAGCTGGCCGAGGCGCTGGGTGCCGGCGAAAATCTTGGTGTCGAGCGTGGTGGCCTTCTCACCAACCCTCTGCAGGCGGGCGTTCTGGCTGTCGACCTCCTGGCCCATGGCTTTTCCGAGCTGGTTGAGGCGAGACGACAGGTGACCGATCTCGTCGAGGTTCTGGTCGAGCTCGTCTTCAAGCTCGTCGTCGCTCTCGGTCGCCTCGAACTGGTAGCGCGAGCGCTGGGCCACCTTGTTGCGTTGCTCCTCGTCTGCCTTCTTTGAGCCGAAACGGTCCTGGCCGAAGCGCCCGAACGACGCCTTGCCGGTGCCCGGCCCGTTCATGCTCTGGTCGAGCCGCTTCTGCGCCTCGAGCGCATCCTTGCGCACCGCCTCGCGCTCCTCGCGCTCGTCGATGTGCCGCGCAATGATCCGGGCCTCTTCGGCGTCTCTCTTTGACTGTTTGTTGAGCTGGAAATTGGGTCGGAAGATGGAGCGGTTGAGCGCGGCAATCTCTTTGGCGTTGTCCTCGGCCCGCGAAGCCGAGGCCTTGGCCAGATCGAGGTGCCTCTCGGTGTTACCGATTTTCTCTGTCGAGGCGGGGTGGCGGAAAGGCAGGACAAGCGCAGCAGATCCATGGCGATCAGCGATGAACGCTCTCCTCTGGCGAACAGACCTCGTCGGACAAGCACTCACCACTCTGGTCGCCGAGCTTGAACATGGTGTTGGTGGCCGTCTCTTCGGCCTCTCGGGCGATGCGGAGGGCGTTGCGGGTGCTGCTCAGACTCTCCTGCTTGGTGAAGCGCATCTGCTGCTTGATGGCCTCGACCTCGTCGTCCTCCTCGTCTCGCTGCTCCTCGCGCTGCTCGAGGCCGTCGTAGCCGCGCGAGTTGCCCTGTGCGGCCGAACCGCGACCGTACTCTGCCTCGAGCTCCTCGTCGGTGGGTTGCCCCACGTTGCGGGCCAGAGAAGCCTGCTTGGACGAGTTGCCGGCGTACTGGTCGTAGCCCCGTCCAAAGTTGCTCGAGGGAGGCGGAGCGTTGGCAAATCGGTCGCCGCCTCCGTAGCTGTTGCCGCCGCCGTACCCGTAGGGCTGCCCCTGTCCGCCTCCATAGGCTGGACCGGGACCACCGGCACTATTGTTCTGGTAGCCAGCACCACCACTGTAGCCAGCGCCGCCACCGTTGCCGTATCCGGTTGGCCCTCCAGGTCGTTGGCCGCCATAGCCAGGCTGTGGCCCACCGTAACCGCCGGGTCCACCGGGAGGTGGTGCGTTGCTCTCCACCGGCGGGATCTTGCTAGATGATTTCTGTTGTCAGGGGTCCGAAAGGCGAGCACAAGGTCGGGGTCAGAGTCCGGGCCCTTGCGCAGAGCGGGCGCCCGGTGACGCTGCGGCATTCTCACCTTGCCAAACAGACCCATGGTGAGTGTGGTCTCGGTGCAAAGTGGCCTGTGTACCACCTGATGTTGCGTGACGGAAACAGAGGTGGGGAGCGAAGGTAGAAGGCCTGCCTTGGCTTGTTGGTCTTGGTGGCTGCGAGGATGGAACGACAGCAAGCCAGCCTCGGGGAGGGTGCCACCTGCCACCTGCCAGGCGCCGTGCATGGGGCAACCCGTTCAGAGAGAGGGGGCGGCGCAGCCTGCCTGTGGGTGCCAGCACCGCCTCGCCTGGGGATGGCCGCGCTGCCGGCTGCACCGGCCGCACCACGCTTCTGCCAAGCATCGGAAGTCGGAAGTCAGCCTTTGAACTGGACGGTTGCCTGGCCGGTTGGCCTGACCTGGCCTGGCCCTTCCTCCACAGACGTCCCCGCTGCTGCTGACCACTTGGCGCCATCCCTTCCTCCATCTCCGCGCCATCCTCCTGGCTTCCCCTTCTCGCCAGCCAGACTCCACACCAGTCAAGCTGCTCCATTATTTTCCCTCATCCTCCACCACTTTCGCCATTCTCTATTGAAAATGCCTTCAGCGCAGGCCAAGAACACCACCGACGTCGCCAATGCCGGCTTCTCGCACCTCAATGCGGGCCGGGGCAGGGCGGCTCTCACGACCCGTATTGCGCCCGACTTTCTCGTCCTCATCATCGACGTCAACCCGATAGCATGGACGTCCGGAAGCACGAGAAACGGCAAGCAGAGGGAGGCGGTGCACGACTCGGACTTTGAGAATGCGCTCAATGCCATCATCATCTTTCTCAACGCCCACATTGCGATGCAGCACGAAAATGGCCTCGCCATCTACGCCGCAGGCACAGGGAGAGCGTGAGTGCCGTCTTGAAGACTACATTCGCAGCTCTGACTCTGCGGCGACTGGTCACTAACAAGAGCACCCTCATAACGCTGCCTGGCTTGACCTGATCTGGCCCTCCGCAGCCAGCTGCTGTATACCAGTGCCCCTTTTGCGAGCCGGTCGACGACGACATCGTCAGAGGCAGGTAGCGCCAAGCCCGACGCCAACACCTACCAGCACTTTAAGCACGTCGACGACAAGGTGGTCGAGGGCATGAAGCGGATGGCCCGCGACATGCGCGCTCAGCTCGAAGCGGCTTCGGCCTCGTCGTCGTCGTCATCGTCCTCGACACCGTCCAGCTCGACCTCGGCAGCGGCGTCCAAGATGGCGACGACGGCCATCGTGAGCGCGCTGGCCCAGGCTCTCTGTCATCTCAACCGGCTGGCGCTAGCGTCGGCAGCCAACGCAAACGATCCAGCATCGCGGTTCGGCTCGTCGGCGGCCACGACTGGGGACACAGGCGGCGGCGGCTCTGCCGGCTCGACCAATGCCACGGCGGCTCCGCAGGCGTTTCGCAACCGGATCCTGATCCTCAGCGTCACGCCGGATGCCAGCACGCAGTACATCCCGATGATGAACTGCATCTTTGCCGCGCAGAAGAAGTCGATCCTGATTGACGTGTGCAAGGTGTTTGGCGCCGACACCGTCTTTTTGCAGCAGGCGGCGCACCTGACGGGCGGCACCTACTTCCGCATCGACGAGGCGGCGACGGTCGAGGGCGGTGCGGCGAGCGGGCTGCTGCAGTGCCTGATGTCGTCGTACCTGCCGTCGCGCTCGATCCGGGATGTGATGCACCTGCCCATGCTCGACGAGGTCGACTTCCGGGCGGCCTGCTTCTGCCACCGGCGCATCGTCGACGTCGGCTACGTGTGTTCCGTCTGCCTGAGCTGTGAGTGCGGGCCACTTGGCCGTGTTGCCGTGGCCGTCGCTTGTGCCGTCAGCTGACATCCGCGCCCATCACATGCTGGTCTTGGTCGCCATCGTCGTCGCTGCCTGGTGTGCGTCGGCCGGCGTCGCAGTGTTCTGCGAGCCCAGGCCAGTGTGCTTGACGTGCCAGTCGCGGTATCCGACACACACCATCGAGCGGTACCGGCAAGAGGAGGCCTTGACGACGGCGTCGTGAGGCCTGGCCTGGCCAGGCGGCGAGGCCAGGCAGCGAGGCCAGTCCAGGCAAAACGGGGCCGGGCCGAGCCGTCTTTGTGCGCAGCCGCCGCCGACCTCCACCTTTTCCTGCGCCATGGCGTGTGGGCAGAGACGGACGCCCGCCAGCTGCACGCTCGCGCCCCCCAGCAGACGAGGAAAAGAAAAAGAAACAGCAGCGGCCCCTGTCTTGGCTCGCCTGCGTTGCGTGCGTGTGTGCCTTTTGGGTCACCCCGGCCTGGCCTGCTGGCCTGCCTGAACCCCTGCCGGCGTCGAGTGCACGGGGCGCGCCCGCGTAGAGGCTCGACCAACACAGCCCCCCCCCCGGCCGCTCCCCGCTTCACCTCGTCGTCTCGGCACTCAGTCGCCGGCTCAACTCGGACCCACACCGCCACGCCACCATCCCGACCACCACCACCACCACTGTCATCCCCTGCTCGCCACGCGGTCTGGATACCTCTCTGTCATCGCCGCACTCGTTGCCACCAGCTGCCTATCCGCTTCGGACTGTCTCGGCCCCTAAACCTGCCGCATTGGCCGCCGCATCTCGACTGCACACCCTACAAGCAGCGGCCTTCGAGTGCGCAATCGCTGGGCCAGCCAGCGACCCAGCCAGTCCGCACACCCGCACACCATGCCCGACTTCATGTCGATCAAGTCGATCGTCTCGAAGCTCAAGGCGGAACCTGCACCCAACTCGCGCTTCGGGCCTGGCATCGGCCATGCCGGCGGCAACGCCGTCGTCGTCGAGGGCGACGACCGCACCTTCCGCGTCAACCTCGGCCTGCGCGGCGCTCAGGTCTTTTTCGCCCTGGTCGCCATGCTCATCGCCGTCTACATGGCCATCTTCCAGAGCAAGTGGGTCGGCAGCCCGTCGGGCCTCACCGGACTCCTCCTCTTTGTCACGGCCGCCAGTCTCGTCGCCTCGCTCATCTTTCTCGTCGTGCCCTTCATCTACGAGCGTTCCGGGTTCAAGAATCTAAAGGCGACCTACCGCGCGCTGCAGGAGGCCAGGGTGGGCATCGTCACCAACGCCACCTTTACCGGCCTCAACCTCATCCTCGCCCTCACCCAGACCATCTCGGCCTACACCTCGGCCGGCTGCAAGGACGCCACAAAGGACCCGCACGCCCAGGGCGACAAGAAGGACGACTTCATCAAGGAGATCCCCGGCTGGTGCCGCACCAAGCGCGCCGAGGCCGCCTTTTGCTGGTTCCTCTGGATCGCCTGGACGTTTAGCCTGCTCATCTTCCTGCGCCAGTGGCGCATCGAGCGCAAGCAGGGTCCCCGCATCCCGCCCTTTACCCACCCGACCGACGACTCGGCGTTTGAGCCCATCAACGACATGGACGAGGACGACGAGTACACCGGCTACCCACAGCACGCTGCCGGCGCGCCGCCGCTCTCGTCCTACGACCGGAGGGGCAGCAACCCGCTGGCCAACATCGAAGCCAAGTACGGCATGAACTCGGCCGCTGCTGGCGCCGGCAGGACCTCTGCCGCCCCGCCGTACGCAGGAGGGTACAGCACGGGCGCTCCAGACCCGTTTGCCGACGGGTATGCGGCGAGCCGGCCGTCGTACGACTACAACCAGTTTGCAGACCAGCATCCGAGCGCGTACGGCGTCGTCGACCCCTACAGCGCCATCCAGCAGCAGCTCCAGTCCTCGAGCCACGGTCACCCGCCACCCCCTATGCCCGATCTGGGTTTCCCGGGTGGATACCGGTAGCCCGCACCGCTCTCGCCCTTCGCCGTCGATCCGATGCCAACGTGACCGGCGCTCCTGCCGACGAGATGCCGTCGATGCGCTGCGATGGCCCATCCCCACCATCCTGTATCATACATCCTCCCGGGATCGTCCTCACCCCCGTCCCACATCCCCATGCTGTACTCTTATCGCCCTTTAGCTCACGGACCCGTCGTAATGCCGCCATGCTCGTCCCAGGTCCGCTCGTCCTCATGCCGGGTGAGCAGTTCGAACTCTCCCGTCACGCACATCGCGAGCGATCAAGGTAAGGGTGACGATGGCGGGGTATACATTGAGCATTTACCAGGTGTCGTTGTCTACTGACCACAGCATGCGCGCTTTGCCATCCTTCTCCGTCCACGGCTGCATCTAGGCACGCCACGCCACGCCACGCCACGCCATGCCACGTCACTCGATCCGCTCGACCTTCTCCCACTCGTCGCGATTGACGCCGCTCTCCGCCGAGTCGGGCACCATCTCAGTCTTGAGCGTCGCCTCAACGTCGCCGCCGACGTTGGCAGCGGAGCGAGGCGGCTTGAAGGGCTCGTTGTCCGCGACGAGCTCGTCGCCGGCGAGCGAGGCCCACGGCGGCAGGGCGCCGGCGCGCGCGCTCTTCCAGACGTTCTGCGCCATCTTCTCGCAGTAGCGCACGTAGTCGCGCGCCATCTTGAGCACCTTGCCGTCGCCGTCGCCGTTGTACGTCTCGTCTGGATCGACGCCCGCCAGCGCCAGGCGCGCGCCGACGCCCGGACCGGCTCCGCCCATGTCGGGCCGCCAGTCATCGATCCGCTCGCTGCCGACGTACTCGCGCCCCCACATGTCGCACCGCGAGCCGTACCGCCGCTTCGGGTCCAGGTGGTCCATGGGCGCCAGTGAGACGTGCGAGACCGACACGGCCCCCTTGAACGGGTCGATGGGGTGGTGCGGCGACCCGACGAGCCGGGCGAGGTAGAAGGCAAACCTCATGGCCAGCTCGAGCCAGCTAAAGAGGAAGTCGGCCATCATCGACGACGCAACGACGCCCGGATGCGTGAGGAAGACGCGCGGCTCGAGCTCCGGCGACAGGGCACGCGACGCCGGCGGCAGGCCGAGGTAGCCCTTGTTGGGCACGAAGCCCTGCGAGTCGCCTCGCGTCGACGTCGGCGCCGACAGGCCGCGGTTCTCGTCGACGGGCGTGAGCCCGGGGAAGCTGGGCCGCTCGTCGCGCGGCGTACCAGGCTGCGTCCGGATCTGCCGCTTCTGCAGCGCGTCGTCCAGGCCGAATGCGGCCAGCTCGCACTGATACTTTGTCGACTCGTAAGGCAGCGGCGACTTTTTGGCGTCCTTGCACTCGTAGTCGGTCGGGTCGACGTAGTGCGAAAAGGCCTCGACCGAGCTCGTCCAGATGACGCGCGACGACACCGAGTAGGGCGTGGACCGCAGCGATGGCAGCAGCGCACGCACCAAGACCCAGTGTGCGCCGACGTTGCACTGCCACACCCAGCCGAAACCATCGTCGCTGATGTCGCCCGCTCGCTGGATCTTGTAGGCCGGCCAGGTGACGGCATAGCGGAAGCTCGTCATGACCATCCAGGTGGCGTGCAGCCAGTCGAGGCCGATCCACGCCGAGGAGCCCGCGTTGAGGATGATGTGGGTGAGATAAGGGTACCTGCGTGCGGACGGATCGGAGGGAGAGTTGTGCGCACTTCTGGGTCAGCGTTGTTCCAAGGTCGCCGGCTGCACCGGTGGCGCAACAGGGCGAAGAATCTGCGGCAGGCTCACCTTCCACGGATGGTCCTCGCGCACTCGAGAGCGCTGGCCATGCTCCCGAGGTCGAGCGGAGCAAACTCGATACGCGTGCCCTGACAGAAGCGCTTCCGGTACTCTGCATTGGCCCGTCGGTCTCTCGTCTCGACCGACTCGTCGAGGTCGGGCGATGCCGGAGATGGACTCGGCGAGTCGAGCTCCGCCTCGTCCTGCGCATCAGCCTCGCCTACCACAGCCGCAGCGGAGCGGAGCTTGCGCCTCCTGCGCACATTGTTCTCCTGGGCATGGGCGACGAGCGCGGGATCGGCGTCCTCGTGGGGGATGTTGGCGCGGAGATCGGCCTCGTCGTGGAGATCCTCGAGCTTATCGTCCTTTGAGGAGTCGTCAAAGGCGTAGGCCCAGGACTCTGGCGGACCCGCCGGGGTGTCTACGTGGTCCGGGAGGTTCTCGATCCACTTGAGGAGCTGGTGGAGCTGGCGCCTCGCCTTGTGCGCCTTGATCGGGTTGCGGCAGGCAAGGATGATGGTGGCGCCGTCGGCGGCCGCGTAGGGGCTGGGTGCATACTGCGTCGACTCTGGGCGGTTCTTTTGCGGGTTGGTGGGCACGGTGTCGGTGGGCGTGGGCGACGAGAGCTGTACGATGAGGCGCTGGCAGATGCCGAAGCCGACGCCGGTGTTGGCGCCCGTTACGAGGACGATGGGCCGTTTTGGCTCGGACGACGACGAGGAGGTGCGCGCTGCTGCTGGCGCCCCATTTGGAGCGTCCATGGCGAGGTGGTGACCGGCGAGCCCAGGGGAGAAAACTTGAGAGGGAGCAACGAGAAGGGGCACACGAGATGTCAAGGAGAAGTGGACAGGGAGAGGTGGCTGTCAGACGACAACGACGTCGAGGAGAAGGGGCAGACAGGGGTCCAGCACCACGGACAGGTCGGAATCGGATGACCAACAGGCGGGCACCCCTTTGCCGGCGTGTGAGAAGGCTCAGGTGTTGGACTCGCGGCTCTGTCGTGCGAGTCGAGAAGGCCTTCTTCTTCAGGTCCCTCGTGCCCGTGGCCTGCTCTGGCCAGGCCAGGCGACAGAGGTGCAGCGCCATTCCTTCTTTTCTCGCCGGCCTTGCTCTCCACACTACTCTCAACCACCTCTCCACCGCCTCCCCCCTCATCCTGACCACCTACCCAACATGTCTGCACAGCGAGCAAAGCAGGCCATCTCGGGCGCCTATGCCCAGTTTGCCAACGACAAGGTGAGCTCAGGCTGCGTCGTCCGGGCCCCACTGCAGACCCGCCTCCCGCAACGCTCACCCTGTACTCACGACCGCCCACCTAGCTCCCTTCTCTGATACTGCCCAAACGGCGCCGCCTGCTGCCCCTGCACTTCAACCCGGTACCCTACTATGCTCATTCTCGCTCCATCTACGGCCCCGCATCCCAGGCCGCGGTCGAGTCTCTCCAGGCCAAGTCCGACCTCTCCCTGGTCGAGCTCACCAAGCAGTTCGCCGCGCTCACCGCGAAGAGCTCCCAGATCTTTGGCGCTGATGCCCAGTCCGAGAAAAAGTCGCTCAAATGGCTCTCCAGACTCGACTCGACCTCCGAGGACCAGCTGACCTCGGCCGACAGCCTCAAGGCCCTCGACCAGGAGCTCGCCAGCCAGACGTTTGTCGCCTCCAACCAGCCCACCGCCGCCGACCTCGCCCTCTTTGCCGCCCTCTACCCCACCGTCTCCAAGCTCGCAGCTGCCGATCAGCACGCCCACCCTTCTCTTGTCCGCTACGTCTCGCACATCTCCAATCTTCCGGCCTCGGCCCAGCTCGGGTTCGCTCCGTTTGAGCCGGCCTACGACGGCATGCCCCAGATCGAGAGGAAGAAGCCCGAGGACCTTAAGAAGGAGAAGCAGAAGAACAAGGAGGCTGCCAAGCAGTCGCAGCAGCAGGTTCCCGCCGATGTCAAGGCCCCCGCTGCCCCCGCCGCCGCCGCCGCTGGTGGTGCCGCCGCTGCCGAGGGCAAGGCCGGCAAGAAGGAGAAGAAGGAAAAGGCGCCCAAGGAGGCAAAGGCCGGTGGAGGCGGCGGAGGCGGCAAGAAGGGCGCGCCCGTCGAGCTCGGACCGCCGCAGCCCTCGATGGTCGACCTCCGCGTGGGCAAGATTGTCAACATCTCGAGGCACCCCGATGCCGACTCGCTCTACCTCGAGCAGGTCGACTTTGGCGAGCCCGAGGGCCCGCGCCAGATCCTCTCCGGCCTGGTCAAGTACGTCCCCATCGAGAAGATGGAGAACAGGATGGTCATTGGCGTCTGCAACCTCAAGCCCGCCAGCATGAGGGGCATCAAGTCGTACGGCATGCTGCTGTGCGCCTCGACAAAGGGCACCGCCAACGAGGCCGTCGAGCCCGTCTCGCCGCCCGAGGGCTCCAAGCCCGGCGACCGCGTCTACGTCGAGGGATTCGAGGGCATCGAGCCCGAGGCCGTTCTCAACCCCAAGAAGAAGGTGCGTAGCAGTTCTGCCTTGGTCTCCCGCCGGCCGGGGTATCGCGAAGCTGACCAAGCCGGTCCTCTGGTCTGCTTCCGCCGACCACGATGTGCCCTCGTTTCCCGCAGATCTTTGAGACGATCCAGCCTGGCTATACGACCACCGCCGACCGACAGGCTGCGTGGGTTGGGCCGCTGCCAGGCGCCGCCGACCCCGAGGCCGACAAGAAGGTCCGACTGCTGCGGACCTCGAGCGGTGTCTGCTACGCCGAGACCCTCGCCCACGCCGCCCTTTCGTAGATGCTTACAGGGAGACGAGCGCAGCCGCTGCCCCAAAGTACAAAAAGTCACACATCGACCCTTGCTTCCGACAGCCTCGATAGCCTGGGAATCTGATAGGCCGGGAGCGTCGCTCGGGCGTCCTCTGCGATGGTCAAGACCCCACAGCGCCGCCCGTCAAGCCTTCTATTCCGCCTCGAAGGGGGAGGCGGCGACCCTTGAGCGCCCGGCGCTCGTGGAAACGCTTCCAGAGGTGATCTGACGACTGATGGGCATTCATGCGGCGCTTGCTGGGCCCTTCGACCTCTTCGACCGGCAGCCAGAGGCCGTGGCTGCGGTGCTTGGGCTTCTTCTGCCGTCGTTTGTGTCGATGCCGGCGTACGGTAGGATGCGCTGGATCTCTTGGTTGGCCACGGGTTCCGGCAGCTGCTCGCGAATCTGCGGGCCTGAGAGCTTGGGCTGCCTGCGCTTGAGAAAGACGATGTGGCCGCGCTGCCGCTCCGTGATCCTCCGTCCGCGCCCCTCGGTCTTCTTGTACGCCTTCATCTCGCGATTCTCGGCGTCGGCGGCGTCGACGGGCTCGCCGGCGTCAAAGGTGCGCGCCTTTAGGTCGTCGACGGCCGACTTGTCGACGCCGTACAGGTCTCCTGCAGTGCAGCGCTAGGAACTCGACAGAACTGGGTGAGTCGAAAGAGCGGCCAGCGATGATGTCAGGGTTGGTGAAGGCGTCGCTTCGAGATGCCCGCCTGGGTCGACATTCGGGCGAGAAAGTCGAGTGGGCCAGCGAGGATCGGACCAGCCATGACGATCTCGACGGCGCGCACGGGCGAGGTGGTGGCGGAGGGCCCGCTCGCTACCGGCGATGCGCTTCTACGCCGCATCTTGTTTGCGACGATCCGGCTGTCATCACTCAGCTGGCGCAGGCACAGGTCCGGATGGCGCAGGCGCAGGCGCAGGCCATGGATCAGCCGCAACGCGACGCGCCTAGGGGGCTGGGTTGCGTTGCTTGCTGCCTGGTCCCCCAGCCAGGGTGGGCCCCCATCGATCTACACGACGCGCAGCCATCCAATCAAAAGCAGGACGAGCGGCGGGCACGTCGAGGAGTTTCAGCCGCCCTTCGGCACCAGAGCAGAGGCGGACATGCCGAGATTTCACATCGATCTGGCATCTGGCCCGCCCGGCCCTGCCGCGTGCGGCATTCCAACGAGAGGTTGACGCGTCGCAGGTCCAAACTCTGCGCGGGCGTCTGGGCTGTCTATCTCTGCCCTGGCCCTAGCCTGTTGAGCAGGCGCAAGCAGCAAGCACGAGGTGGCACGGTTGACGCGCGTTCGATGCCTGCCTGCTGCCGGCCTGTGCTTGCCTGCCGGTGTGCCTGCCTGGCAGTTGCGCTGTAGCGGGACGTGGCGCTCGCTCAACGCACGCAGGCAGGGAGGCGGCAAGCTTAACCTTTTGGGTGTGCCGCGACCAATTTTTCACCCCCGTCACTCCGTCACGCCCCCGTCCCTCGTCGCTACCGGTACCTCCTTGCTACGGTCACATCCCGACTCCCGTACCATTTCACCTCCATCACCTCCACCATCCTACGAGCACAGCTTGGATCAGTGCAGTGCAGTGCCGCACTCTTAGCTCAACCCGCCGCCCCATTCATCGGCATAGCCGCCGTCAGTTGAGCGGACCGCCAACCGCACAGCGTCGGCCTCGCCGCCGTCGCCGCCCTTGTCGCCACCACCACCACCACCAACACCGCCACCTTCGTCGGCCGGTCCCGCCCGTCGACGGGTCGGCCATTGGCCTTCTCAAAGGCGCTCCCATCCCGAGCATTGTGGACGAACCGCACCTTGGCTCTCTGAATCGGTCCCACCAAATCGAGCACCTCGCACCACCTCAACGCCGTCACCCCGCTTCCGCTTCGGAGCGGAATCATCTTTCCGCATCTCCCTCGACCCGCACCTGCGCCCCAAGATACGGCGGCTTCCTTCCGCACCCACGCAGAGTCCATCTCTGTCTGCTTGTCCTACCGCGACCCGCACAATCAGCGACCGCTTCCGCCTTCACTCTTTAGAACGAGCGGCACCATCTGCGGACCCTTGCGACGGAATCGCCCATTGCCACAGCCCGCAATCACCCGCACCGACTGGGCAATGCGCCCAGGCCCTTTCAACATCCTCCCTCAAGATGCTTCTAGATCCATCAGCTGATCTCTCGTCCAGTCCCGTCGACAAAGGACCCATGTCCTCGACATCCTCTTCCGCACGCTCGAGCCCCGCCCGCCCGCGATTCGAAGTTGAAATCGTAAGTCCTCGACGCATCTGCACTTTGCAGGGGCACCGCACGGACTTCGAGCTGACGCCACCCTCCTCACCTCGGCCCCTCCTGCCTCAGTACGCCCATGCCCTCAAGGCTCGACTCGAACTTGCCTCGTTCAAGGCCATCAACGGCCTGGGCAAGGCCAACATCGACGACCTCGAAAGAAGCGCAGACCTCTCGTCGACCATGAGGGCCGTCGCCCCCTCGCCGTGGCAACCATCCCAGCCCACGCCGTCGGGTCAGGTTTCCGCCGCCTTGCAATCCAGCGCCACTGACGGCCAGGGTTCCTCGTCGCCATCTAAGACGCCCGACCTGGTGCGGGACTCGAAAGCGGCCACCGCTGCCACAAAGGCCCCACGGTCCATCTACGCCGACATCTTTGGCAAGGACTTTGGTCGAGACCCACCATTGGTCCAGGCAAGCCCGGTCCGGGCGACCGACTCGCGAGCCAAGGCTACCGTTCCCAGCGTGGGCCGCAACTCGTCGCAGAGCACCCCTTCCTCCTCGCGCTTGATCGGCACATCTTCCCTGCTGGACAAGGCCGCCTCTTCGCCGCAGCTCGGATCGCCAGAGCGCAGGAATGGCCGCTTCGACTGGCACAACAACCCCTCCGCGGAGATGAAGGCTCGCGAGCAGGAGCTTGCTGCGAGCGGCCACCACTTCGAAGTCCCGGCCATTTCGCCCACGAAGCGTGTCCGGCTAACGTCGGCCGCAGGCGCCCTGCTCGCCTCGCCGCGACGCGCTCGCATGCACAGCAGCGGCAACAGCCAGGCACCGGCCTTCCTGCCTAACGGCCACCTCGCATCGTCGTTGGCACAAGGTCTCGGAATCAGCGCACCTCGCACTCCACGTTCGCGCTACAACTCGGCCGCCGGGCGCCAGGCAGTGCCCCATCTGCCTCCCGGGCAGCAGATGGACCAAGACCAAGAGGAGCGTGACCGCGTAGCCAGCACGCTCGCCATGATGGCCGAAGACAGGGCCGCTGCCAAGCAAACCGACAGCAGCGGCAGTGGCGGCAGCAGCAGCGGCGGCGGTGGCAGTGAAAGGCAGGCGCTCCCTGCCACTCCGCGAAAGGGAGGCTTCGCCGATCCCGGCAGCATCACACCTGTGCGGGCCGGCAGCCACCGCGGACATCGTCGAAACGTTTCGTGGGCCAATCCGAGCGACAGCTTGCACGCGCAACAGCGGTCGCAGCGACAACATCTCGAAGCTGCGCAGCCGGACAGGCCGAAGACACCCGAGCGTCGCATCAACGATGACGACGAGGGCGCTGCGCACTACCTCCTCTACCTCGCATCCTCCCCCTCGCCCGCCGGCGCCACTCGATCCACGGCAAGGTTCGAAGGCGCAACACCCTCCCTTCACCCACTTCGATCCACAACAGGTGGACTCAACGGCCTCCAGGATGCTGCAGAGCCCACCAACGGCTCTGTTGCGCCTGCGTCTAGCAACGAATCGGACAGCCCGAGCAGCGAAGCGGCCAAGCGCAAACGGGATAGCGAGGGTCGAATGCCAATCACGCCTCCGTCATCTGGACGAGCGCGGCATCAGCGGAACCCCCTTAGGCCACTGGAGAGTCTGTCGAGTTCAGACACCAGCGACCAGAGCAGTCACCAGCCGCCGCAGCTGGGCTCGCCCCCACGCACACCGCCACGGACCGCCGCCCCGCTGCCGCGAGGTCCGGACGTGGCCAACGCGTCATCCGCCCTGTACGACTGGTCGGGCGATGCGGCTCCAAAGACGCCGCCGCCGCTCATGCAGCCACACACCCCGCAAGCGCCCGGCTCGGAGTTCTCCTATGCCGAGTTTGTCAACGTTAGCCCGAGCCCCAAGCCCCGCACCGTCGGACGGACGCCCGGCACCAGCGGCCGAGCATGGACGGACGCACACGGTCTCGGTAGAGCGCCCACGTCCGGCAGCGGTGCGGACGGCACGCCGAGTCGAGGTACAGCTTCGCGCGGCCGGTTCCTGCACCGCTACGACGACGAATGGAACGAGGATGCTTGGGACTCGGCCGCCACGACGCTGACGCCCGGTCCGGCTGCCAAGGTCCTCGCGAGGCATTCGAGGACATCGTCTTCGGCCTCGATCGGCAGCAACCCTGCACCCGCCCGCACCCTCGACTTTGACTGAGCGGGCAAAGTCCGCGCCCCGTCGCGATCAACCACCCCCAAGGACAATCGAACCGCCTATCCGATCCGCTTCCTAGACCCTTGCCAGCCTCGGCCGCTCCGACCCTGTTTGGGTGGTCTCGTGTACTCTGCGGGCTTTCTTGTACCCCACCGCGGCCGACCTTTCGCGATACCCTCTGCCTGACCCTGGTGCGGCGACTCCTCGATCCCACCGGCCGGCCTTGTTGTACTCTGCTCCCCCCCTCTGGAGCTTTCCTGTTGTGATTGTACCGTCTTGGAGCGAGACCCGGACACCGAATCGAATCTCGGTCTGTACAGCCTGTACGGCGAGGGGTGACAGCGATGAGGCATGTATTGCCGCGGTCGCTCCTCGCCTGCCCCCACTCTGACACTCCGGGGGCGCCATCTAGATCTTTGGTCTACCTTCTGCCTTTTCGTCGCCTTTCCCGGCCCCGCTGCCGCCCGCCGAGGGGTCGAGGACGACGGAGCTGGCGAGGCTGTTTCCCTCCTTTTCGATCCACGCATCGTGCCTCCGGCAGAGTTCGCGGACGATGTCCTCTTCCAGCTCTCTCTCGCCGCCTTTGCCGCCGCCGTTGGGCACCGCCGTCGAGGTCGAGGTCGCGGTCGCGGTGGCGGACGCGGAGCTCGAGAGCGACGGCTGTTCCGGCGACGCGCCCAGCCTCATCCACGTCGACGTGAACTCGTCGGCCTCTATCGTCCCGTCGCCCTGGGACGCCTCGAGCTCCCGCTCCGCCTTGGTCCGGTGGTTCTTGCGCTCCACGAAGACGACCTCAAACTTTCGCCGGTTGAGGTCGTTGCCGATCACCAGCTGGTGCCCGTACCGTTCTAGCGCGGTGACGGCCTTGGGGATCAGCAGGTTCGGGTCGGTCTCGAGCTGCAGGCGTGGGCGAGGAAGGTGTAGCAAAGCAACTGGTGAGCCTCGCTAAGAGCAAGGGAGGTACAGGATAGGGTGGGGCGACCGATGCGCCGTCACTTACCTTGAAGCTGACGACGAAGCCTTCCGGCGCCCACTTTTCGACCATCGGCTTGAGCACCTTGGGCACCTGGTCCATTTCAATGACAAGGGAGCCCTTGCCGGACTGGATCTTGTGCTCGGGCTGTACGGGAGTCGGCACGAGGTGCAGCAAAGAGATCAGCGCGAGTTCATTCGACATCAAGAACGGACCGACGGTCGAGGCGAGCATCTCGGCGCTACGCACCACGCTCGTCGAGGGGATGAAAAAGTCGCTGACGGCGGCGGCGAGGTAGTACATGCCCTTGCGTCCCAGCGGCTGCATGAGCTTGCTGAGGGCGCGCAGGAGCCAGAGGTACTCATTGACGGTGACAAACGAGACGGTGTGCAGGAGGCCAGATTGCCGCGTGTTGAGGTAGGCCTGGAGGACGGGGCGGAGGTGGTCGACGTGCTGTGGCAGGACGCGGATGACGTCGCCCTCGTCCTGAGCTCCGGCCTCCTCTTGCGATGGCAGGTGGCTGACCGGGTCGGCGAGTAGGTCAAAGAAGGGGTTGGTCGTGTGGCTGTAGTGTCGGGTGTAGGGGGCGAGGCTGTGTTGCCGGCTCATGAAGATGACGGCGTAGCCCGCCGAGAGAAAGTACTCTGCCGACGCCGAGCCGCGGGTGCCGGCGGAGAAGTTGTCGAGGAAGCGGACCACGTTCTTCTCGAGCGGCACCGTGGTTCCTCCACTGGTTACGAGAACGACCTTCCTGCCCTCGGCGACGTGACGCTGGATGAACTCCGAGGTGGACTTGGAGATCTGGTCGAGGTTGGGGGGTGGTGCCTGGGTCTGGAAGAAGCGGTCCGACGACCACTTGGTCGACGACTCGCCCGGCGACGACGACATGGTGGTGGCGATGGGATCGAGGTTGCGCTCAGTCGGAAGCGGTCCGCTCTGAGATCAAGACAAAGAGGTGAGAGAGTTGGGTATGGTCCAGGGCAAGATGGCGGGGCCGGGGCAGAAGAGGTGTCGGGGAGGTCAAAGGGGTGGCCAAGTGCCTACGGCCTCGAGGCCTGCCGGGGGTCCAGGCCGGAGCAGCCGCACCCAACCCCAAAAAGAAGCTCAGGCCAACCTCGCCCGCTCACCTCCGGATTTCGAGAGAGGCGGCCACCGCGAAGCCCAGCCGGCGTCGGCCCCTGCCGCTGTTTGACCCGCTCGGCGACATCGATCTGGTCGGCGGAGGAATCGGAGGTCTCCGAGCGACAGCTTCCTAGCTAGCCTTTGCGGCTGACTGTGTATCGTCCAGAAGACGTTGCCGTCGGCAGGCTTCCGGGAGCCACTTCGGATGGGCCGCCGCTGCAGCGGCCAGGCCCGACGCCGGCGTGGTCTGGCACGGCGGCACGAAAAAGTCGGAAGGCGGGTGTGATGCTCGGGCAGCCCATCCTCACACACACATATCCGCACGCTTGCATACGTGCCCTGCCTGCCGCCCCAAGCCTGACCGAGCCTAGGCGGCCTGCGGCTGGCTGCTTGGTCCACAAGTCCTGCTGGGGCGGCCCGTCGCGATCTAACGGGTCCAATGCCCGCCACGCATTCCCGGCAAACCACCACCACCACCACCATAGCACCCTCATCCGCGTATCACGCTCCGCCACCAGCCGCATCAACCCCCAACCCGATTGCGGCGCGCACCCTCGAGGAAGACGGTCTCGGCTCGTCTTCGTCCCTCATAACCCCGCCTACTGATCCCGCCGCACCTCGAGCCTCGTCAAAAAGGCAGGCCCTCTGCCGCGCATCTGACCAGACTGCATCGCACCGCAGCTTCGACATATGCCGCGCCGGAAGCATCCCCCTGCCGGCCGGGGCGCCGCCGCGCTCGCCGCACCAGCAGCTGCCCCGGAAGCACCGCTTGATGACACCCCGTCGCGCAGAGCACCGCCACGCTCGCCTTCGCCGGCGGCAAGGTCGAGCGCACGAGTCTCGAACCCCCCTTCATCGCCCCAAAAGGTCTCCAAGAGAGGAACGCGCGGGGCCGCAGCGGCAGCGGCAGCAGCAGCAGCGGCGGCGGCGGCCACACCGATCTCGGCCGCCCCATCCGCAGCGGCATCGACTTTTGCGCCGCGTCAAGCATCGCCTTCGTTGTCGGACATTTCCACGTCAGGCTCCGAAGATGAGGGTGGCGGAGGCCGGCCCTTCCCTTCGTCGGAACGAATGAGGTCCGGAAGTCCGGTCGGGGCTGCGGCCGACGACGAAGATGAAGAGGGCGGGAAGCAAAACAAAGAAGAACCCGAGGCCGTCTGCCAGTGGAACGGTTGCGGCGAGACGTTCAACAGTCTCCAGCCATTCATCGACCACCTTCACCAGAGTGAGTGCCTCGCTGGCGATCGACAAGCCCACGACGTGCGGGGCCAGAGAGGTGCGCGATGCAACAGCGATGCTGACAACGTTGCGAGGCCTTGACTCTGTCTGTCCCACATATCTTCTGCTATCCTGCAGCGCACATTGGCATCCACAAATCCAAGTACATGTGCGAGTGGGACGGCTGCATTCGCAAAGGCAAGCCGCAGACATCGAGATTTGCGCTGCTCAGCCATCTACGAAGTCACACTGGAGAGAAGCCCTTCACCTGCCCGAGACCAGGTACGTTGTCCCCCCGTCCGAGGCAATGACTAGGGGAGAGTGGGAGCTTTCGAGTCATACCGGCGAGCTCACCTTTCCGACTGCTGTGCGTCAACTCCGCAGAGTGCGACAAGTCCTTCACTCGATCCGACGCGCTGTCCAAGCACATGCGTGTGCAACACAATATCGTCACGCCGGGTTCCAGGAGGGCTGCCACATCGACAGTCGCCCAAGGAGACGATGATGACGCCAGTATGCTGCTCGGCGAAGCTGGAGATGCAAGCACGGCCGGAGCGGCTGCCGCAGGCAAAGGCGCCGACTCGCTGGGCGACGAGCTGCTCGAGCTGGCGGGCGACGAGCAAGATGCGACCGGAGGAGTCAAGCTCGGGACCGAGGGCGGACTCGAGACCATGACGGCCGAGGAGCTCGGCATCCAGGATCGACTTGGCGTCGACTCGGACGAGGACGATGCGAAATTGGCCGACTCGGTGCTACAGAGCGCCAGGCGGGAGTGGGCCAAGGAGTCGCGAGAGCGAGAGAGGGTCAGGAGGCTGCGAGAGGCTCAAAGGGAGAAGGAGCTGGCACAGCAAGGCCTCGACGTCGGTGGCACCGGCGGCGCCAGCGGCGCCGATGCCGCAGCTCTGGAGGGCAGCAACGGCACAAAGCGGCCGGGCCGCACCAACGACTACGACTCGGACAGCGACAGCGAGGCGGAAGCAACCAAGACGGAGGACCTGTCGACGACGCACGCATCGGCCTCGAAGCGACAGCGTCTCGGGCGATCATCGCTGTCGGCGACGCCGGGGGCGAGCAAGGATCAGAACGGGACCTCGGAGGCGGACAAGGAGCGAGAGAAGGAGGAGGCGGCCCGGCGGTCGGCGAGGAACCGCTACCTCGTCGAAAAGGCCAAGGTCCGGTTCCTGCGCGACGAGAACAAGAGGATGTGGGACGAGCTCGACGCGCTGCGGGCGACCGAGAAGGACCTCAAGCGACAGAGCCGCATGGCGCTCGAAAAGGCCTTGGTGTTCGAGCTAGGGTGAGTCAGCGCGGGCGGCGGCGGCGGCGGCGTCCCGAGGCCCAATCCGCTGCGCGAAACTCTCGTTCGTGCAATACCTCCGACACGCGTGCTGATGATGATCTCCCCACCGCCACCTTGTCCTCCTTCACGCAGACCCGACGTCGATGCCATCTTTTCGCCAGTCTCCTCGCCCGGACTGGAGCCGATGCACGGCGGAGGGGCGTACCCGCCGCCGTACGACCTCGACGAATCCATGGCGGCCTGAGCTCGCCTTCGGCCGCCTCTGACGTCGCTCTTCTCACCTTGGACCGAGCCGTCGCCGTCCTTAACATGTACTAGTATCGCCCTCGCCTTCGACCCATCTTCAAAAGCGCAACACGCCGCTCTCTGCTCGCCACGCCGCCGTCGCGCTTAATCGACGCGATCGGCATCGTCCTTCGACTCATGACACGAACCAAGTCGGTGAGTTGCAGCGCATGATGTACAAGGGAAAGCCGCGGGCTGCGCGACGTCACTGCTTGGCGTCCCGCGATGGACTTTGGAGGAGCTCGAAGCTCGTCTTGCCCGTCTCCTGGCCCGCCAGCGTGTCGGCCTGCAACGAAATGGCCGACCTGAGCGACTCGCGTCCGCCGAACCTCGAGGCAAAGTTGGTGCTGGTGCGGGCGGCCGCACCTCCTCCCTCGCTGCCGGCGGCGGCGGCTGCCTCTGCGCGGCTCTTGCGCCTAGCCAATGACGGAGCGAGGGTCAGGGAAGAGCCGGTGAAGAAGGCGAGTGCGCCGAGCAGCGCCGCTCCGAGTGCGAGGGTGACCATGGCGCCGATGAGGCCCGCCACGACGGGCGAGACGGCGTGCTGGCCGTAGGTTGAGGTGACGGGAACGCCGTGGTCGGATCCCGTGCCGTTGAGGCGGTAGAGGGCCTCGCAGCCGCGTGCGTCGGTGGTGGAGCAGGCGTCGCACCACTGCGCCAGCGTCGAAATCGTGTACGGCCGCAGCCTGTCCTCCATGTCGGATACCTTGACGCCGCTGCCGCTCGAAGCGCCGAGGATGGGGTACGGTTCAAAGGCGCCCGAGGACCCATTGCGATAGACAACCTGGACGGTCTGGTCGGCGTAGACCTCGAACACCATGGTGCTCGCATAGTCGATCAGGTTATCCTCGAGCTGCGGAATCGAGAGCATCTTGAAGAGCGACAGGAAGGGCTTGTACGACGCGGCGAGGATGTTGACCTTGAGCGGGTCGGTGGCGTTGGCAGTGGCCGCGATGCCGTCGAGGAGGAGCGAGAGCATCGCTTGGCCCGCCACGTTGCCGATGTCCTTTGGGTCGGCGTCTGAGAAGCTGACGGTCTCGTGGTAGTTTGCCCACGTCCCCGCCTGGCGCAGGATGTCGTCGGTGATCTGCGGCGCCAGGGTGCTGTCGTGGATGCGCTCGACGTTGAGAAAGTCGTAGATGTTCCACGCATTTTCGAGCAGCCGTGGCCGGCTGCCGAGCAGGCCCTGGATCGAGTCGTAGAAGGCATTGGCCTCAGCCGCCTTCTGTTTGAACTCGGACGAGCCGTACCACTTGTTGAGGCGCTGCGTCCAGGCGCGACAGTCGGTCCACGGCTCCATGGCAATCGATTGTTCCGGCTCGACCGTCTCGACGGGGATGAGCTGGACGCGTCCGGACCAGTCGACGCTGGTGCCGTTGGCCAGCGTGATGGACTCGTCGTAGGGCGGGTAGAAGCCCTGCAGCAGTGCCAGGCTGCTCTCGACAATCACGCCCCCCTCGCCGCCCGCATCGGCCAGCACCGAGAGCTGCGCATTCTCGGCCACGTCGCTGTCGATTCCGCCGATGGCCGTCGGCGAAGTCGGGAGCAGGTAGCGAGCGCGCAGGTCCTGGCCGTTGAAGAGCTGTTGCCGGTACCCTGGTCCGGCCAGGGCACGATGGTGGGGGGATCGGAGAAGAAAGGTGCGTGCGCACAGTCAGGACCGACGATCGCGGCGTCGTAGCACGGTCGACGAGCACCTCGACTCACCGAGCACGGTGAGGTTGGTGTTGGATGCGGTGTACGTCTTGGGCGACTGGTAGAAGCCCTGTCGGTCTCCGTGGCGGGTCAGGACGACGATACCTGCTAGCGGGTTGGACATTGCGGCGATGGCTCGAGGGGATCTAGCGGACAAGGCCTGAGGGACGGACGAGCGAGGTTCGGTGGTGGTCGAGAGAACGATGGCATGCGGTTAGCGGCCCGGGACGAGGCAAGACAGGATACATAAGGCCAGGCAGAGGAGGCCAGGGTAAGGCTTCCTTCCTGCCTTCGGGCCCTCCGCCTTTGGTTCGGGTAAGACCTGCTTTGACCCGCCGGCAGATCCGAGCATTGGCGGGGCGCAGAGGCAGGCCAGACGGGCTTCGGCCTTATCCGATGCGATAACCTCTGCCTTGCCTGCCTGCCTGCCTGCCTGCCCGCCTCTGCCTGACCTTCTCGCGCACGGTCCGTGGCAAACCATCTCGGGATTCCGCCCGACTTCTTATCAATCAGGGCCTGCCTCGAACCAGCCTGGCTTCTTATCTCCCTCACCCTGCGGCATTCCCAACGAAACGCTCATGGCTCATCGCCGCAGCGATGCCTCCGACGGAATCGGTCCGATCCGTCCGCACGCGCGTTACTTGACTCGCGGCCCTGTCCCCCCCCGTACGTAGGCTGCGTCGGGCACAGGCCGGTGCTGCTGCTGCTGCTACGGCGCTGCTGTCTGTCTATAGTCAATTGTCCGTGTTGCAAGGTTATCAAAAGTACGGTGACAGAAGACAAGGAGCAAAAAGAAGCGACGGCCGGGTGCAGTCCCGACCGTCGCCGGCAACGGGTGACCTTCACGCCCGGCTGTCGCCTCGAAGCAAAGTCTCGCTGATCGACGTGGAGCCAGAGAGGCCTGAGCCTGTCGACCCGGCATTGCCGTTCTCGCGCGCCGACACCGGCCCTCGCGCCTTGCCAGGAGGGATGACTAGCTTCTCAAGCTCGAGTCCAGCCCGGAGCGCAGGCAGGTCGCTGCTGAACGTGCGGCGATGCTGCTTGCGCCGCTCCTCCTTGCTCTGCGCCATGGCACCAAACAGGCCCGGCGATCCGGTAAAGGCCCCACCGCTGCTCGCCGCCATCGACCCCGGCCGACGCTTGCCGCTCGGTGTAAAGGCTGCTGCGATGCCGCCAAAGCTGAAGCGCGACCTCCCGCTCGAAGACGACAGCGACGTCGTCATCGCCACCGACCCTTTCCGCTGGCCGTCTGGGCTCGTGCTCGACTGCGGGAGCGCGCCCGACATCGAGCTCGGCCTCGTTGACTGCGGCGGAGGAGACGTCATCCGCACGTCTGACTCGGCCCCCGAGGGCGTCGAGGCGCTGGCCATTTGGGGCGTCACAATGCCGTCCTGGTCCACCGTGTTGTCGAGGCTCGGCGCACCTTGGTCGTCGTGACCCGAATGCCCAAAGGCCCGGACATCGCTCGGCGCCTGCGCCGGCGAATCGACCGAGGCCATGACGACGTCTTTGTCAAAGTCGACAGAGCCGCTGCTGCCGCTGCGCATGTGCTCGTGCGGCCGCCATGCGTTCGTCTTGGCCGTGAGGAAGGGCGTTTCGGGCGGTGCTTGCCCTTCATCCTGAGCACTCGACTGGCTCTTGAGGTTGAGCATGGGCGGGCGATGCTTAGAGGGCCTTGGTGGCAAAGGTCCGGCAGCACTGCCGGTGACGGTCTTCAGCTGCAAGGCAGGTGCCACCTTCCGCCGTCTCTGCATCAGCGATCCGCCGCCGAGACCATCGCCGCCGGCGCTGCCGCTCGTCGACTTGCCCTCCAGGCGGTCAGAGGCAGCTTTCCGCTCTGCCATTGCGCGCTTGGCCTCTGCCAGCCGCTCGTCTTTCCTCCGCTGCTCCTCTTCCGCCTCCTTCTGCTCCTCCTCGAGCCTCATCTGGCTCCATTTCTCCTCGTCGAGCACCTCAACCGACCAGCCGGGATTGGAGCCGCCAGCGCCGGCGACCCGAGAGCCGGCTTCGCCAGCCGGTGCTTCGGCGACCACGGCAGTGTCTGGCGCGGCGCCACCGAGCGCCTCGCGCAGCCGGGACGCGGCCTTGGAGAGCTGTCGCTCCCACTCGACCAGCTGGTAGATGAGGGAGATGTTGGGCGAGATGCTGGCGCTCTTCTCCTTGACCATGTTGTAGCAGTCGTGCATCCCCATGAGAGCTCGGCTCTCCTCGAAGCCGTAGCGCAGCGCCGCGGCCTGCATGACAAAGGCGATGACGAGCGTCGCCGAACGGCTCACGCCGCACTGGCAGTGCACGAGCACCTTGCCCTTGTGCGATCCGGACTGCAGCTTGTCGACCCGATCGCCCTGGAAGAGCAAAGGCAGCACGCTCGTGTCGTCGGCCACTGTCGAAGGGTCCCAGACCCTCGAATCAATGCCGAGAGCCTCGGCGATGATGGCACATCCATGCGTGAAACCACCGCCGGGAGCAGCCAGGTCGGTCTCGTCGTGCGTCCAGGGCAGCTTGATGTACCGGAGGTCCGTCATACGAGCCGAGATAGGGCTGGCTGGCACCTTGAGGGCGATGGCGTTGCTCGGCAGGTCGACGCCCGTGATATCGCTGCGGTCTTCGCCGTGCTGCTCGCCTGTAGCGATAAAGGCTGCGGGCGCGGCGTCGACACCGGCAGCCTGCATCTTTGTCGTGACGATGCCCACGCCCGAGCTGTTGGGGGCGGGCGGCGTCAACTCCGTGGCCGACGACGTGCAAGTGTCGGCGCGCGACGAGGGCGAGGATGCGTTGTCGTAGGCCTCCTCGGACGAGTCGGAGCTGCCACGTCGTTGGTCCGAATAGCGGAAGAAGTGGCCTTCTGTCAAGGCATCGCGCTCGGCCGCCTGCCCCTGGTTCGCGCTGTCCTGCTCGTCCTCTTCCGCGAGTCCGGCACTGGCGATCGGAGACTCTGACGATGAGACCTTCTTGAAGCGGCTCAAGAGGTTTGGCGTCGATGCGGTGTTGCGCAGGTACGATGCGCTGACCGGGCTTGCAGACGGAGGGTATGCGGACCGCTGTTTCGCAGACCTATTGTGCGGAGACGGCTGCTGAGAGGACCAGTCTGACGATGAAGCCGAGCTGGGCGCCTCGTTGGCCTTGGCGAGCTCCGAGGCGGTCGGGTAGGCGGTGGTTGGTGGGGTGAAGAAGTCGTCCGACTCCTTCCTCAGGCGGACCACGGGCGGCGGCGCCCCGCTGTTGCTTGACGCCTCGGGCCAGGCATTTGAGGCCTTGACGCGGAGGGGAGAAGTGTTGGCTTCGAGCTGGAAAGGCAGGACCGTCTCTTTTGCCACGTTGAGCACCGTAGTGATGCCGAGGTCGGAGAGCATCTCGCTGTCACGCGCGTTGTGCTCGTCTCCAAGAAAGAGGCCTGGTAGGATCTCGACCGGACCCTGCGAGTAGACGCTCCTGGCATGCTGCAGCGTGCTGCCTTTGCCGCTCAGGATGTGCTCAGAGGGGTCGCGGAATGCCTCCGGCGGTCGCGACTTGGAACTCCCGGGGTCTTTGTACTCGAAGTCTGCCGGCTGCTTTGCCTGGCTCTGGAATGGCATTGCCGCGCAGCGTGCTCGAGAGATCCTTTGTGGTGCTTGGCGAAATGGTCTCGAGCCCGCCTCGCTCGCGAACCTGGGGAGTCGGGCGCCCAGCAACAGCTGGCGACGACGGCACGGATTTCGAGGACAATCCGCCTTCGTTCAAGGCAGAGGGTGGCACCAGCGTCAGCTTCGTCGGCCTCTTGCGCCCGGCCTTGGTTTTGGGCGGATGCGAAAGCAATGGCTGTATCGTGCCCGTCTGCCTGCCCGTCGCGCTATGGGGCTCGCCGTTGGCCTGCCAGGAGGTCGTTCGAGGCATTCCTCCGTACGTCTCTTCGCCCTCCGGAATGACCAGGGAGAGGCTTCGCGCCACACCGTGGCTGCTGCTGCTGCTTGCGATTGCTGCGTTGGCGCCGTAGACGGATCGCGAGGCGAAAGAGCTCATGCTCGGGGTGGGCGGCGGCGCCATCTCAGAGTCTAGATCGTCATCGCCTGCGAGGTGCTGCTCGGGCAAGCTCGGAAGCGCCTTGCCCATCCTATGGCTGAAGTCGGCTATCCCGCGGAAGCTCTTGGAGGACGACGTCGGCACGCGGCCGTGGTCGTCTTCGGCATGATTCCGTTCCATGGCGCTTCGTGGCGGCTGCGATGCCGTGATGCGGGTCCGGTCCAATTGTTTGGCGGCCTCGTCTGCGAGATCGGGATGGCTGCCGAGCCGGGCGCAGAGCCAGAAGCGCCGTTCGACCTCCGAACACGGGAGGAGTACCTTGTGCTCTCTCTTGAGGCGTGTGAAGGATTGAAGCTGGGCGGAACGAGTCGAGATGAACCCGACCTAGGGCGAAAAGCTAGAACTGGGCCAAGAGGCGCAGCGTAGCACGATAGGGTAGCCTTCGGTCGGACTGCGAGGCAAAGGTGCAGGTGGTATATAGGTGGATAGCGGCTTCAAGAGCGCAGAGTCGCGGCGGGTCGGTCTGGAGTGGAGAATTTCGCAGTTGAAGAGATGGGAATCGGGAGGTGTCGAGCGAAGACCTGTTGTCGAGGTGCGCGGAGCGATAGGATCACGGTGTCAGCCAATGTTAAGGTACGAGCGAAATAGGTGGAGCGAAGGTCTAGGTCGAGGCATTCGATGGAGGGTCGGACGTGCGAAAAGGACATGTATGGTCGACGTGTGCTCCTCAGCTCGGACAGCACGGCATCTAGCTCCCGCCTGGGGACCTGCATCGCCAACTCACCTCGGTCGTCTTGCCATGCAGCGGGGCGAAGGCGAGATCAGCTCGGCTGTTGCTGGGAGTGCGGCAGGGATGCTGCCCTGGCTTGATGGACAGCTCTTGTGCAGGACACGAGGAATCTCGTCGTTCCTGGCTCGACTCTCGACGGCCAAGACGCTGCTCGGCTCAAAGGTCGGGGACGGCAGCGGCAGGACGGCGTGTAAGACCGAGGAGGCCCCTCGGTTGTCTCAGCGCCGAGGTTTGCGGAGGAGCTCCGGTAGACGAGGGTGGATGTAGGACCGGATGCACGGGATTGGTGGCAGCAGCGCGGGCAACACACAGGGCGTTGGCAGGGACGGGGGAGATGGCGGTGCGGCCAAAGAGTGAAGGGATCGAAAGGGTGTCACGCCTCAGAGGCTCGGTGTTGATTGGCGTCTCGTGCGCAGCGGGGGAAGCGGTCAGGTTGCAGCGATGCGACCAGCGAGCGATTGCGTCGGCGATGGTATCTGGACCGGGAACGTAGGCAGGTGGACGAACGCTGTCCAACAAGGTCGGCCGGAGGCAGGGTGATGGCGACCGATTCGAGGGAGAAAGCTCGAAATGAAAGGGACCGAGTGGCGTCCGTCGGCGTCGATGCCGGGTGGGGCCAGGGCTGAAAGCGCTGCTATGATACCGAGCAACGGGCTGAAGGGCGAGATCAGGCAAAGCTTGTCGAGGCGTGTCGGGCCGGTAACAAAGGATCAGGCACCAGTAGGAGTAGTGACTACTGCGTGGTGAGCGACGGGGTTGTCCGAGTGAGGCCGTGAAGCGTCGGCCGGGCTGGTGCCGCTGTCGTCGTCGACAGCGTGATAAGATAGCGTGACGGAAGGGGCGGTTCTAGCGGGGCCGCTGACGGTGCTGATGCTGACGACGATGCTTATGTCGGCGGCGGTGGATCAAGACGCTATGCCGAGGACGCAGAGAGGAATGGCTTCGGTACGATTGTCGCGCTGCGCCACCTCTGCGAGCGAGGGGCGGTGCGACAAGGGTCGGTTGACAGGCAAATCGGACGATGAGCGAAGGTGAGATCGGTCTCGACGGGTCGGCAGAATTGTGGGGACAGGCACGAGGGGAGTCTTGCGGTTGCGGCGGCGAGTTGCGGCGGCGAATACAGAACACAAGAGGCGGCGGCGTTGGACAGGGTGATGGTGGTGCGAGGCAACGTCCAGACTAAGACGATGGGCGCGACGTTGCCGTGCGGGGGTTGGCAAGCAGGAACAGGCGGGGACAGGCTAGGTGGGGCGAGAGGCTGCGCGATGCGACGGGGGCAGGGTTGCAAGGAGAAGGTGATGTTCCGGCCGGTGGGCTTGGATGTTGGGGGGAAAAGGTGGAGTGCGTGACAGCACACGGGCGAGGGGGCTGGTGGAAGGAAGATGGAAGAGGGGATTGGGGAGGGGGAGGGCAAGAAGGGCCGGGGGGTAAGGCGACGAGAGCATTGGACGGGACGGACAAGAGGCAGGCCAGGGTCAAGCCCAAGGGCAGACGGACAGACAGCAACAGCGGCGTCGTTGTGGGCGGCGGCGACGGCGGCGGCGGCGACGGCGTCGTCAGGGCGTTGGCATCATTCGCAGCGAGAAGCATGCAGCAGCAGCAGCAGCAGCAGCAGCAGCGAACCGGTCCGTTTGGATCAAGCAGGCCAGCAGAGCCCACACAGCATACCGGTAGCCTCGCCCAGGGTCGTTAGAGGGGGTTGGGAGGTCTCTCGGCTGAAGCCAGGCGACAGGCGAAATGATGAGGCTAGGCCAAAGCCCCGGCTAACTAGTCGACGCCAACGAAGGCGGCGACGGCGGCGGCGTGACAGCGGCTCGGCCTACAGAGAGTAGTACATACAGTGAGTATGTAGTGCTTAGCAGGCAGTCGGGCAGGGACAAGGCAAGGGCAAGCCAAGGCCAAGGCAGGGCAAGCTTGGTTACAGAGTAGATCAAAGCAAGGCAAGGGCGCTCGGCGGAACGGGACCATGCAAAGCTCCTCGCAAAGTGGCAAGCAGGCAGCAGCAGCAGCGCAACCCAGGCAGCCAGGCAGATGTACCTACATAGCTCATATGGACTCGGCTTGTGCACCGCACCAAGTCCGCTCGGACGCAGCGCGGGCCTCTGCCTGCCCCCGGCGCATCCAAAGGGACGGATGCCGATGGTCCCATCCCCTCTGTGTACTACCTTCTTTAAACTCTCCCTCTTTCGTGTCGAGGACACAGAGGGCCGCGCCAGAAGAAAGCAAGCAAGGTCGAGAGGGAAAGCTTGCTTGCAGAGGCCGACGATCCGTGCGTGGCGAGATGCATGCTGCTGCTGCTCTGCCGTCTGTCTCCCTTGCAGCAACAGCAAGCAAGAGAGACAGGCGGCGAGCGACACCTATCAGGGAACGAGCCGCCAGCCAGCAAGCAAGCAAGCCAATGGGGCGAACCGCGCGACGGCGCGAGCAGGCAAACTTCATTCGCCGCCGCAACCAGCCAAAGCCGAGCCGCACGCACCCAGCCTGCCCTGCAGCCTGGGCCGCCGTGCCCACCCTGCCTGCCCGCCTCTTTTGCCGAGAGGGGTTCTACAACGACGACGGTGAGCGGCGACGGCGGCGACGACGACGACGACTGCGACGATCCTTGCTTGCTGGATCGACCTTCCCGTGCTTTGCTTTCCGCGTGCTCCAGCCGCAGCGGTGAGCGATCCAGACAGCCAAGCAAGCAAGCAAGCTGGTGTCGCCAGGCCGGCCAACTTCACCCACCCTCACAGCTACACCGTTCTCATCGGATCGGACCGAGGCCGCGACCCAGCAAAGAGAGGATCGGCCATGCGCTGCGTTGTCTGCCATCCCGTCGACCGGAACAGCGCCGACCGTCCGATGGTGTGGACAGCCTTGGCTCCAACGGGCACTTTTGAAATATCCAGGCGAGACGCCCCAGGCGGCCGGGCATGACAACAACGACGGGCGCCGTCATGCTCGCCCGCCCGCCCTTCCGGACGTCAGTCTGTCTATTCGGGGATCTTGTCTGCTCTGCCCTAGCCTTTGACTCGCAGCGGTGTTGCGACCGCTGCTGACTTGGAGTAAGTCAGACAACCGCCACACGCTGGCACAAATGAGAGCTCAGCAGCATGCGCAGGAAGGGTACGGTGTGGCGCGACGTTTTGGGCTTGCTTGGATCCTTTGGCCGCTTCCGGCCACCGGCCGCATCCAAGAAGAAGGATCACCGCGACAACGTACGGATTTCGGCATCAGCGAGACACACAGCTTGTCGCCTCCCCTTCGGCGTACTTTTCCGACGCCTGCCTGCCCGCCTGCCGCTGCTGCTGGCGGGCGTGCTTGCTTGCTTGCTTGCTTGCTTGCTTGCTTGCTTGCTTGCTTGCTTGCTTGCTTGCTTGTCTGACGGAGTACGTGCTCAGAGACGCGCTCCACCCCTGTCTTGGAGCGTGGGGGGCAGACGAAACGGATGCTTCCGACGGTCGGTGGGGCTGAGTCCGGCGTCTCCCACGATGCCACGGATCGCTGCCGACACCGAGACCGCCACCGGCCAATCCTCGAGCGAGAGTCTCTACATACGTCGCTATGAGACCTGGAGACCCGCCAAAGGGCGTGTGTGCCAGCACGTACGACGGGCTTCAATCGCCCACGTACTGATCTCCATCGAGCCAGCCCTGTCAGCCCTTCTTTCGGAGCGAAGGCCAATGGTGGAAGCCAAGTTGTCAAGACCAGCGCGCTAGAGTCGATCTGTTGTGTCGACGACGACGACGGCCAGGCGGACGTAACCCTAGGCTTGCCGGCGCTGCAGCGTTGTCAAGATTCATCGTCTCGCTTGTTTGTCGTTGATCTCGCAGGCAGGCAGGCCGCCCGCCTGCCTGGCGTCGATCATTTTTTATTGCACCCTCCCGGAGGCAAGGGAGGAAAGGGAGGAAAGAAGACATCTTCGCCCCCTCGCTCAATCGATCTCCTCTTTCGCCAGGGGGGTAACAAACGAGGGCCCGAACATGTGTTTGGTCCCTAGACCGCGGGTGAGAGGCGGAGGGACGAGGCGAGGCAAGATCCCATCGACCGATGGCCTTTGCTTGCTTCGTTTGCCAAGCCAGGGCGCGCAAGGCACGGCCTGTACTGCACACAAACAGGCTCAACCGAGTTCAAGTCATGGACATGAGATCGGAAACGGGTCAAGTCTATTGGATCGAGCGGGGGCGAAGGCGGAAACTGGACGGTTCTACGGTGACAGAAGGTGCGGAGCGAGGCGAGGCGAGGCGGCGACGGCAGCAAGCCGGTTAGACTCGTCCCCTCGCTGCGCCCACGCTGGTCATGGGCTGGATCTTCGAAGACTCTGTTTTGCCTATGTTTTGTTCCGGAAAAGAAACGTCTTTGGTCGGGTCGAGTACAGGTATCGCAGACGGCAACGGGGACACGCAAGAAGAAGCTGGGTAGGGGAACAGCGACGACGACGACGGATCACGCCGACGAGGCGCGGTCGTAGTGCTCGACGGCCTGCGCCGGACCCTTGAGCGCAGCTGCGGTGGGCGTCGAGTCGTCCGAGGGGCACATGTCCTCGTAGAACGTCTTGCCCGACTTGGTGGCGGCGATGATGCCAGCGCGGATGACCCAGTCGCCGAAGCTCTCGCCGTCGATCTTTTCGGCGGCGTAGCGGGGCACGAGCTTGTTCATGATGGCCAGCACCTCTTCCTCGTTGACCGACTCGCGGTAGATCTTGGACAGGCGCTCGCCCGAGTGCGAGCCGCCGAGGACCATGACGTACTGGCCGGGCGCCTTGCCGACGAAGCCCACCTCGGCCATCCAGGCACGGCTGCACGAGTTGGCGCAGCCGCTCATGCGGAAGACGGTCTCGGAGTCGCGGAGGCCGTTGGCGATAAAGATCTGCTCGACCTTGTCCATCAGCACGGGCAGGTAGCGCTCCGACTCGGCCATGGCGAGGCCGCACGTGGGGAACGACACGCACGCGCTGGCGCTCTTCTTGACGCCCGAGTGCTCCCAGTTGTTCATCTTGTACTTGCGCAGGTGGGCGTCGATGGCGTCCTTATCCTCGGGCGCAATGTCGCTCACGATGATGTGCTGGTTGGGCGTCATGCGGAAGTTGCCCTTGTGCAAGTGGCAAAGCTCGCGGAGGCCGGTGCGGAACGGGTTGCCCGGCTCGTCCTTGACACGGCCGTTTTCGAGCCAGAGGGTGCAGTGCCAGTTGCCCTTGTAGTCCTGCGACCAGCCGTAGTCGTCGGTGTTGGTCTCGAAGCGGTAGTCGCGCGCCGGCGCCAGCTTGTAGCCCAGCCTGCGCTCGACCTCGGCCTTGAAGTTGTCGGCGCCGCCCCAGTAGTTGTCGATCGTGTACTTAAGGCGCGCCTGCTTACGGTTGGCCCGGTTGCCCGTGTCGCGCTGGATGAGCATGACGATGCGGCACGCGTCGTGGGTCTGCTCAGGCGTGACGAAGCCAATGACGTCGCCGATGCGCGGGTAGGTGGCCTTCATCGAGTGGGTGACGCCCATGCCGCCGCCGACGCTCAGGTTGAAGCCGGCGAGGCGCTTGGTGACGGGGTCGGCGATGGCGATGAGGCCGATGTCGTGGGCGAAGCAGTCGGTGTCGTTGCGCGGGGGCACGGCGATAGCAATCTTGAACTTGCGCGGCAGGTAGTAGGGGCCGTAGAGGGGCTCATAGTCCTGCAGAACGCCGCCAATCAGGAGCTGCTTGGAACTGTCGGTCGTCTTGTCGAGCCAGATTTCGTGGTAGGCGTTCATGCGGGGCAGCAGGTGCTCCGAGATCGACTTGGAAAAGGCGTAGACGTCCTCGTGCAGCTCGCTGAGGGCCGGGTTGGGGCTGCACATGACGTTGCGGTTGACGTCGCCGCAGGCGGCGATGGTGTCGAGCATGCTCTTGTTGATGCCCTGCATGGCCGCCTTGAGGTTGCTCTTGACGATGCAGTGGTACTGGATCGTCTGGCGCGTCGTGATCTTGATCGTCTGGTTGCCGTACTTTTCCGCCACGTCGTCGAGCTGCAGCCACTGCTGCGGCGTGCAGACACCGCCGGGGATGCGCGCGCGGATCATGAAGCTGTAGGCGGGCTCGAGGCCGGCGGCCTTGCGCTCCTCGAGCGTGTCGCGGTCGTACTGCATGTAGGTGCCGTGGAACTTGGTCAGCTGCCCGTCGGACTCGGCGATGGCGCCCGTCGATGTGTCGAGCAGGCCCTCCTTGATGGTGCCGCGCAGGTAGTTGGACGCGATCTTCATGTGCTCGTTGGTGATGGGCTCCGGCTCGGCCTCGGTGACCTCGACGGTGTCGACGCCGAGCGCCTTCCACAGCAGCGGCTCCCAGATCTTGTAGCCGGTCTGCGCGCCGTCGGCATCCTGGTCGTCTCCGAGACCGATGGGAGCCATGCGAGTCGCGCCGAGCGCCTCGAGCTTGACGTCAAAGTCCTTGGCGGGCTTGTTGTAGTAGTGAGCGTCCTCGGGGCGAGGCCAGTAGTGCGAGTCGCCCATGCCGAAGACGGTAAAGTTGAGCGTGTCGGGCAGCGCGCCGGCCTGCATCGCGTGGACCGCCTTGTAGGTGAAGCGCGCGTTCTGCGGCGCCTCGCCCTGTCCGGCCGTCGAGGTGAGGAAGACAACGTTCTTCTCGTCCTTGAGCTCCTCGGTCACGGGGTAGTCGTCCATGGCCAGCAGGCGTGCGGCGACGCCGCGGGCCTTGGCGCGCGCCGTGAGCTTCTTGGCCATCTTTTCGGCGTTGCCGCCGTCCGAGGCGAAAAGGATCAGTAGCGGCGGGCCGTCGAGCGAGCCAAGCATCTTCTCGTAGGCCTCCTTGGCCTTGCGACGCTGGGCCTCGCGCAGGCCGGCGCCCTGAGAGGCGGCCAGGTCGTACGAGAGCGCCGGCTTGGCGTTGACGAGGCTGGTGAAGAGGTTGTGCCGGTCGAGGAACTGCTGCAGCTGCTCGCGGATGCGCACGCCGTCGAGGCGGAAAATGTCGGAGCCGCGCGACTCGGCGCTGGGGTCCCAGCGGAAGAGGGGCCAGTAGCCCGAGTCGACGGCGAGCTTGGTCTCGCGCAGCACGTCGAGCGCGGGCGCGTCGACGGTGCGGTAGGGGACGTAGGCGAGGACGACCGACGGTCCGTCGAAGCGGTCGGCCTCCATGAGGGCGTGGAGGACCTGGGTGTAGTCGGCGTAGACGGCGGTGCTGGCGACGTAGACGTTGCCGTAGTTCATGGCGTACAGCGCAATGTCCTTCTTGCGCTTGTGGGCCGCCTGGGCGTCGCGCTTGGTGTACGGCACGCTGTCAAAGATGAGCATGTTGACGTTGCGGCCAGAGGCGATGACGTGGTGGACGCCGCCCATTCCGGCGTCGTAGGCCCAGGCGTCGCTGCCGACGATCCAGCGGCTCTGGAGGGCGAGGTGCGACGAGAGCGACTTGATCTTGTCCAGCGCGGCGCTCGAGGCGGCCGACTCGAGGAGCGAGGCGAGCTTGTTGCTCAGCGAGACGTTCTTCTTGGCGTCCTCCTTGGAGACGAGCCACTGGGCCAGCGTCTCGTGGAGCTCCGACGAGAGGCCACCGGAGCGGAGCGCCTCGTTGACGGCGGCGGTGAGCTCGTCGCGCTGCTCGAGCTGAGCAAGCACCTGTCCAAACGCGTACTCGGGGCTACGGGCGGACGGGTGCGGGTCCGACTCGTCGCTGGGCGAGTTGATGACCGAGAGGCGCTCGTTGAAGACCTGCTCGAGCATGAGGTTGTAGGCCTCCTCGTGCTTGGGGACCGAGACGGGGGCGCTGCTGGCGGCCGAGGAGAGCTGGGCGCGCGCGGCGAGCTTCTTGTCGTCGCCGACGACGACACCGTGCTTGGGCTTGGCCGACTCGAGGGCCGAGACGACAGCCTGGGCCGCCTTTTCCGCGTCGGCGGCCTCGATCAGACCGAGGACGCCGCTGACAAAGACCGAGGGCAGGCTGCGGTCCGAACCCTGGAAGGCGCTCGCGACGTCGACAAAGAGCGGGCCGAGGCGGGTGGTCCTTCGGACGCTCTGCTCGAGGACGGCGATGCGCTCGACCGAGGGCGGGATGTTGGCGAGCAATCGCTGGGGGAGTGACGGGCGCACAAGGCGGACATCGAGCACTGCGAGGTCAAAGTGGGGCGACGTGTAGTCCTGGAGCTGCTCGGACCCGGCGCCCAGCACGACGGCGAGGTTCTTCGCATCGGAAGCACCGACCAGCTGGAAGGGCTCGACGGCGTGCCCGACAAGGCCAGCGACGTCCTCGTAAGCGACATCAATGGCAGTCTCGAGGTCGCCAAACTCGGCCTCACTGGTGGCGTGGGCCGCGGCGTGTCCATTGACGGCGTTGGTGGCCGTGTGGCCGTTGGCGTGGCCGTTGACGCCGTTGACGCCGTTGGCCTTGCCGTCGGACGACGAGGCGGTGGCCGACTGGCCAACAAAGGCGGCGAGGTCGGCCTCGGTCACCTCCTCGACGTCGCCGTCGACGTCCTCGTAGAAGTGAAGGACGGCGCGCTTTGCCGAGGTGGCAATCTTTGTCGCCAGAAGCGCGTGATCGTGGGCCTGGACAGCGGTCGACGAGTGCACCATGACGAGGCCGGCCTGCCTAAGCGCCATGACGTCGCTGTGTTCGCCAGAGCTGGCAATGTGGAAGACGATGGGGATCTGGACGAGCGTCGAGAGGTGGGGGACGAGCCTCGTGAGGGTCTGCTGGTGGGCCACCGAGAGGACCGAGATGAGGCCATTGCCAGCCGGCTTGAGCTGGGAGAGAATCGAGCCCAGCTCGGCGTTCTGCGAGACCTGCTCGACCTCGAGGTCCGGGTGCGACGACGCCACGGCGCCAACGGCGTCAGAGAAGGGCGACTTGGCCTGGCCCGCCGGGCTGACCGAGACGACGGCGGCCGAAGCCAGCGCCGAGATCCTCGCGACGGTCTGCGAAGCGTTGACGTTCGACATGATGCTGGTAGGCGGAAGGTCGAACGGGAAAGAGCGTGAGCAATTCAATTGAAAGAGACGCTCAGCCTCGATACGCTTCCCGACCGTTGCGCAACGCTACTCACCTCAACTGTTTTGGGGGGCTATTGGCAAGCGACCTTTTCAGCTACGTTCTCGGTCGAGATCCTTCCTTTGCGAGACGCGGCACGGAGGGGCGGACCGAAGAAGCGCTCGAGACGACTACAATGAAGAAGCCGACGTGTGTGAAGGGTGAGCCCGGTCAGAGGACAGGGCGCGGAGGGGTCGTGAAGCAACTAGGTGAGTGGCGGGGGTGGTGAGGACGAGGACGAGGACGAGGACGAGGGTGAAGGTGGGAGGATGAGAATGGGCAAGGGTGCGCGGTTGGAAGAAAGGCGAGCGGGGGCCGGCCAAATTGATGAGGGGAGCGAAGGGGGGAGGGGTGGCACGCTGCGTGGCGGGGAGCCGGAAGGGAGCGGGGCAGGCGGACCGAGCTCACGGACAGCCTCGAGGGTGTCGCCCAGCGTGGCAAACCGCCGAGGGCCTCGTCTCGCCCTGCCTTGCACCATCGCAACCACCACCGACGGCCCCCAGAGAGCGAGCAGGCTTTGGTCAGCAGCAGAGCACGGCTGGGCCGTGAGTCACAGGCAGGCAGGACGGCCCTAAGCCTGCTTTCTTGCTTGCACATCACATCGACCCATCATCCTCGGCCCCCACCCGGACGGCCACGAGCGGGAAGCCGGCTGCAGAACCCTTTCAAGATGGGTCGGCGCCAAGAAGGGAGAGCGTGTGCGGGCAAGGTCCCAGCGCGAAGGGAGGGAGCGAGGTTAGAGGCCGGCCGCCACGGATCTTCCAAAACCAAAATTTCCAGCGACGCCAAAGCACGCCAGAGGGCCAAAGGGGCGCGGGCGCGGGCTCCAGAACCGCTGCCGCAACCCTGCTGGCCTTGGCCTGGCCTAGCCCCGCGCCAATCTCCGGCGCGGCCACTCGAGCCAGCCAGCCAGCCAGCCAGCCAGCCAGCCAGCTGGACCCTGGCAAACCGACCCCCGCCGGCCCGAATCGACCGGCAAAAAGGCGCTCCCTCCCTCGTTGTCCTGCCATTCCATCTGTCCAGCGTGCCAACAACGAGAGCAACGTCGTATGGCTGGTGGCCATCGTGAACTCTTCCTTGCGCCGCCGCCGCCGCCAACACGGCACACACCAAGGTGTGTTGGGGGTGACCTGGCGGGCGGTCTGGCCGGACGTCTGACGGCGGAATTCGCCTCGGTTGCCTTGCCCGCGGTTGATTTGCTCAAAATCGTGTGCCGAGGACGCGGGTCCAAGCACGCAATTCCCGGCGGCGCAGGCGACATCGCCTCGCCACGCCCGACAGCGGGTGCAGCCGGAAACCTCACGGCGAGCTGCCAGCTGCCCGATTGATAATCCACGCAGGCTCTCGGAACCGATTGCGACGATTCGCTCGTTCGTGCGAGAGCGTGTCGCCGTCACTGCCGGGGCCCCTGGACTGGCACGCGTGCCGTCGTGGCCCTGGTGGCGGCCATCCCCTCCCTGCACTGCACCGCTGCGCCGCCCGTGCCGTGTGGGCACTCGATCCGTTGATTGACACACCACTTTGGGTTCAATCTCACCGCCGACATCCGTTCACACTACGGCGTATCACATCGGCGCCAAAACGACGGCCTGGCCTGCGAGACTCCCGGCTCGGGTCCGACCTGCGAGGCAGTGCCGTGGCCGTCGTCCATCAGCAGCCGTTTCACGAAGCAAAGGGTGATGGCTGGACCGGATGCTGCCAAAAGGGGATTCGGTACGGCCGAGCCGGGGCGAGCGCGCAGCACGCAGAACGCAGCGCGCAGCCAAAAGGAGGTCGCCCGGCCAGGCTGGCCGTCCTGCCATCGATGACAGGTAGCGCGAGCCATGTCACAAAAGAAATCAAGGTTGCATCTCCTTCGCTGCACGACAGCCGGGCCTCACATCAGGTTAGGGGCCACCATCTGCGCCAGGTCGGGCACCGCGATCATGCAAGTTGGCCTCTTTCCACTCGACCGCTGCCACTTCGATGTCGCTCTCTCCTGATCAACAGCCAGAGTGGCGACTCCCTTGTCCAGGCCGAGCCCCTCCACCGTGACCCCCACTGCCTGCGCGGGAGAGCACCGTGCCGGCGCCCCGACCTCGAACAATAATCGGAGCAATTTCATCGTGGACTCTGTCCGCCGTCTGACCCAGCCCACTTCGTTGACACGACGACCATCGAGTGCAATCACCGCTGAAAAGACAAATCTTCAGCCGCAGACGGGCGGCGCAACGAGCTCGTTGACGGTCCCTAATTCAGGGACATTCACCTGCTCTCTGCGAGGCGAGGCGCGGCATCGAGACGGCTAGAGTCGTAGCGCAGCGCGCAGCAGACATACGTGAAGACAAAAGACGACCATCAGCAGGGGTCTGCATCGTCGGGACGGCACCTTATGTCGATACTCGTGGCTGTTCATGCCGCTCCGACGATCAAAGCTCCAGCTTGCATTTACCGACGTGATGACCGCTCACCGTGTTGCTAGCGCGCGATGAACTTCTCGCCCACTTGCGTCGTTCTAGGGGGCTCGCTAGCATGCATCGCCCACCTCCGAGCGAGCGTCCGTGAAAAGGAATCGAGATGCAAGCCGTCGGTTGCCTGTTTGTCGGCTTATTCGAGCTACGGGCGGACCCCTCGACAGCCCATGCGCGGCCGGGACTAGGTTCCGTGCCACATTCCTCGAGAGAGGTTGCGGTAACATTCGAAGCAACGCTCGTGCAACCATCCGCCACCACCACCGGGCGCCGGTGGGGAAGCCCCGAAGCGCAGGTCGAGACGTGCCGTTGTTTGGGTCTCACCGTACAAATAGGGCCATCGAAGCCGGGCAACCTTCCTCTCGTCAACCCTCACCCCTCGCACCTCAACTCCTCCTTCCCCTCCACACCCGCCTCATCCTCTGCCCATGATGGTCGGCTTCAAGTTCTCGGCGCTCGTTACCGTCACCGCCACGCTCATCGCGACGGCCGAGGCGCAGAAGAAGCCCATCTTCCACGTCAACAACCTGCCCGACAAGTGGGAGCCCGGCCAAGTCGGCTCGAACCAGTGCAAGAAGTGGGGCGACTCGTCGCCCGACTCGATGTGCCAGAACGTCTTTGTCAACTCGGCCAACGATTTCTGCCTCTTCCTGCCCTACACTCCCAATACCACTATCGGCGACGAAGAAGAGCGAACGGTCTCATATTGTACCAGGTCGGGATACGGCACCCGCGTCTTTTCACCGGGCACCATCAAGGGCGCGCAGTTCCTCAAGACGCCCAACTACCTCCAGGTCACCGGTAAGCTCCTAGAATCAGCGCTTAGGATCGGTTCCAGCCCTTTTTCACCTCGAAGACATTCTCCAACCTACCAACACAGGCTACGGCGACTTCACCAAGGTGGTGGCCCCAGGAGATGAAGGAGGAGAACTGGATCCTCACGGCGCTACTGGGGCTGGCAACCCGCCCGGCGGGCTCGTTTTCAGCAATGCCATCCCTGGACATGAAGGTCATTGGAGACAGTCAAGGGAATGGTCAAGCTTTGCCTCTGCTACAGAGTTCAGCATTCGCCTTGGTTATGGATCCAAGGCGGCACTCTACGCGCCGCATATCTACGACGAGATGGGAGCGCAGTGGAATCATCCAGGTGAGTTCATACCTGTTCGATAACGGGGTGTTGGCGGTATCGCGGCGGTGGTTCTTGCCGATATCGCAGCATTGCGATCGCGCGGCGGTGGTCCTCGCTTTCGATATCGCGGGGTTGGTGGTAGTGCGGCGGTGGCGGCGAGCGCGCGCGCGCGCGGGCTCAGCTGAAATTAAACTTTCGCCGAGGGTCGCACGCGAGCTGCCAAAAATCAAGCTGCGCGACGTCACATGCGGGGTGGAGGGCCGGCTGGGCGGCTGTATTTTCAGCCGGAGCCGGTGGCACTACCCCCGCATCCCTCCCTCGAGACCACGAATCAAGATGGCAACTGACGGCTTCGAGCTCCCTATCCCCTTTGTTTGCGCGACCACAGGCAAGTACTACCACCACAAGTTCGAAGACTGCGACGGCGATAGCGGCGCCCCGCCCGGTGTCTACGGCGACTACACCTTCCATCAGGGCGACCCGAAGACGCCTCCCGCGCACCCGCCGCCGGCCAGCTCGAACTGTCACCCGCTCCCGTCGCCCGACGGCGGCCTCGCCCCTCAAAAGCCGTACAGGAAGCGCGCTCTGCCCACCGCCGTCGCCGACCGACTGTGATCTTCTCCCCTCGGAGAACTTTCCCCGCGCCATCGTACATTCTATACCCTTCCAGTTTCCCTCTTCCCCGCCGCTCCAGCATCATCGATTCTCCCCTCGACTCGTCTCGTGTTCATACCATTCCCACTCGCCCCTGCATCGCTCAAAAGCTCACCGACATCCACGGACGCTGCTTCAATGACGGCGCCGGCCACAACCGCCCCTCTCCATCTCCACTTCCGCGCATCACCCTCTCGTTGCATCCGCTCGCGATCGCGACTCTCATCGAAATCGCTCGAAGCCCCCCTCCGTCTTAGCATCCCCATCCCTTGACTGTCCTTTCCTCCCTTACGCACCTTATGCCTAGGCCCGAGATGGGAATTTAAGCTGCATCTCTCTTCGAAGCGGCACGGCAATGACCACAACGAGCGTCGTGGAGTCCGCAAGAGCTGTCGATCGGGGCGGAGGCGGCGGCGGCGGCGGCAGCAAAGCGAGCTAAACACACCGCAACGCGTCACCTGGAAGGCAATTGAGATGTGTTATATGATCACCTTTTTGGGAGCTTGACATCAGTCGGGGGTTTAGCTCAGTTGGCAGAGCGTTCGCTTAGCATCCAAGTTGCTTTCTCAGCACTCGATCCTTTGCGAAAGGTCACGTGTTCGACTCATGTAGTCTCCATTCTCTTTTGCCGTCCTGCTCTTCAGCTTCATGGCGAGCTTTTTTTGTGAGCAATTTGGGCAGAATTTAGTTCAGAACTGCCGTGTCTTTCCAAGCCTCCTTCAGAAGCACCAGCAGTGATGAGGGGTGAGAATTGTTGCATTATATAGCAACATGGACCGCAAGGACAAATGACACACACGACCTGAGGCTGCCTGCACTCACATCAGTCACTGGGCACACAGGGTGCAGGCCTTGACCATCAGTCTGCTCGACTCTGCATCAGGCAGTGTTACTCTTCCATGCCTCGACCCCTCAGTGACTGCTGCAGCCTGCGAGAACCTTTGGCGCTCGCTGCATCGGCGGCTGGAGCGGCCACAATTAATCATGAGTAACGGAGCGCAACTGCTGCACAGCATCAAGCTCGGACACCAGTGCGAGGACCAGAAGCAACACTGTTACAAGCTCCAAACGTACTCATACAACAACGACCACAGCACCTACTGCACAACAGCGACGACGACGACGACGACGAGGGAGCGACATGGAGTAGCAAGGATAAAGGAGGGAACCGGGACAAGGGAGCATGGGAGATGTGGGTCCTTTTTCGGCTGCTGGCCGGCGCTTCAGACGGCGGGCGGGGCTGAGCTGCTGCTCTGGTCGGCCATCTCGACGTCTGGCAGCGCACCGGCGCCCTGGGCGATGGCAGCCTGGGCGGCGGCCTGGAGCGCGTCTGCCGAGAGCGGGTCGGGCTCGGTCAAGAGCGGCTGTGATGCGCTGCGGGCCTGGGCCTTGCTGTCGGCGGCGGCGTCGATCGAAGAGACGGGGGCGGGCGCAGGGGACGGGCGCCGCCGTGGCGCCGGAGCCGGCCAGGGGCCCCAGCTGGCCAAAGAGGACCTGCGACACGGCGTTGGCGTCAAAGGCGCCGAGCGACTGGAGGGCTGCGGCACTGACGGCGAGGTTGAGGCCTTCGGCGCCGCTGACAGGGACCGAGATGGCCGGCACGCTGGCCGGGGCGCCCTGCGCGTCTGCCAGGCTGGATGATTGCCCCTCGACGTCCGGGCGGGGTGGTGTCGCCGCGGGCGCCCCGAGCGCCGCGGCGTTGATGCTGGTGGGAATCGTGATGGACGCAGTCGTGGTGGCCGTCGGCTCTTCGATCTTGGTCGTTGGCGGCTGGACCGGTGCCGCTGACGGTTGGCTGCCGTTTGGCTGCTGTCGAGCGGGTGTCGAGGGGGCCGCTGAGGATGCGGCAGAGGAGGCACCAGCGGGGGCCGGAGGTGCTGCCGCTGCTGCTGCTGCTGCCGCCGCCCTAGCAGCAGCGGCTGCGATTGCGGCCGAAGGGACGGGTGTGGCAGGAGCGCGGGTTGCAGGCGATGCGGCCGTCGGCTTGACGTCGGGCTGGCCCTGACCCTGGCCGGAAGCAGGCGCGGGCGCGGGCGCCGGCGTGGACTTCACCTGGCCATCCACGCTTGCGGGCGTCGCGGATGGCGTCGGGGATCCGTTCGTAGACGGGCTGCCGCCGGCAGCGGATGCCCCCGAGGCGGCCGCGGCCGCCTTGAGCTCCTCTTCGGCCTTTCTCTTCTTGCTCGACTTGCGGTGCACGCCCGGCAGGCTTCCGCCGCCGCCGCCGCGGCTCTTTGGCACCACCGAGGGGTCGCCGGTGGGTTCGATAAATTCAATCTCGCCGTCCTTGCCCTTCTTTTTCTTGCGCCGCGTCAGGGAGCGCGCGTAGCGCAGGCCGCATGCGTTGCAGAGGGTCTTGTGGCCCGAGGGGCCGCGCCTCCACTCCGGACTGTTGCTCTTTCCGCAGCCGGTGCAGCACTTTGTCTGGGCGGCGGCGGCGGCGGCCACGGCGGCAAGCGTCGCGACGCTTCCGCCGGGATCGTTGGCGCCGCCGAGTCCGCTGATGGGCGGGTTCTGGTCGTCGAATGGCCGGTGCGGTTTGTCGTGCTGCGTGTCGCGCGCGGGGCGCTCCTGGAGCCCGGCAGCATACTCGATGCTGGCGTTGGCGAGCGAGTTGAGCGAGCCGAGGCTCGGATCGCGGGGCAGGTTGCCGTACGCTTGGTTCCAGGGCGTACCCTCGGTGACGTTCGCCTTGATGCCAGGCTCTGGTGGCTGCCGGGTCGGCGGCGTCGACGACGAGGGCGGCTGCGGGTGCGGGTGCACCTGTGCCTGCCCGTCTCCACTCGAGGGAAGCGGCGCCGCCTGGGGCTGCGGTGGAGAGACGGGCCGCTGCGTGCCCTCGGAAGCCGCTCCGGCCGGCGCCCAGTCCTCGTCCCGGCTGCGCTTGTTGGGCGCATCGCCGCCGCCGTCGTCGTCGTTCTTGCGAATCTGACCACGTGCGGCCTCGAGCGTGGCCCGGGCCTGCTCGATCAGCTCTGGGTCCGGCTCGGGCATCGGCCCCTGGTAGACGATCTGGAAGCACGCCAGGACGATGCCGCCGTACGGGATCAGGACACTCTCGATGACCTTGAAGATGCCCTCGGTGGCAAATTGGTGCTTGGCCTTGAAGCGGCGGGTGCAGCTCGTGTTAGCGTCGGACAGCTGCGACGAGCCGGGCGCCACAGACACGCCCTGCGCGTAGCGGGCAAAGTCGTGGGCAAAGTAGGATCCGTCGTTGAACGACGCAATCTGCGACAGCTCGACCAGCCGCTCGTCGGCGTCGCCAGGGAAGAGGCGCGGTGGTGGCCAGCTGAAGAGGACCTGACCACCCTCCCCAGCCTCGAGCACCTGGAAGACGTGGTTGGGGCCCGGCAGGGTGAGGGGCTCGCGCTCCGAGGCCTTGACCTGCCTCCACATGCGCTCGCACTCCCTGAGCGTAAAGGCGCCGGCCGGGGTACCGCACCAGTTGGTCCACGTCGACTTGTTGGCCTCATCGTTGTCCTCTGGGCCCTTGTCGATGATGGCGTGGAAGAAGCACAGCGCCATGCCGTCGCCGACCCAGTTGATGACAATGTCGATGGCGACAAAGCCCTCGTCCTCGACGTACTTGTGCGCTTCCGGATCGCGCGGAGCGTCGGTGGCGCCGAGCATCTCGCGGATCCGGGGAAGGCGAGAGTACCGGCACCGCGTGACGCTGCCAAACAGCGTCCGGCTCTCGACAATCTTGCGCATGTCGGCGCAGGCCTGCTTCCGCTCCTCTGGATGGACGTAGTCAAAGAAGCTGGTGCCGACCATGGCGTCCGCCTGCTCGCACAGGTGGTGCTGGAGGACAGGATCGAGGTAGACGAAGCGCAGGTCGTCGCTCGCCTCGGCGCTACCGCCCGGCGGGCCGACAGAGGCCGACAACAAAGCCCAGTAGCACCGTGTCTGGCCGAGGCCGACGTCGATGGTCGTCTTTGGCAGCGCATCCAGCTTGGCCTGCGCCGCTGTCGGGCCGGCCTCTGCCGTCGCCTCGTCGACGATGGCCCTGATGCCGCCGATCAGCCGCTTCCCTTGGTCGAGCGGGAACGGGCATCGGTCGTCCTGGTAGATCTGGCAGGCGTCGCGGATCTGTCCCTGCTGCGCCTCCCAGTCGGGACCGACGGGATAGATGCCCCACGGCGCTGCGCCGTCGCTCTCGGCCGGTGGTTGCGTCTGCGCGTGGTCGTGCTGCTGTTCTTCTTGCTGCTGCTGCTGCTCTTGCTGTTGCTGATGCTGCTGGTGGATTGACGCCGCTGCCGCAAGGAAGTAAGAGCTGAGCTCGGGAGCCATGAGGCCAGAGACTTTGCCTTCGACGCCGTCGACGCCGTCCGTCGGGCCTTGGCCTGAGCCCAGCGCGTGGTGACCCTGAGCCGCCGCCATCGCTGCAGCCGCTGCGACCAGTGCGGCTTCATTTGGATGCTCCCCGATCATGCCGCTGCTCGAGCCGCTCGACCCGACGTCGATCCCGCTCCCGTCAGTGCCGACGCCGGTGACCGGGTCATGCCCACCGCTATCTGCCTTCTTGACGTCGTGCGACGGCACTACCCCATTCAGCGGGCCCGCCGACGAGCCGTTGACGCCTGCCAAGCTGAGCGTGCCCGCGGCGATCGGCGGCACGTCTGTCGGATACGACGATGCTGTTAGCACCGGCTCGACCGCCGACATGCCACTAGGGCTGTCGGTGGCCTGCGTGGGACCAGAGTCGACCCGCAGCTTGCCTGCACCGAGGAGCGTCCAAGACCGTCAGCGGGTCTTGACGCACTGCAAGCGAACACGCCAAACGAGGTGGTCACGCTGCGGCGGCGCCAACGGCGACAGCAGCAGCAGTCACCAGGAGGACAGGCGTCGATGCGTTGATTGCCAGGAAGTCGACGCTCCGAGCAGCGGGACGGTGCAAATCACTACCGTGCGCAAGTTGCCGTGGGGCTGCCGACGCCGTCGAGAGAGGCGGATGGAGCCAGGCGGGGATCGCCGCCTCGAACGAGGGGGGTCGCGCGGACACCCGCTGACGTCGGAAGGGTGGTCGGGGGAAACGTGTTTGTAGGGCCCCTCGGCTGTTGAAGGACTCGAGAGGACGGCGCTCGTCCCAAAAGGCTGGATACTGATCGAGATGGGACGGGTCGGGGAAAGGGGTGCGGAGGAGGTGATCGTGACGAGAAGAGATCGAGGCGTGCTCAGGCCGCCCCCCCTGGCCCGCCGGGGCGAAGAAAATCCTGAAATGATTGCATCGAGCCGGCGCCCGACGACAGCCTCGGAGCCGATCGCAAACATTCTGTCCCCAGCCCCCCCGCGCTGGCTGGCATCGAGTTGAGCCGCGAGTCTGGAACTCGGGAGTCGAGGCGCCGCTCTCCACTTTCCGTTTGGCCCAGTTTTTTCCCCCTCGCCTGTCCCCCTCGCCCAGAGGGCAGGCAAGCTTCGCGCTGCCTCGCCCTTTGCCGCTGGCCGCTCGTGTTCGTATGGCAACATCACCTCACCTCGTCCCTCTCCTCCCCATCTTACAGCGCATACAGGGCTTCGTTCCGTCGTAGCAATCGAACGGTTCCCTGTCAGCAGCGCGCTCGCATCCTCTCGCGGTCAGCATCCGACAATATGGGACAGTCCCGGGCCGCATCGGGCTCGCCGGCATCCCGTGACCACGGGCGGTACATCCGGGCCGGCGACCTGGTCGTCGTGTTTGCCGTGAGTCTTCGGTCGCTCGCATCCGCTTCGGATCGATGCCGAGCTGTAGTACAAGGGCCTATCGCCATGCTGACCTGCCTCGTCACTCCGCCTCGCACAGTCGAGAGACAAGACGCCCATCCCGCTGACGATCACACCAGGAGAGTTTCTCACAAACGTCTTTGGCCACTTTTCACACGACGACATGATCGGCCTACCCTACGGTAGCAAGGTGAGCAGGATCCACAGGAGATCAGCTGCAGTCACGTAGCGATTTCAGCGGTCGCTGAACTTGTGATGCTGTCTTGCGCTCGGCTCGCCCCGACAGATGATCTCGCGCAACGGCAGAGGCTACCTCTATCTGCTTCGACCGACTCCAGAGGTCTGGACCACGGCCCTTCCGCACCGGACCCAGATCTTGTATGCGCCCGACATGTCCTTCATCACCATGAAGCTCAACCTCGGCCCGGGCTCTCGGGTCATTGAGGCGGGCACCGGCAGCGGCAGCTTCAGCCATTTCCTCGGACGGACCGTCGGGCGAGGCTCCGCCCCGACGTCCAACGTCGAGGCGACGGCGTCGGAGCAGGCCGAGACAAGGGGACAGGTGGTCAGGAACTGGAAAGGCCTGCCCAACGAGATGCAGACCTCGTCGCGGGGCACCAGGGACCCCAACAAGGCCACCGAGGCTGAGGAGAGCACTGCCGGCACATCGAGCTCTGCAGAGACGGGCGCGGCCACACAGACCAACGGCGGTAGCGCCAGCGCGCCCATCGACGGCACGGTTCCAGACTTGGAGGGCAAGCTGTGGAGCTTCGAGTTCCACGCCGGACGTGCCGAAAAGGCAAGGTGAGTATCGGCGTCCGCCGTGGCCGGCTATCCTGGCGGAGGAGCTCCTCGTCTGTCCGCCCCATCTGACTTCTCGTCTCCGGCAACCCCATCTTAGGGTCGAGTTTGCGGCCCACGGACTTGACCGAGTCGCGACTTTGACGCATCGCAACGTCTGCAAGGACGGCTTTGGGCTGTCGGACGCTGCCGATGCCGTCTTCCTCGACCTGCCGGCACCGTGGGAGGCCGTCCCGTACGCCGCCGTAGCGTTGCGCCGCAAGACGCTGGGTCGCATCTGCTGCTTTTCGCCGTGCATCGAGCAGGTGCTCAAGACAGTGGCAGCGCTCACCGAAAATGGCTTCAGCGACATCGAGACGTTCGAGAGCCTGGTCAAGACGCACGAGAGCACGTCGATGGGGCCCGAGGTGACCATTGACGAGGCCATCGACCGGATCAAGGAGGTCGAGAGGCGGAAAGAGGCCCGACGCCTGACGCAGATCGAGCGGTCGCGCATGGCAAAGGACCTCGACGACGGCGCACCTGGCAGCTCGCGCGCCCAGTCGTCGCAGCCCTCGGAAGGCCCGGACGGCGGCGGCGAAGGCCTGGAAAGTGGCGATCCCAGCAACCCGCTGGCTGAGCCTGCCAAGAAGCGGAAGCGGCCCGAATCCGATCCTGCAGCAGAGTCGGACAACGAGGGAGAGTCGTCGACCGCCGCCGCCGATGCCGCGCGGACGATAGCCATCACCAAGCGCAAGGCGCGGCAGCTGCAGCAGCAGAAGCAGCAGTCGACGCCGTTCCAGGCCGCCACCGTCTACTCTCGACCGTACCACGAGGTGAGTCTGTACACAAGGTCGGCGACCGGGCTGAGTTGGCAGGGAGCTGACTGATGTCGCTTCCCTTTGCCCGATCCTCGTCCGCTTCCGAACAGATGCGCGGCCACACGAGCTACCTGACCTTTGCCACCCTCCTGCCACGGGACATGGAGAAAGCTGGCGGCGGGGACGTGCGCTCGTAGCCCGGACAACGGCGCAACGGACTACATACGTAGTCAGCCTTCGTCCGGACCCGCTGCGCGTGCTGTAGGTGCACCTGCAGAAGCCGGAAGGCATGGGCACCGCAGGCATGAGTCTGATCCGGTGGCCAGGGCGTGTGTAGAGCAAACGAGAGGTACCTACAACGGGCCGCGCTTCGGTCTGCCTCCATCATATCGAAAACGTCTGCCTGCCAACCAGCCAGCTTGCCGGTCATGCCCGGTCGCTCGCTCGCTCGCTTGGTTGCTTGCTTGCTCCCATCCCGGATGGCGTTCATTCCGTCGTCAGGGGACGGCTGGTGCATCTCGCAAACGGCTCTGTCGCATGACTGGCCTCCCTGTGTCACCCCTGGGAGCGGAGAGCGGATTTCGGGGCACGAGGTCGGACGGCGTCGAGGCGACGAGGCCAAAAGGCAGGCAGGCAGGCAGGCAGGCAGGCAGGCAGCGAGCGAACGTCGATCCGCGTGGGGGCCCAACCAGGTTGATCTCGTCTACGGCAGACGCCACATAAGGTGTACTAGTCCGGCTAGCGCGCGTCCACCTCGCAACGCGCCCGCTAGCGACCACTCGTTGCGCGTGCAAACATCGCGATTTGCCCACGCCGAGATGGAGTGGGTGTCGAGCGATGTGATTCGATGTCGAAGAGGGCGCGACAAGCAGAGAGCGATGACGGTCGGCAGATCTTGCCCCGTCTCTTGACGCTGTCTCGAATGGAAGTGCCTGGACTTCGACGCCCCAGCGGGGCTTGCTGGCCGGCGATGTGCCCGCGCGACCTCAGAAGTCGATCGCTTTTTGACCGGTGGTCATGGTCCGACGGAACATGGGCGAGACAATGGAGAATCTGGGATCGGTGGACAAAGGCCAGGGGGGCAGCCTTTCCTGGCACCGGAGACGCAGCGTTGGGTAAGCCTCCTTTTGTTTCCCGCCCTCGTCGAGCCGTCGCATGAACCCATCTCGGCGGCGGCGTTTTGATGCAGAAGCAGGCCGGAAAGCCAGCAGGAAAGCATCGCACCCGTCCAGACCGCAAGCAGCAGATGGATGATGGCGTCGCGCTCGGATGCGGTCTGGCCTTTCAGCACGCCTCGACTCGGGGCAGACGGCCCGGAGGTCCAGGGTAGTTAACCGGTATGTAGAATCTACGGTACGTCAGGCACACGCGGAATGTGTATGTGTGTACATGTATGTAGGACGCCGCCCCCTCCCTGGTGGCGAAGGCGACGGCAGCGACGACGAAGAAGACCGAAATATGTATCGAGAACGTCCGCATCTCGCTCCACCAGAGGCCCCGTTCCGATGTTATCAGCCGGCCCTTTCGGCACCTCGCCTGCTCGTCGGCCCTCCGTTCCGACTTTGCGCTCTGCTGAGGAGGGTTCGAGGACGAGCAGAGGTAAGATTCTGGAGGCGAAATAAAGATTCGAGATTGGGCCTGAAAGAGGAAGGACACGTACGACGGGGAGCCCCGAATTCTCGGTGAACGACAGCGGAAGGTCACCTGTGGCGCCCGAGGGACCAGCAGGAATTGACCGTTGTTGCACCTGGGCACCTCCAGAACCGGGGCGGCGGCCGCCGCGATCCATCCTTAATCTCAAACTCCGCTCTTCTCTGATGATGGGAGGGGTCGGGGACAGGCCAAGGGGAGAGGGAGAGTTCATACTCTCTGTATCCGCGGAGAGTAGGCGATGGCGACCGACCCCAACGCCGCCTGATTGCCCTCGCCAGCATGTGTCTGGCTGGCATGTCTCTCTCGAGGGCGGTCCTCAACCCACTTTGCTCCGACCCGAGGAGGTCTGTGCCTCGTTGCGAGCGACTGCGAAAGCCTAGGCCTCTGGACGCCGCAGCCCAAACGTGCTAGCTGCTTATCACGTCCTTGTCGGGGGCACCGAGGGGGCTCGCCAAAGAGAGGAGGGTCGCATCGCACGAAGGAGCACATACAGGAGGCCACCTCTTCGTCACCAGCCTTTGCGTCCGGGCGTGGTTGCGCCTGCTGGCCTGCCCGCCGCCGTGACTTTCGGGCCGGCTTCCGCTCCGATGAAAACAAAACCCAAGCATGTGGGACAGGCCAGGCGGGCAGGCTATGCTAGGCTGCGTGCGAACAGAAAAGAGACAGACAGAACGTCGACGTACAGACGAAAAACGTACCCTGCCTGTCCGCCGTGCTGAATGGCGCATGCGCCCGCTGCGTAGGTGCGCCCGTGCGTGCGGCGAGTCGCCCGCTGGACGGTACGTACACGTCCCTCGACAAGCTTCCCGTCCTCGCCGCACCGCCTTCCCCCTCTTGGCGTTTCCGCGTCATGGCGGAGCGGCAGGCACAGACGGCGTACAGTACGTTCTGTAGGCAGCAGCTCCATCTCCATGTCGACTTGCTCGCGGTCCGTCATGCGGCAGCGCTCCCTGACATAGGGCCCCTCTGCGCGAACTAGAGTGCTCTGCCAGGCCGATGCGCCCTCCAGGGCGATGGCGCTCGACAGCAGGAGGCGTGCGCTTCAGTTGAGGTCGACAGCGCCACGGCGAGTGCAGTGCGTGCTCTGAAGCCGTGCTGCGGCTCGGACCGCCCCGTCTGACGAGTCTGCCTTTGCGAAGAAGACCTGAAACGACCCACCGGCTGGGCCGAAGTCTCGACGGCGAGCGTCGGGAGAAGTTGCGCGCGGCCCCGGCGAGGCCAACGTTTGGCGGGTGTTTGTCGCACGGTCCGCGAGGGAGCCCGCTCTCATGCCTAAAGCAATGGGCCTAGGCAAGGGCAAAGGACAAAGACAACGGAGATGGGGACAAGAGCGGCCTAGGTGGCCGAATAAAGCACGGACGCACGGGAGGCGGGCGAACAGACGGGCCAACGGTGCGGTGCGGGGCGGAGGGGCGTCGTCGAAGCGATCCGCGTTGCTGGGTCAAGGCAGAGCTACCGTAGCCAAGTCAAGCTTGGCCTGGCCAGCAGGCCTGCCCCAGCATCAGCTATGGTAGGTAGCCAGCCAGCCGTCCTGACGGCCCGCCGCGGTCAGGATGGCGCGTTCCTCGCTCCTGCCATCGTCCCGTACGTACTCCGGGCTGCTTTCGGTGGCGGGTGTGACCCTTGTCCTCCTGCCTCGATCCGCCTCTCTTTCTCTCCGCCTCACTTCGGTGAGGTTGGCCTGCCTGTCTGACCTTGCCGGCCGCGCTGTGCGTCGTCTGTCGCTCATTCAATTTTTCGCTTTTCTCCTTGCCTCGAGGCCTGCCCGCTGGGACCCGCACCCACGCCCGCGCCCTGCTGTGCTTGGCCCTTGCCCGGTTTCCTGGACCAGACGCACGGAACTCGATCCGACCCGAGTCTTCTCCCTCACGGCCCTCTCGCGCACACACCTCCCGCCCTCTCCCTCTCCCTCTGCCTCTGTCTCTCCCTTCCACCAGTCCTACTCACACACGCTCTGCCCCCGACTCGGCCTGCCTTCGCCCCGTTCCCTTTCCCAGCCTTTCATCCGTGCTTTGAACGCCGCCCGTGCTCCCTGACGAGGGTCGCGTTTTTGCCCTCCCCGCCCACATCTTGGTCGTCTCCTCCTTTTCCCTCACGCTCTCTCTCGACTTCGACATTCCCTGGATCGAATTCGCCCCGCCTGCGCAGTCGCCTTCCGTACAACAATCTCCATCGCACGCCTGCCTGCCTTCTTGCGATCAAGCTCTCTTGCTCTCTTGCTCTTTGCGCTGTTTCATGGCTTCCAGGTCTCCTGGGATCCAGCATCGACACACCAAGCGCCATCCTTAGCGCTTTCTCGCTCTTTTGCGCGCGTGTGACCTCCACGTCCTCTCGCTCCCTATCGAAACCGCCTGAGTTCCGATCTTTGCTTGCAGCATCACCGAGCCAGCATCGGCAGAAGCGGCTCCATATCGCCCCGATCGACAGTACAGCGGCCTTTCTTCGCGCTGGCAGTCGCCCTGCCCTGGCATCCATCCCGGCTGCCGTCTTGCAGTCCTCGGCCACGAGCTCTTCTTCTGAAGGGAGGCCGGCGCTGTCAAACTACCAGCCTTGACGTCAACCGGACTGCTCCCGCCAGACACTGGATGAGGTCTGCCTGAGGCTCGTCCGCCTTCGACAATCACATTTCTCAGCTTAGAGGCACGACGAGCGACACCTGCCCTCCGTCACCTGCGAAGAGCCAAGAGGGAGGCCGATAAACGCAATCAGGCCTCGGAGTGCTCTGCACATCGCCCGCTTCGACTTTCGACCGGCAGAGGCTTCGCTTTGCTGTTTGCGATACCGTGAAGCGGCGCTCGTCTTCGCGAAACGAATACAAAGGTCAAGCCAGTCTCGAACCGCCGACGGAACAGTGCCCATCGACACCTCACCCGGCTTTCAAGGGCTTCATAGCCCGCATCCCAACCCAGCGCACGCAGGAGCCCTGCGCCTCGGTCGCAAAAGAGCGCGACTAGGAGTGCAGTGGAGATGAAGGTCCGCGCTGCGGTTCCGCCTGCGAAAGCTCAAGATGCGGCAAAGTCGGCCTCGACCTCCAAGGCAGCTGATCAGGGCACGGCCGAAGCGGGACTTCCGAGCACCTCTGAAGGAGGCGTCGCCTACCAGTATGCGCCAGTCCAGCAAATGACGGAGCACAGGGAGTACATGTGAGTTCTCGCTGACATCGCCTGGTCGACCCCGAAGAGCGCGGGAGGTGTTCGCTGACGCTCGCTGCCACCAACACTCTCACAACCCCTGCACACCCGCCGCCTTCTGCAGAGAGTACCAGCTGACGGTGCGCGAGCAGCCAAAACACTCGCGCATGTGTGGCGTGGGCGAGAAAGGTGAGCATCGCCAGAAGGGGGCGTGGCGGCATCGAGATGGACCGGCTGATCTCGATTGCTTTGTTTCGCGATCCTTGCTCTTGCCGTGCCAACAGCCGACCGACGGCCGATCGACCCCGCGCCTATCGTCCAGCTCCGCGTCATCACCCACGACCGCCCTGTGCGGGATGCGCCCATCTCGTCGAGCAGCACCGACCCCATCGCTCCGCCGGTCGAAAGGGCGGCCGGTCACGGCCCAGCGGTTCCCTCGACACCCGGCGTGAGACGAGGAGTGCCGGTCACCACTGTCCACGGCGATGGATGGGAGGACAAGGCGTGGTACCTTGAGAATCCCTACTACTTCATGTACGCGATGCTCTGCAACTACGAGAGCGACGAGGAGCTCCATCTGCTGCAGGACGGCAAGACGCGATACACGAGCGGCTCCTGTGTCTCGTGCCTCTATCACCTCAAGGACATCGACGGGTCGCACCAGGGCTTCTTTGTCTTTCCGGACCTCAGCATCCGCGTCGAGGGCGTGTACCGCCTCAAGCTCTGCCTCTTTGAGACCATCGGGTAAGTGACCAGACCGCTTGGAGGCGCGACTGCCAGCTCCCCGCACTGACGGCCCGAGCCATTTCTCTTGGCTCTGACAGGCACACGGTCCACCACTGCAAGTCGATCTATTCGGCCCCGTTCAATGTCTATACGGCCAAGCGGTTCCCAGGCATGGAAGGTGAGCTCCTCCTTGGGCACGCCAGGCCCTTCACAGACCGGCGTGCTGAGTCTTGTTTTCCCGTGACCCTGTCCGCTTGCCTTGCTCTTTTCCCTTCGCTCAGAGTCGACGCCGCTGTCCAAGTCCTTCGCCGACCAAGGGCTCAAGGTACGCGTGCGCAAGCAGCCGCGGATGCGTCGTCGCAGCTCCAAACGCAAGGAGAGCAGCCGCAGCGACGGCTCAGACGCAGACAATCCTCCGGCCACCTTGTCCGGGGACCGCAGGAGCCCGAAGCGTTCGCGTCCGTCTGCGGAACCAGCGCCGCCGGTTCCTCCACTACCCATCTCGGCGCCGCACCATCGCCGACCGCTCGTCCACGACGATGGCGCGGCCTTAGGCCCGGCTAGTAACACGCCAGCAAGAGGGCCGTACAGACAGCCGAGCGGAAGCCATCATCCGGAGACCGCACCTCGGCATTTCCGCGATGCACAACACCAACAGCCACCCCCAGTCTCGCCTGTGGCGTACCGGGATGGCAGTCAGCCAGGCCATCATCCGGGGCCGCCGGCGCAGTATCAAGGGTACGACAGGTTGCCAATGAGGACCCCGGCGTCGAGGCACATGGAGGAGTCGCCGATGGGCATGCCCATGTCAAGGTCGCTCCCACCCCACCGCGGCTTTGACAACCATGCCGACGAGGCCGCGCTTCGGTACGGCTACCACGAAGTCGAGCGGGATCCTCGCGAGCGTCTCATCCAGCCTCCGCATCGTGTGGACGGCGGTAGGGTCGCTCCTGCGTACCCTCCTGCACCCTACGCAGACGACGAGATGCACACGCTGCCGCCCAGAGGTCCGCCGTCGATGGACAGCACCGTCACTCTTCGGCGCAGGGATAGCTTTGCGTCTTACGGCGACGAGGATCCCCGTCAGCAGGGCCGGCGAATGGGACCACCGCCGCCTGGTGCAGGCGCATCTTGGCATCGTTCAGCTCCCGGTCCGCCACACGCGTCGCCGGACACGCGCAGGGGATCGGCCGACCACCGCTACCTGCGCTCACCAGGCCCAGACCACCTCGCCGATCATCCGCGATCGCATTCGGCCAGGATCTACTCTCCTCGCGGCCCGACGCCCGAGAGGGGGGGCCCGTCTTCGTTGATCGCAGATCGCCAGCGCCTCTTCGTCCCCAGCGACAGAGCCCCTGTCAGGCCCTCAGCTGGTCACTCTACGGGCCAACCTGCTGGCCACCCTGCCTACGCTGTGCCGGCTCAAGCTCAGCTCGGTGTGGCCCGGCCGTACGAGCTCGAGCGACCTGGGTACGACACGCACCGTCGACCGCATCCCGAGGAAAGGTTCGTCGAGCCAATGCCGACCCGGGCAGACGGTGCGGGGATCCCGCATCGCGGGCTCAGGACGCCTTTGCACGAGGGGCGGGTGCCGAGCCGGCCGATGACACCGCTCGAGGTCGCGGCAGAACCTCGCGATGGTCCGACATTGCCACCGATCCGGGACCTGCCTCAGTTGCCCTCGTTGCGGCGGGCTAGTCGGCACGACAGCCCCGTCACGCGACTCCCGAGGGCCGAGAGCTTCTACGACCCGCTTCCTCGCTTTCCGACGACGAGGGAAGTCGACCCGGCGATGCGCTCCGTGTCGGCCACGCCGCCGATCCGACGGCACCTCTCGAGTTCGCAGCTCGGCCCCTCGTCTCATTTCCAGGAGCCTCTGCCGCCGAGGAGCCCGTTGACGGGCACGCGGCAGGCTCCGCAGTATGCTCCCGTGGCCGTCAGAACGCTGCCTGCGCTTCCTTCGCCCGACGTCGAGCGGCCCCACTATGGCCGAGCCGGCAGCGGACGTCTGCCTCCGCCGCCGCCGGCGCCGCCGCCGCCGCAGCAGCAGCAGCAGCAGCAGGCCGGTCCACCGTTCGATTACGAGCAGGCCTACGGGCGGTCTCGACGCGACGAACGTCCTCGAGAATGGGACGACGAGCGCGAGAGGGCCCTCGCAAGGGAGAGGGAGCGCGAGCGCGAGCGAGATCGGGATCGGCAACTGCGCGATCGAGGCTACGGACCTTACTAGCGCAGGCCCCGAGCCATCTCCAGCCGCGTCCCTGCCATGCACGGAGCTGCTCGCGAGCTCAGGCCGCCCTTCGAACAAGGTCCAGGGCGTCGGGAGAAAAGTCGCACGGCCTCCGGTGTTGCTCGTTTGCCTTCCTCCGCTACGGCGCTCTCGGATGGCCCATTCGATGCCACCATCCCCATCCCCACGGCTTTCAGAGCCCTCCATTGCCATCCCGAGCTTGCAGCTAGCGCCTACCGGCCACCCTCTAGCGCTCTCTTGTACTTTTTCTTGTCCCTCTTGCCTCTCTTCGTCAATACCCAAGCCCATGCCTACCGCCCCATCGCTTTGCCTTTGCCTTTCCTTTCCGGTCGTGCAGCGTGGTTTCATGGGCCTCGCTGCCCGACGTGCAACGCTGTGTGGCGCTGCAAGCTGGGTATGCGGAGCTCGTGGCTGAGCGAAAGGCGGCGCTGCACACGTTCTGGCGAGATCGCGTCTGCTGAGAGCGAGGGCGGGCTGCGGATATCGTCTGGATAGAGGACCGGCAAGAGGACGACCAGGAGCGATGGGTGCGCGCGGGGGCGGTGATGCGGTACCGTCACTCCAATGCGGTGATGTACATGACTGTGGCATCGTCGTCGTCGTCGGCACGTCGAGCGAGGAGGAGGCGGGGTGGAGACGGGGTGAAGGCGTCAGTCGGAAGCACGTCGAGTAGACGAGCGAGCGCAATTCCGATTCTCGTCTCAGGGATGCGCGCAGGAACCACGGATTGGACTGTTGAAGCGAGGATGGGAGGAGAGAGGAGAGGCGGGGACGACGCACCATTGTTGCCACGGATAAAGGCGTCGCCGTAGTTGTTCTTCATGACGCCGTCGACGTACTCGCACGTCTGTTCGAGGGCGATGTTCATGTATCCGTCCAGGCAGGATAGCGTGCCTGCACAGCAAGGGAGCGAAGAGGAACAAGGCGGGAATGGGGATAAGGGGAGGAGGAGAAGGTGTGAGTGTATGAGGATCGAGCGGCGATGAGGATGAGGGAGGTGGGACGTACCCCTATAGTCGATGCCCGAGTTGAGTCGGACGTTGACTTGCTTTCCAATCACGCCTGTGATAAGGAGTCGGAGGGGCCCGAGAGAAGGTTCGATGGTGTCAGATGCCAGCTCAGCGGCTGCACAACGCCTGCGAGGGCCAAGCAAAGTATCGAACGAGCTTGGACGGGACGCACCTTTGAGAAAGTCGTTTGGACTTCCCGTCTTGACCTGCTGCTGTTGCGCCGCGGCGGCGGGGGGCGGAGTCGGGGTCGACGAATCTGCCATATCGTCCGTGGTGTCTTGACCGGTGTGCGCGGGTGCGAGTGCGGAACGTAAAGGTGGTGGAGGAGGAGGAGGTGGTGGTGCTGCAGATGGTGTGCGGCGATGGGCAGCCACCCAGCCCAACCGCACGCCGGCTTCTTTCTCCACTTTGCCGCGTCCCGCGCTTTCTCCCGGGCTGGCTTTCTTCGTGCGCCGACCCACGTTTGCTATTTGCTAAACGGCCTCGTGGCCTTCTTCACCATCACCCGACCCAACCCAACCTCTTGCCACCTGGGCCCCTCGCTTTCACCACATCCTTTCAGCACGCACTGCAAGCAGATTTACTGGCGAGGACCTGGAAGACCATGTCGAGAGCAGCCAAAGCCACCTTGATAGGCTCCGTCCTCGTCTCTGGCCTGACGGTATGGGGGGTCCACTTCATGCAGACCAAAGAACGAGAGGTACGTCCCTTTGGCCCCCCTCCCCACCTTCGATGCCATGCTACACCGAGCACGTCCAACTGAACAACACCATCCGCAACCTCTGTGCGACGAACCGGGCAGGTCATGTACCGCGGCGTGCAACGGGACGAGGCGAGGCAGGCGGAAAAGAAGCGCCAGCGCCAGCTCGACCTCGAACTCAACCAAAAGCGCGAGGAAGAGTACCAGAAGATGCAACCCACCGCCGCTTCTTCGACGACGACAGCAGCAGCGGCAGCGGGGTCCGGGTCATGAGCCAGTCTTCGGTCTAGAATGCCGCTGCTCGTCTTCCACCGCTCCTTGTACTTTTATCGCTTCTCACCTCTCACCACGCCACACTTCGCTGCGCGACGCCGCCCTGCGCGCTTCTGCCGAATGCCTGGCGGTCCGGCCCGCATGCAATCGATCCCTCCTAGACGACGACAACTCCGACATGTCTCTCGCCGATGCACGGTGCTGCCACTGCGCTGCGTCGCTCACGTTGGCATACAGCAAAGGGAAGGTACCCCGACGAGTTTTCAAGTGTCGTTCAGCACCTGTGCCAGGCTGGCCTCCCTTCCTTCCGCTCCTAAAAGACTTTCTGCTGCGCAGCCATCCTGCTGTCGCTTCCGTACGATCCCAGCCTGCTCATCAGTACGTCCGCGTAAAGTCGTACAGCTCCACCGGGTCGGCAGGCTCATTGTGGGTTTCGGCGTCCGGGTTGGCCGCACGGCGCTTGTTCTCCAGCTGCGTCCGGAAGCGCTGGATGTGGTGCAAGCGCGACACCCAGTCTATCCAAGAGAGGAGGCGTGCGGCAATCGAACGTGGTCAGTGGGGGTCAAAGGTCGACCGCGACACGTCGCCTGGCAACGGCACTCACTGCTCGTGTAGGGCTGCATTGCCTCGCCCGTGTCGAGGTAGATCTGGCTCATCAGGTTGCTTGTCAGCGCCAGGATCCTCACAAAGGCCGGCAGCGACTCGGCAGAGATGAGCTGGCCGTCGCCCACCAGCGAAAAGTCGGGCAGGCCGGGGCGCGTCTGCAGCGAGACGCGGTCTGGTGGTCACGCCAGCGCGAGCAGGTGAAGGCGGGGCGCAACTCGATGTCAGCGGAGGTCTTCTCGCAGGCGCGATCCTGCTGAGCTCTGCCTTCTGGGCGACTGCAGCGACTCACAGAAGACGGCGTCGTCGGGCGCGGCCGAGCCGAGGTTGGCGCCGCCGCGCGAGTTGGGCGAGATGCAGATGTTGACAAAGTTGAACTGGCTCGGGATCGTGCCGAAGCGATATTCGTGCCCGGACTCGTTGAAGACAATGTGCACCCAGTCGTTGCCGATGAGCGCCTTTTTGGCCGCGTGGCTGGGATCGTGCTCCTTGTTGGGCATCAGCGAGGCCGTGTGGTAGACGATCTGCGAGATCTCGTCGGTCCAGACATAGGCAAACTTGCCGTGCTCGTCGACCTGGCGGTCCAGCCCGCCCGTGTAGACGTCCTCCTGGCCCTTGAGCGTGATCAGGTGGCCCAGCCCGGCGAGGAAGCGGACGTAGGCGGGCGAGCCGTGCCGGTTGCCCAGGATCTCGACCTCCGAGTCCTGCCCGGGCGCGACGTAGAGCACTCCGATCTTGTGGAAGTCGACGACGGGCGTCAGGTCCACCGCGCGGATCATGCGGTCGGTTGCCGGCTCGTCTGGCAAGAGGATGGGCGCCGTCTCCTTGACCATGTCTGGGAACGAAGAGAGCTGGATGGCGACAAAGCCCGGGTCGACGGCGGCGTCCTTGGGCGGTCGGAAGCTGGTGGCGCTGACCTTGCGGCCGCCATCCTTTGCGCCCGCCTCGGTCGCCGCCGTCGCCGACGTATCCTCCGACAGAATGTCGCGCATCACCTCGCGCATCGCATGGGAGCTGTCCTGGTGGCGCAGCCTCGACTGCTGCTGGTCATCGGCGTCGTCTCCGTCCTTCCCGGCTTCGCCTGGGTTGCTAGTGGGCTGAGCGTACGGACCGCCGACGGCGCTGTCGCCGGCAGTCGATGGGGTGGCCTCCGACAGCACGCCCGAGAACGACGCGGCACGCGGCTTCTGCGAGAGGCCGAAGTGCGCGGGCCCCAGTGGCTGGCGCGTCCGAAGCTGCTCGGAGAGCTGCAGGCGCTCCTCTGCCAGCTGGCGGATCGAACGGCGCTGCGAGGTCACGGGAGGCGCCAGCAGCTTCGGCGCCCGCAGGATGTCGGGATCGCGATCCATCATCAACATCGCCGGCAGGTCGATCCTCTCGCCGTTCTCGTCTGGCAGCATGCTGACGGGCACGTTTTCCAGCTTGCACAGCATTGACGTGGTGCCCGACGGCCGCCGGACCAGGATCTCGACCCAGCCGTGGCGCTTGAGCGACGTCACCGTGAGTAGACCCTTGCCCATCAGCCAGGTCTTGGACTGCTTGGCCGCCTCCTTGGGCCGTCCCGGTCCCACTGACGACGGCCCCATGACCAGGCTGTTGACAAACGAGCGCTTGGGCTTCGGATCGGCGTTGGAGTGCGTGACGCGGGCGAGGAAGTCGAAGCAGGTCTCGGTCTGGTCCGACAGCTTGTCGAGCCCCTCGTTGGCGAGCAGCAGCCCGCGGGAAATGTAGGGCACGTGCTTGGGTCGGTCGCTGATCTTGAGCGTCATGAACCAGAGCGAGATGTTGTAGTAGGCCATCATCATGACGTACTGCGACAGCGAGAAGGCGGCCGGGTTGGAGCGCCAGTCGTCGCGGCTGGTGGCGGCGGTGCTCTGGTGGTACTGGATGTACTGTAGCGAGATGCCAAACACGCGGCGGTAGTCGGCTTCGGTGAAGTTGGCGTAGCAGGCGGGCGTGTGAGCGATGGCCATGATGAGCTCGAGGATGTGAACGCTCATCGTCATCGACGACATAACCGTCGACAACTTGACCAGCATGCCCGACAGCAGCCGCGTCACCGACTTCTGCAGCTCGTAGCACGCCACCGACAGCGCGCGGATGCAGGGCTGCGCCGTATTCTGCGACTTGTTGAGACCGGCGATGAACGTCTCGACCAGCTCGTCCTGCTCAGAGCGCGAGAAGAGCATGCGGTAGCCGAGAAGCGTGGTGAGCAGCGAGTACGTCACGGCGTAGACATCGGTCTTTTTGATCTCGTCCGGCAGCAGCAGCCGGGGGAAGAGATTGCCCTGGAGGATGCCCTCGCAAAGCATGCGCCGCAGGTTGAGGATCTCGATCTGCGCCTTGGGGCCGCTGAAGAGGTGCTTGTTGGCGAGGATGTGCGACAGGTGGCAGATGAGGTAGGAGAGTAGCTCCCAGTCTGGCTCGTGGAGCATGATGGCGATCGCCGTCGAGAGGAACTCGGAGACGGGCAGCGGCGCCGGCAACGCCTCGCCTTCGACGAGCATGTGCGACTGGCCAGGGCAGCAGTCCATGTCGTGGCGCTGGTGGATGTAGCTGTAGATGAGGTCGCTGCGCAGGTTGAGCTTGGGCATCTCGAAGAGGATCTTGATGGGCAGGCGCCAGAGATGGCCACGGCTGGTCAACCTCCGCCGCGTCTGGCTCGAGCTGCGATTGCGCTCCGCCAGCCCTCGCCGTGGCAAGTCGCTGCCTCGCTCCTGCCGGCCGCGGTCCCGCGATAGCTCCCGCAGCCGCGACCGGGACCGGTTCATGGCCTCTGCACCGCGTTGAGTATCTCTACCCTCCCGCTCCGTCCGCGCGGCCGCCTGAGACCTGGAGGCGGTTGCACCTGCGTTCGCACCCGCCGCGGCTGACGGATTGGTACCAGCCGCGCCCCGGGCACCCGCCTCGTTTGCCTCACCGCTCGGCGACTCGCCTTCTTCGGCCGTAGGAGCTGGTCCTTTGCCGAGGAGCGCGGCCGACGACAGGAGGACCTCATCCAGATCGCCGACGAGGTAGACGCGGTGCTGGCGATCCGTCCGGAAGCGCACGAACCACTCGAGGATAATGAGGCGCGTCAGCGTGCTCGCCACGCTGGCGGGTGCGCTGCTGGAGGTCGAGCTGGGCGCTTGGGTCTGCCTCGTCGGCGACATGATCTTGTTGTCCGCCTGCCCGCCAGGCGTCTGCGGCGCGATGCCCGGCCGCAGCAGCTCGAGCAGGTCCCGGTAGATGGCGATGCAGCCGCCGCGTGTCTGCTTTTCCCACTTTCGACGAACAGCACGATCGACGCGCGGGTCGACCGAGCTGGCGATCCATGGCGTGTTGAAGGCCATGCGGTTGAAGATGGCGATCATGTCGAGGGCAGCGTTGGCCGCCTTTCTCTCCGCCATGTGCCGGACGTCGGCGTGGTCGAATACGGTGGCGCCGTTGGTCTTCTGACCGGGCAGCGTCGTCGACGTCGCCGTGTTCATCGCCCGTCCCGACTCCGCGTCCGGCTGAGCCGTGTTGCTCGACCTAGCGAGGCGGCAGAGCAGCTGGCGCACCTCGACAAAGACTTCCTCAAAGTGGTCCGAGTCCGAAGCCTGCTCTCGCGCGGGTTCCGGCTCCTGCTCGGCCTCTGGGTCGATCGGACCCGGGATGCGAGAGCCGCTGAGCACGGCCGCGTTGACGAGCACCCTGCGGAGATGCTGTTCGATGTCCGAGTCAGTCTCGGAGAAGAGGGTCGAGTTGGCCAGCGGCAGGATGATCTCGAGCATCAGCGTGTTGCGCTCGGTGTCCATGTCCTCGACCGCGCTGTAGACGTGGTCGAAGAGGAGCGAGACCAGCTTGCGGCGTGCCAGCGGAGCGGGCACGACGCCGAGGTCCTCGAGCATCTGCTCGTGGCGGTGGTAGAAAGCCTGCAGCAGCGCGCGGATGTTTGGGATCCAGTCTGGGTTGCTCGGAAGGCAGAGGTGCTGCGAGCGATAGTACTGCACCAGGTCGACGATGGTCCCGTCTGGAAGGATCGGTGCGAGGCTGAGCAGCAAGGCAGCCAACTTCGGAGTCCAGGGCAGGGAAGACGCTGCCTCTGTCGCGCCATCCGCGACCCTCTTGTCGGCGTCGGGGTCCTCGACGTCGTCGTCATCGTCGCCAGACTTTGGAGGTGGGGCGATCTGCAGCCGCGAAAGCACGCTCAACATCGCCTGGACCGCCGGGGACAGTTGCGCCGAGCGAGTGCCCGCCTTTGCCGAGCCGTTGCTCTCGCCCTTGCCCTGGCGCGAAGAGGCGAACGGACCGAGCGCGCCGCCCCTCAGCTTCCAGCCCTCGACGTGCCGCTTAGCCTCGACGGTCAGGTCGAGCAGCGCGTCCCAGTCGCCGTGGGTGAAGGCGTTCGTCACGATGCGCTTGATGTGGGGGTCGCGGCTCCTGTTGGCACCTGCCAACTCGGTCGGATCCGGCCGGCATGGGAGCAGGTCAGAGACTAGGTTGAGCACCTCGAGGTCGAGCAGATCGCAGTGTCTTCGCAGCGCGCCTCGAAGGGCGGGCATGATGAGCGAGAGCGAGAGCGAGGGCGCAAGGGCATCCTCTGCGTGCGTCTTGGCGGACGACGACGACGTCGCCTGGCTGTTCAACTTCTCGGCCTCGTACTCTGAAATGTGGGCCATGGCGGACCGGAAGAAGCTCAGCGCTCCGACCAGCACGGCCGGATCCTCAGGCGCAGCGCGAGGCGTACTCCCGGCAGTTTGCCGCTCCAGCAGCACCTCGCGGACCGCCCTGATACCAGCATTGGCGCAGTGGCTGCGCAGGATGTGGGAGAAGATGGGCCACACATCGTCCCTCCAGGCGTGGGCCTCGTCATCGACGCTCTGCGCGACGTAGCCGGGTGCCAGAGAGTCCACGAGCGGGTAGCCGAGGAGCCGGCACAACATGTGCATCACCCGATCGACGCAGTCCGGCGGAAGGTAGCCGTAGCGCAGCGTGGCGTCCAGCAGCTTGAGCACCGACCGGACCTCGGCAATGTGGATGTCGGGACCGAAGAAGTAGTGGCCATCGGCATCGTCGACACTTTGAGAGGATGAGGGGATCGACGTCGTCGCCGTCGGCGCCGTACGTCCTGGAGCGATGGTGGCGAGTGTTATCGGCGCCGGGCCGGACGCGCTCGCTGGAGCCAGCGCGGCCTCCAAGCCATCGACGCTGAAGGGCTTGGTGGCCCCGGGCCGCGGCGTCATGGCCGGCGACGGCGTCTCGCTGCTGCCCGAAGAGATCGTCTCGAGGCCGTAGTACGAGTAGCCATCCATGAGCGGCCGAGCATCCCTTGATTTGGACCTCTGAGCGGCCGTGCCTGTGGTCCTGCTCCGGGAGCGCGACGAGCCTGCAAGGGAGAGGGTCTTGGTTGCGGGCGACCGCAGCTGCTCCCGCGGCGGAGCGGTCGAGGCGCGCCGTGGCTGGCCGAGGATCATTGTTGCCGCGCTCCGCAGCGCCATCTCGGCATGCGCGAGCGGAATCCGGGAGAAGCTGTACTTGAGGATCGAGGTCAAGAGGTGCAGCGTTGCCTGGACGTCCCACTCCACCGCAGAGAGGCGGGCCACGACGTCGGCCTCTGCCTTGTGCTGTTCCTCTCCCACGTCAGCGCCCGTAGCGTCTGTCGCCCCCGCGTGCAGCCTCTTGCACTCGGCACGGAGAGTCTGGACCTCGTGCCAGGCGAGGGCCAACCACTGGGTCAGGGAGGATAGCAGGTCGGGGAAGCCGACAACGTCCCTGCCGTCCTTGGTGAGCACCTCGAGCGCGCGTAGCTGGCTCGGTAGCCCCCGCAGCACTGCGCGGGAGGGATCGGGTCCTACATCGTCGAGCTCGCTCGCCGAGAGGGTCAGGACCAGGCGGTAGAAGAGAGCGCGATCGATGTTGGCCAATGGCTGGTCGCTGTCGGGCACCTTGGACGAGAGCGAGCCGGGGGCACCGCTGCGCAGCTCCGAGAGGGCGGTCGACGCCTTGGCCGAGCGCAGATCCGCCAGCTTGACGGAAGAAGTGAGCAGCTCACAGGCCTCGATGCGCAGCACCTGCGGCTGTTCGCCCGTCAGGAGCGCCGTGCACAGCTTGAAGACCTCTGCCAGCGGGACGTCTTCGCTGTAGGCGGCCTGGGGCGAGCTCTGCCGCTGCACGGCAGCGTGGAGCGCGCGGATGCGTGGCACGCGCTGCCTGATGGCCTCTTCGCGTGCGCTCTGGGACGCCGGGAGCGGCTTTTGCAGTTCACTGATGTGGCTCGCGTAGCCCTCGGCCTCGTGAGGCGGTGTCGCGGTACCGGCGGTGGTGGGCAGGGCGCACGGAGATATGGGATCGCTGAGGCTGCCGGCTGCGGTGCTGTCGAAGGGGTTGGCGGGGGTGGGTACGGATGCGGTGCTGATGGGCGGCAAGGCGGCGGCTGCTGGGACGCCCGAGGCCGATGGTGGCTGGGCCGCCGATGATGCAGACTGCTTGGCCCTACCGAAGCCGCGCAGTAGCTGTTGCCCAAAGGTGGACTTGGACGAGGTCGAGCTGGCCGACGACGTCGTGGCCATGGCGGGTGCCGCCTTTGACTTGCTTGGATCCATGGCGGGAGGTGGTCAGTCGAATGCTGTCGGATCGGTCCGAGGCGTCGGGTAGGGGTATACGAGCCAAGAGACGACCTCGAGAGCCGGGGAGCAGGTGCAGGAAGTGACTCGACAGTCAGAGGCGTGAGCGTATCCTCGATGTGCCGGTGCTGATGCTGTCGCTGAGGCTGCGAGTCGGCTCCCGGGCGTGCTTATCGTGTCCGATGGAGCGATAAGGGCTTGGGACCCGATGGGCTCGCGATTTGCAACCGTTGGCAGAGGCAGGGCTATCTGTCGAGGTGAGCTGAGTCGATCGTCACCTAGAGGGCATCTTGAAGGCGTCGAAGACGAGGTCGAGGGCAGTAGTTGCGTGCAATGGCGGCGTGTCGTGGCGATGAGGTAGAGGGGAGCAAGGTGGGGACCGAGGTAGGCAGCAACAGGCGAGGCCAGGGTCTGCCGTCGATGCCACTACTACGGAGCGGCCGCCCCACCCGACTACGCCCCACCGTCCATCGGCCACAGCCGCCAAGCCAGGCCAGGCCTTCTTGACTCACCTGCGGGCCGCCGCCGGAGCTCGAGCTCAAAAAAAGTGGAGCACGCCAACCAACGACGTCAGGGATCGGGATCCGGGACCCGCCGCCCCTCCCGATCCAATCTGACTCGAGTCGAGTTCGGCGTCCGGCTCACCCGCACGACAACCGGGCGTGATCGGCGGGCGGAAGGGCCCGGCAGCCGCGATTTGAAATCAGGCCGGGCTGGGCAGCGAGCGCGACTTGAGGGCTGGCTTGGCTGGGGCCGGCTGGTTCTTCCTGCTGGGCCATCGGCCGCCGACGGTGCTGGCGGCCGCCTGAGGGAGCGAGTTCGGGATAGCCGCCAGATGTTCTCGGCGCCTCCGACCCGTTGCCACCATCATTACCATCGCCACCTCACCTCACCTCACCTAGCCCCGCTTGCCCGCTTCTGTCACCATGGTTTCCACGACTTTCGCCACCGCCTCCAGCAGCGACGAGTCGCTCTTCAGCACCGTCTCGAGCTTCGTCTCGTCGTTCATCCCCACCGTCCACGCCGAGGAGGAGGTGAGCTAGCGGGTCCAGCCTGCCTGCCATTGCGACACGCTGCTCTGTTGGCCGAGGATGGGCGCGGATCGCGGGCCGATGCCGTCGCTTTCGTCGCTTCAAGTGTCACCACCAACGACGCCGCCGCTGCTGCTGCTGCTGCTATTCGGTTGCTGTGCAGCCTTGCCCGACCTTTGCCGACCCGCCCGACTCTTCGCTCCCCTCCCGACTCTTCGCTCCCCGCCATAAGATCCCCGACACCCTGGCGCTTGCAACCCGTAGCGTCCAAAGCCGACTGCGCCAGACCGGACAGCCAGAGATGCATGAACTCTGTCCTTCGTCGGTCCCAGCCGGGCTCGAATGGCGACTCATGTCGGCAGCGTACCGACACAGATGACAGCTGCACCACAGCCACCCTCGAACCGACAGAGCACCGACCTTTCAGCAGTCGGCACTCGGCAGTCGCAGCAGCAGCAGTGGTGGTGGCGGTGACGGCGGCGTCGCGGCTGGCGGCCTGTCCGGCCCGCATCTCGCACTCGGTCACCTCAGCTACCCTTCGACCTCGCCCTGCTGACAACCTCATCGTCCTGTGCTGCTTTCACCCCTCATCAGGAGTCCTCTGACGACAAGGAGGAGTCTGAGGACAAGGAGGAGTCCGAGGAGGGCGGCGACGACGCAGAGGAGGAGGAGGACGAGGAGGACGAGGTGCGTCACCATGACGGCCCGGATCGGCTGTTTCGGCTTCGCTTGCCACTGACCGCAGTACCACCCTTGCATCCCGACTGCGATGGCGTTCGCTGTTCACCTGCCTGCCTTTCACTGAGCATAGGACGAGCCCGAAGACGTGAGTCTTTGCTCGGACCCGCCCACATCACCGAGGTAGCCAGCCGCCTACTGACCTCCGATTTCTACCCTCGCCCGTCATCGCCGCTGTCACCACGCCCCTTCAGATCCTCCCCGCCATCCTCGAGGGTGAGTAGATGCGTTCGCAGGAAGCGAGCGAGCGATCCCAAAGCATCCCTTCGTCACAACATCGCCAGCTGACCCATCCCTCGTTGACGCACCTGCCTGCTGTCTGATGCTGCTTCTCCCCACTACCGCAGACTGCGAGAACTCGAAGGCCTGCGCGGCAGTCAAGCACCACTTTGAGGAGTGCTCGAAGCGAGTGAACGAGGGCAAGGGCTACGAGGGCGAGAACTGCATCGAGGAGTTGTGAGTTGCCGTTTTGACCCCGAAGGCCGCGTGGTGGCCAGCACCCGTCGGGGGCCTGCCACTTCCCTGGCGAGTCGCTTCCCAGCGCTGCACCATGTGCCTCTGGCTCGGCCGTGGCCTGACGAGCAGTGAGACCGCCTGTGAGACGACAGGCTCCCTGACATGCCTCTCGTTCTCTCCCACCTTCCCTCCGCCTCCTCGCCGCGCGCAGCTTCCACTTCTCGCACTGCGCCCAAGATTGCGCTGCGCCCAAGCTCTTTGCCAAGCTCGTCTAACCGCATCGTCGTCGAACCGCGACGGCCGCCTTCACCTCGGGGCTTCGGTCTGTCCCCGCCTGGTCGATGAGCTCCTTTGTCCCGCCACGAGCGCCTTTTCGTATGCGGCTTTGTTCGAAAGGGCAGCCACTGCAGCGCCACCCGGGATGAGCAGCAGAGCAACGAAGCTGCCGGGTGCAATCTAAGTCCCAAGGACGCGTAGACTCAGAAAATCCTGCCTACCGGCTTCATCGAACCGGGCCCGACTGACGGTTCGACGTGCAGCTGTTCTGCCCTGACTTTGTCTGTCGACTGCAGCAGCAGCAGCAGCAGCAGCAGCAGGATGACTGGGTCACTACTTGATAACTTTATTGATTGGTCGACACCACCCGATCGATCCACTTCTGGATCGACGCGGGGAGGAGCGAGGTGAGGTCAGTCGAGGGGAATACCGGCCAGCTCGTCGTAGCCGAGGGCGATGTTGAGGTTCTGCACGGGCAGGTTGAGGGCGCAGAGGCCGGGGAGGGAAAGGGGGAGGTGGGCCGAGATCCCGTCAGCTTGGAACGTGGCGGAATGAAATCCGGGGAGAGAAGGGAATGCGCACCTGCAAGCACTGGGTAGCCGCGCCCTTGAGCAGGTTGTCAATGGCGCCCACGACGACGACTCGGTCGCCCTCGCTGTGCACCTGGAACCCGCCTAGACGGATTCCGTGCTTCAACGCCACGTCCTGTTTCGCGGCAGAGGCGAGGGAGAGGGGGGGGGGGGGGGGGCAATGGATGTTGACGAGAGTCAGCCTTTGGCCCCTCTACATCGAACGTCGTGGCGGGCATCGCCACGACAACGACGAGGAAGACGAAGACGCACCTTGATCTCCGGCACCTCGTATCCAACCTTGACCAGCTTTTCACCGGCGTAGAAATCGTCGTAGATCTTCTTGATCTGCTTTGCCGTCATCTTGGTGTTGAGGGGGATGCTGACGGTGGAGACGATGCCCTGGAACCAAGGCGCGACGTGCGGGATGAAGGCCACCTTGACCTTTGCGCCTCCGTCGCTGGCGACGAGGTGGGAGAGGTGGAAGCCGGCCTCGCGCTCGTGGATGTGGTCCGTGAGTGCGTAGGCGCGCACGGCACCGTCGAGATCCTTTGGCGTGATCTTTGGGACCGTTGCGCCCCTCACCGGCCCCGTCGCTGTCGAGTCGGTGCTGCCGCTGGGTGCGGCCTTGGTTCCGGCACCACTGTACCCCGAAATACCGAATACCGTCGGGTGGCATGTCGGAGAGAGGTGGGAAAGCAGAGGCGCCAGAATCGCCTGCGTGTTCGTCGCGTAGCATCCCGGGTTGGAGATCAGCTTCGAGTTCCGGATCGAGGTCCTCGAGTAGATTTCTGTTGTGACCCAGCAGACCGCGTCGAGCAGGCGAGAGCGGGCGAGAAAGGAGAGGGTTCAGAAGAGGACCCAGGGAGGTAGGTGGATCGTGTCAGTGTCTGTTTGTCTGTCGTATTGCGTCGTCGTCGCGGGCCCGGCGGGGGAGAGACGGGCCGAAGTCGACGCCCATCTCAGAGCTCCATCGGCCGGGCTCAGTAGGAAGCGAGCGCGAGGGTGGGGGTGCGGGCAGAGGCAGGGGGCCGAGGGGTAGGTTCTGCACTGTTTCGATTTCCAGTTTGTTCTCGAGTCGTTTCATCGATAGCCAGTCCGAGGGCGACCCTCCTGCCCTGGCCCTAGCCCCAGCCCGGACCCCTCGACCTACCCCGCCACGGACATCGCCCTCGCTCAGCACCGAGACCGACCCCGCGTCTGCGCCGCCGCCGCCGCCACCGCCGCCCCAGCATCCGACGAGATTAAAGCAAGGGAAATCGGGAGAGGGGAGATCGACGAAGGCAGAAAGGAGGGTGGGGAGAGGCCGAAAGAGGGTGCACGATGGATAGGGGGAAGAGGAGAAAGGAGCCATGGCCGAACCGATGGCACACGGCGCTCACGGACAACGACTCTACTGACCTGGCAGTCCGTACGTCCATCCCGCCTCAAACCGATAGTCGGCGCTGAGATCGACAATGGTGCCGTGGCCGTCCTTCTTGTCCTTGCCGCCCTCCTGGACCGCCTCGACAAACGGCTTGCAGACGCCGTTGGGCAGCGCCATGATGTAGGCGTCCGGGGGGGCGCCGGGGCCCTCGCCGCGCTCGAGCTTCTTGAGGTCCTCGACGCCAATGTTCGAGTAGTTGACCGCCGACTTGGTGTAGCCCTCGAGCGGCAGACCGGCGAGCTCGCGCGACGAGACGTGCGAGAGCTCGAGGTGCGGGTGGTTGTTGAGCAGCGAGACGAGGGCCTGGCCCGTGTAGCCGCGGGCACCAATCAGGGCGACACGCTTCTTGTCCGTCGTGGTGGCGGCCAGGGGCGCGCTGCGCTCGACGGCGGTGGCGTAGCCGCGGGTGCCGGTGGAGGTGCCCATAACCCGAGCCGAGGTGAGGCCGGGTCGGGCCATGGTCGAGAAGCCACGGGTGCCGGAGCCGCCAGGAGCGCCTCCGCGGGGGGCGGGCTTGGCCGCCTTGAGCGGCAGGTAGGCGCGCTCGATGCGGCTCTTCTCCTCGAGGTTGCGCACGATCTCCTCGACCTCGCCGACGTCCTGGATGCCGTAGTAGAAGAGGCTGCGGCCGTTGCGGGTGAAGCTGCCGTCGGCGCGCTCGTAGTGCCAGGCGCGGTGGTCGTCGTCGGCGCGCGAGGTCCAGACGAGGCGCTTGTGGTCCTTGCGGATCTGGTTCCAGACGTTGTCGTTGACGCTGTTGAGGGCGCCGTTGCGCGAGACGACGAGCTTGCTGAGGATGGGGATCTCGCCCTCGGGGTGCGAGACAAAGGCGACGCAGTCAAAGGGCTCGTCGCCGTAGACGGTGTAGGGCTCCTTGGAGATCTCGGAAAAGAACTCGGCGACGCTCTTGCGGCCGTCCTTGATCTCCTCGTCGTTCTCCTTGAGCACCTGGCGGAGGCGCTCGGCGCCGACCTCCTCGATGCTGTGCTTCTTGTACAGCTTGTAGCCGCGGCGGATGAGGGTGCCGGCACCGCTGTCGGTGAAGAGCTCCTTCTGCAGCTGGTCGACCGAGATGATGGCGACCGACGACGAGCGCGGCAGGTGGTCGAGCAGCTCCTTCATCTCGCGCAGCTTGAGCTTGGTGCCGAACTTGACCCACTCCTGCTTCATGAGGTCGTCGTACTCCTCGTCGAGGTTGATGACCTCGAGGAGCTCCTTGGTCTTGCCGTGGTAGAGGCCGCCCTTTTCGTTGAGGTAGACAATCTTGAGCGGCTCGAGCGTCTTGGACAACTCGCTGGCGGCGACGTCGGCGTTGACGTTGAGGATCTGGCCGTCGTTGGTGACGGCGAGGCTGGTGAGGATGGGCAGGCAGCCGGCGCGGATGGCGCTCTCGATGGGCTCCTTGTCGACGCGGTTGATCTTGCCGACGAGGCCGTACTTGTCCTTGTCGAGGTAGTCGGCGGAGAAGGTGCCGATGGGGATGGGGCGGGCGCGGCTGCCGAGCGACTCGAGCTTCTCGACGAGCTTCATGTTTTCCTCGAGGAAGATCTTGCGGGCGACCTTGAGCGTCTTTGCGTCGGTGATGCGGATGCCGTCGATGTAGTCGGGCTCGACGCCCTCCTTCTCGAGGAGCTCGTTGAGCTGCGGGCCGGCGCCATGGAGGACGATGGGGTAGAGGCCGATGCGGTGGAGGAACGAGAGGCTGAGGGCGAGCTCGTCGAGCTGATGGGTGAGGATGGCGCCGCCGACCTTGATGACGGCGAACTTGTTGGCGGTGCTAAAGATGCGCAGGTACCTCTCGACCTCCTTGCGCGAGGCGAGCGAGTAGAGGAGGCGAGTGATGGTCTCCTGTCATCGGCGCGAGGGAGTCGTTCGGGGTACAGGGAAAGCGTGGGAGGGGGATCATGGCGACGAGTGATTGGGCGGTGGGGTCAAAGAAGACGACGACGACGAGGACAAGCGATGGTGAGGAGCGGAGGAGCGCAAAGGACGACAATGGACATGGAAGACGGTCAGCATCAAGGAAGGGGCGGTCGGATATGCACGGGCGAGGCTGGAAGGAGAGGCAGGCCGGGGACGAGGTCGAGGTTGCCCGGCGCGTGGATCCGGGTACTAGGACGGAAGAGGCGCGCCCTGGCCGGCATTGCATCGAATGCGGGGTAACCCGAGGAGGGGCGGCCCGAGAGGGATGCGATGCATGGACGGAGCTGCTCCACTTACCCTGTCGTAGGCGTTCTCGCGGGCCACTGCGCTCGAGTAGGTGCGGGAGGTGGCGGGCAGCTTGTTTCTCGACTGCGCCTCGAGGCTCGACTCGGACGCGGC